CTATGGAAGAGAGAGGGAGAGATTGAAGAACCAAGCACTAACTTTCCTTGCCAGTTTGAGTGAAGAAGAAAGAGTTGCTTCAAATATATCTGTTGAGGTACTGGAGGGAGTGAAAGGCTTAGTTGATACTGATCCTGTAGTTGGTGAAGTTGCTGAAGTGTAAGTGTAAGTGCAATTTATGTTAAGAGAAATCTGTTCTTGGAAGCGATTTCGATTTCGATTTTATTCCATGCAAATAAGCAGTGACCGGACGTCGATTTCGATTCAAAGACGTGAATTCTGAGAGGAAAAAAGCCACGTCGAGTCCGAGCTTCGAAAGTTCCGAGCTTATAAGAGTGAAGCCCAGTAGTTAGCGCCTTAGCGCTCCAGTAGTAAGCGCCTTAGAGAGCGCTCCAGTAGTAAGCGATTTATTTATTTTATGTTAAGAGAAATCTGTTCTTAGAATCGATTCTGATTTCGATTTTATTCCATGTTAATAACTAGTCTCCGGAAATCGATTTCGTTTCACGGATCCGATTTCTCAAAAAGTGAGCAAAAAAAACAGCTTGGGTACTCTGAAATAGGAAATAATTCGATATAAAATAGTTCCTTTTTGGTTCCAGGTGGAACTAAGTGACAGCTTGCCCGTTGTGGTCTGAATTAAGACTATTGTTCCACACGTAGAGTCCTGTAGAATCCCTACCGTTAAAAAGCTGTCACGTCTTAATTCAGACCCAAACTCGTACCCATTAGTGTCGACACGAAATGAACAAACCTACGTACAGTAAGTTCGTACCGTACGTAGTACTGTACGTACATATGTCAACGAGAGTACTTCAACGTCTTTAGATAAATAGATATGAACATACGAAGCTACGGTACGTACTCGTACTCTACAAATCGGACGCTAATTAAAACAGGGTCAGGCCATGACTGATTTCATAACGTGCCCCTTTTGCTGAATACATTATGACTTATGACCCACAGTTCCCTTACGTTGCTACCGTACGTACGTTAGGAAGATTTAGTTCCGGAATTTCGAGTTCGTGATTGTCTTCATTTTTTCTTTTCTTCTCGAATCTCTTTCGAATTAATACATTTTCATTGCAACGTTCCGACAAATCAAAAAGTATCACAACTAGAAATGACACAACGTTTCGTCCACCGCGCTATCGCCAAAAGCAAGTTAGAAGTACATATTACTTGTATGTTTTGAAACAGAATCAACCACTCTATTTATGTGATCTGACGAATTCCACGAATAAACATTTATAACTCAACATGCGACAGCGCTTCCCACTTAATTATGGATCAGGATTAGACCACCGATTCGCAAAACAATCCAGATGCAAACGAGGCCTCTGGAAGTCAAAATAATAAAATATCGTTTGGACACATCGCGCTCCAAACACCTCACAAATCTTTAAAAAGCTTATTGCAATACAAGCAACTGAAAAATACCCATCTGCCATGTCATCCTTCGCGACCAAGCCAGCCGCCGAACTGAATCGGAACATGGTGAAATTTTTGCCAGAGCTCGCTAGCGACTACGCAACCTACCCCATGCATCACAAACGATGGTACCAGCCACAAGAGAAAGGTCCAAAGGGCGAGCCTTGCTTCATCAAAGGCGGCGATGCCGATACCCTCAAAAAGGATTATGCCTTTTGCAAGCGCGGTAACTTTGGTCCCGGATATTACTCCCTCATGACGAAGATTGCCTACGTGAATCTGTACAACAAACTAGATTCGTTGCAGCCCGGAACGTGTGGGATTGCCTGCAATGCCGCGGATCGGAAGGCTATGGACGAATACGACGACGTTAAGCGTCTTATGTATGGACGGCACATGGCTGCTAGACCATGCGACAAAACCGCGGAGAAGCGAATGATGGACGAATCCGAGGGAATGGCGAATGCTGCCTACGCTATGGACAACCCTACACCTCTTGTTGTTGGAGCTGCTACCGGCAAGGTCAAGCTTTGAAACATCCAACCCCGAAGCTTCGTGCGGCGTCCAGCAGCTGAACGGGATCCACAGAATCTAGTCATTGCAACCACTTGCCATCCATGGTATAAATTTTCAGATTGTGTCAGACAAAGGTGCAGTCATTTCTTTCTTTCCAGTTTTGAAATAAATAATTTTATGTTTTTGAGATATGCCTTGCTTTTCACATTAGCATAATGACGTGCTTCTACTATAATACATGTCCCAATAGGTACAACCTGTTATTTGCTTGTATGTTAATGTAAATGGTTTGACATCTACTCTTGGTGTGTACTCATCAATTGCATCAATGAATATCATGTTGCTTACTGTGACAACTGTATCTGCATGAGAATCTAATTCACATCTGTTAGACATGTTGTTATCTAACTCTTCCTGTTGTATTTTGTACAGACATCTATCTATGGTGTGTACACTTCTTTCAGGTGCTAGTCATTCTGTCTTTTGTTTCTTACTGTGGGCTGCTGATCCAAATCAATGACCTGATGATGCGTTTTGGGCTGTATTAGGTTCTTCAATAGTTACAACTGTGATATCCTCATCACTATTGAATTCTTTGCGCTTGCATGCTGCTACAGCAGCAGCTCTTATTTGTTTATTAGTCATTCCATCATTGCTGGCGTTATTAGCCTGCTTCTCCAATTTAACAATATGTGCCTTGGATATATGTGATTTGCTTTAAGCTTTCCCGTAAACTTAGGTCCGTTGCTGTTGTTGTTGTTGTGATTATTGTGATTGACACTGGTTTGTGGATACAAGGATACTCAAGTGCGGATCTTTGTATTCAAGTTAAGAAGTGATTTGGGTTTGCAGATCTTCCTCCTAATCAAGTTATTTGCAGTTGCAGATACAATTTTCTGGATACAATCCTCAAGTGTGGATCTTTCAGGGCTGTGGTTAGTATTGCTGCTTCTACCATTGCAGCTGATACTACTCATCAAAAACCAACTGTGTATTGTTCTTCAAGTCAATCCATATCAAGCCATCACAAACTTTATCCAAAGGATGTAGTGCCAGTTTAAAATAATGGGCGGACGAATTTAAAATCTCCTGAAAAAAATCAGGCAAAGCAATGGGGGGGGGGTCACCAAATGGGTTCAGTTGCTGAATAAAGTCTGGTGGTGAATGCGGCCCTCAGCCATTCTATGGTGCGCCAGAATTTTTCAGATGTTGATTGACGCTTTTTAAAGGTTTTCATTGCATTGGCAGATAAAATAACAAGATTTACCTGGGCCCTCCGGTACCCACGCGCACATCCCCCCTTTTGAATTCCTCCCCTAGAAAAACGTGGGTTATTTTTTGGGAAAAAATACCCACGTTTTAGAAACATGGGTTATTGTTTGGGAAAAATAACCCACGTTTCTAAAACGTGGGTATTTTAATTTGAAAAATAACCCACGAAAGAACCCAGGAACCCACAAATAACCCACGAAAGAACCCACAAATAACCCACGAATTTACAGTCATCTGGGTTGATGGAGAACCAAGGGTGTTAAGTATTTTAGTCATTAACGTTATTTAATCACTTTTTTTAATATTTGGAGAAAGGCCCAGCAGGTTTGTGGGTTTTTCGTGGGTTATTTCGTGGGTTATTCGTGGGTTATTTGTGGGTTAACCCAACCCACGTTTTAAAACTTGGGTTATTTTTTGGGAATAAATACCCATGTTTTAGAAACGTGGGTTATTGTTTGGGGAAAAAAAACCACGTTTTAGAAACGTGGGTTATTGTTTGGGAAAAAAAACCCACGTTTTAGAAACGTGGGTTATTGTTTGGGAAAAAAAACCCACGAAATCATACCCCCGATATTAGATTTCAAAGGGGGGACGCGCGCGCGTTGGTTCCGGAGGGCCCTGTAAAAATGAGCTGAAATTTTCTACTAGCATTTGTACGGGAATTGCCATTGACTTGCCAGTACAGGACTTGCCTTGTTCATAGCTCAATTATTATTACCCAGTCCCGTACAACTTCAATCACCCCCAAGTTGTCTCGTGAGTTAGACTCAAAAGTTGATGTAACTTGTCGGTGACGATTGACGATTGATGATTGGCCCGATCGAACAACCTCAATTCGACGGAAGCATCAACAAACACAACCCTCGTTTTGGTTTCACATTCAGCCATTGCAAGAGTATCTTCAATCATTACATGCAATCCAATACGTGCGGAATTGGAAACACGACAACACGCTGCCTCAAAATTCCAAAATTTGATTGCTTGACGACACCTTGAGCCTAGGATACACACCAACCACAATCAATGATTTAAGACTATGAGGACGGTCAATATTCCAATCCTTGCTCTGGTTTCGTCGGCGATACCAGAATCGTCCGAAGCATTTGTTACCTCGAGGCGAGCTACCACTTCGAAAAATAATGCTAGTCCTGTGCACTTAGGGGAGTCGAGGAATGGCGCATCTCCGTCGCCTCATGTTCAAGAAAGAAAACTGCTTCTCTTTGCGTCGGCGGATAGAGAAGATGGTGCCATCGGCAGCTTGGAAGAACTAGAATCCAAGATCTTGGGTATGAAGGTCGCTGAATTAAAAGCCGATCTAAAACGCCACCAGCAGCCAATCAGTGGTTTGAAAAAGGTTTTACAGGAAAGATTGCTGAATTTTTATCGCGTTTCGAACAACGAAGGTTCGGAAGGAGAAGTACAAGCCGAGAGTATGGCAGCGATGGACGGCGATATCGATATCGACAGCCATAGTGAGAACGATAGTGGGGATGTAGAAGGAGATGAAGATGAGGAAGGAGAAACAATAATGGAAGCGGAGGAGGAAGAAGATTGCGATCGCGATGGTGATGATGACCGCAATCTCGCATGGGTAAATTCAAAATCGAGATGGAAGAAAAAAACATTCCTGTTGATGGAAGATGTTCGAAAATTGGTGCATTCGAGAGACGCAAGAGCTAGAAAAAAAGGTCCCAAAAAAGCCAAAGAAGCACTCCGACGAATGCAGCAATGGATATCTCTGTCGCCTTCGTCTCTGAACAGCGGCGATGAACAAGAAGCCACAATCACGTTTGACCAGAGATCCACGCTATTGAAAGCCTACAACTTGTGGATCCATGCGCTCGCCAAGTCCGGATACGACGATGCCGGTAACCAGGCCGAGGAAATCCTGAACGAGATGCGAAGGAACGCCTCGAGTGGTGGTCCGAGTCCAAACGACGTTACCATAGCGTCGGTGATGGACGCCCATGCGCATTCGGCAAGCGTGTCGTCGTCCTCGAGTGGTGGGGCCAAGGCCGCCGAGGCCTTTTTGTTCCGATTGCTGGAAAAACACGAGGCGAACCACAACGATATCCCCTGGTCTCACGATGGCGGTGATACGCTGCGTGATACTCTGGTAGTTACTTGTGACACTATGCTAAACGCCTGGGCTAGAGAGGGGACCATGGCGAGTGCCGAACGGGCTCTGACGATCCTTGTTCGTTTGGAAGATTATCAACGCCAAACGCAACGGCAGAAGAAGAAAAGTCGCTCAAAGAGCATCGAAACAGAACCATCAACAAAGATGAGAAAAACACGACCAATTTCGTATTCGACAGGTATGTACGGCATGAAAATCGTTTGACTTCACGTTGTATGAAATCTAAAACGCGAATCTGAACATTCTCTCTCATCCTATTCTCATCATATTGCTATTCCCCAGTCATGAACGCTTGGGCAAATGTACGTACCGCGGAAGCCGCAGAGAAGGCAGAAGCCACTCTCGACAACCTGGTGCTAAGAGCCAAGGCAGACAAGAAGGCGGAGAAGAAGAATGATATTGTTATACAATCAAAGTTGGTCACTATCCAACCAGATACCATTCTCTTCAATTCCGTCATTCAGTGCTGGGCTGCTTCGAGAGATATAAAATCGGGTAAAAAATCTCTGCAACTACTGGAACAAATGAAAGAGCTAGCAGGGGTGGGTCGTGGCGATAGCACAGACGATGACGAAATCTACTTCGACACTCATCCCGATATTATTACCTACAACACGATCCTTTCTGCCTGGAGCCATTGCGGAATGAAAAATGCCGCACCACAGGCAGAGAAAATCGTGAAGGAGTTGGTGGCGGAACAAGAGGAAAGAAGGGAACGAGAACTTGGCGCTGGAGGCGGCGGACCAAATGTGTCAGCCGTAGTGGTGAATACGGTTACGTTCAATACGGTTCTAGATGCATGGTCGAAATCCAAGCTTCCCGGAGCTACCGATCGAGCGGGGAAGCTTTTGAATTACATGATTCAATCTCAAGATCCCCATATAGTACCCGATGTCTTCTCCTTTACTTGCGTCATGGATACTTTGGCCAAATCCAAGGAGCCCAGCAAAGCGTCGCAGACGCGAGAGTTGTTGGACAGATTGATTCAAATGCACCAAGACGCATTGCAAAACGGAGGTAAACGCAAAGCAGATGCATTGCGCCCAACGCAGATCCCATACAACACAGTATTGAATGCATGTGCATTTTCAGCATTAAAGACTCCCGAACAAGAAAGGAGAGATGCTATCCGAATCGCGGTCGATATCTACAGAGCTATGTCGTCGAGAATAGATTTGGCGTCCTTCAGGAGAAAAGGGAACGGAAGCATTGTCGCACGAGACTCCGTTACCTACGGACTCATGCTCAAATGCATCGCCAATCTAATGCCGAAAGGTAAGGTGCGGAGCCAGATGGCTCTCCAGATCTTCCGGGATTGCCTCGACGATGGCCTCGTCGGATTCATGGCTTGGAACGAGGTGCGCCGGGCGGTGCCATCTAAAATCATCCAACAGGAGTTTGGGTTCAAGCGGCAAATCGGACAGCTGGAATCAAAGGATCTACCGAGAGAGTGGACGAAACATTGCAAGACGAATAAGAAATTCGACAAGCAACGACAGAGGGAGCAAAGCGCTCGCCATAAGAAAACCAAATCTGAACCTAAGAAGAAAGAACAACCAGCAAAAGCCTTTATCATCGAACGGTCATTTGCAACCGGAAAGGACATGTAAACGCAACGCTGTAATAAAATCGCCTTTTAAAATCTTCTGAGGAAAATTACAACTGTTGCTTGTCCATCCTCTCTCCAATCGATTATTCCCCTTCAAATTTTAAAATATTTTCGTTTGGGTACTCGTAGCGGTAGAAATCCATAGTACCGGTACTCGTATGGTTATTCCAGGTTTTCTGTGGTAAACTCTTCGTCCTCCTGTTCCAGCGATGGCGGTAACGGCATGAATTTCTGTCTAGATACCTACCGTACTCATACTCCTGAAATAGCCTCACACGAACAGTAGTATGTGTCATCGCTCGTGCATCACCATGTGTGTTCGTGTATCTACTCTGAACAAAGAATCAATATCTCCGTACTGTACTGAACTTACTGAGCTGGTGAAAAGAGTACCGTACCATAACAGTACGAAACCAAAAACTAAGTCCTGAATGACACCATTGAAAACAAGAGTTGGTTTACCTTCTGAGATATCAAAATAGTAGTGTAGGTTACTGCAAAATAAATTACAGTACTATTGTGCCCTCATGCCGACAAAGGTACGTCGTGGTTTTCGAGTGAATTGAATTATTTAATGATACTGCGATTTTATCAAAGGTACGTATCCTTAAATACGAAAAATTCTGTAGTAATTATTTCCAAACGGGTGATACTCTCGTATGGACGAAGCAACGTATCGCACAGGAGGAGGAAGTTTCTGACACATACATCCTTGCACGATTGATTGGATGGCTTTAATTTTAGTGTACCGGTAGCTTTGTCGTGAAAGGTTCTTTTGTTCTCATCTGTCTCCACGAGTATTTGACATGCGCGTTGATATTTTCATGCTTAGGTGCTGGCATATTTCGTACCTGCCTTTACACACACCTGCACCTCCATCATACGGCCCTCTCATCAGTTGATGATAGAAGGGATGTTGTGAATACGTTGAGAGCTGTCATTTTGAAGAATGCTAAGAAGCACGAGTACCATGCTGCACGTAAATTCTACGACTGCAAGCTACGTCGACGAAGACCTTTCTTCGCTTTTCATCCCACTCCTTCAAATATTCTTTTCATTTTGTCGTGCAGAATCTTTCAGAACACATTCATACCGGTACGGTAAGTTGAGACCTTTAACCTTTTCTCATTTCAAGCAAATTGTGATAGTCGTCAACAACTTTGCGTTCATACACGATCCATTGCAAGAAATTAAAAAAGCAAGATTGAATTTCATTTGTCATTATTTTCTGATTCATTGATTTCCTTTGCGACCGTCGTCATATCTAACAAAAACTATCTTCCGTCGGACACGAACAAATTGAATCCATTGAAACGACAGACTAAGAGGATTGTACCGGATCTGACTGCACAACTGCAGAAAAATATCGAAACAATTGAAACGCGCACAAAAGATGAAGATGACCACCGATCTCGAGCAGGACACGTCTCAAGATTATATCGAAGACAATTCGACCCTTCAACCTCCTCCCTCAGATGATGATTTTATGGACGTCAATCCCGCCGACGTGGAAAATCAGGACGGAATCATGGCAGATGGAAATGCATTCTCCGATGTTGCTGTAGACAATCCCGGAGATGGCGAGGACGACAACGTCCATGATCAGCTCCCAACCGTCGACGATTACAAGGCGACCGTGTCCTTCAAGAATAAAGGGGGGGCGACATCTCTGGCAGATGGAGCCTCAAATATGGTCAAGTCTCGTGCCGGTCTTTTCACTTTCTTGGGTCTATTCCTGTTCACTGCCCTCATTACGGCGTGAGTATTTGTACTGTTGGGTGTCAATTTTGTGTCCATTTTTTTATTTGTCGTGTCATTTTTCCAAAACGAAAGAATCCACCCCTCAAGACTTTTTTGGGTGCGGATGAAATTCGATTCGATTCTGACAAATTCTATCCTCTCGCCGGCTTCTGTTTGATTGTCGTCTTTAAGCATCGCCGTCCCTCTCGCGATGAAAAATCAAGGCGGCAAATCCGAAGTTGCTGCCGTTGAAGCGGACACAGGCAGTGGTTCTTACGCCAGCGGATCCAAAATTATCACTGCGACACCAATTTCTTCTCCTACAAGGGCTCCGACACCGGTTGCAGTGCCGACCAAAAGCCGATACGACGCAATCTTCGATTATCTCGTAAATTATGATTTTGCCAAACGCTCTGATTTGTTGGAAGAAGGTACTGCCGTTGGCTTGGCAACAAAATGGATTGCCGAAGAAGATAAATTCGAAATGCCTATTCCAACTGCGACTTCTGGAAATCGTTTTATCGAACGATGGGCACTGGCCGTATTTTGGTTTTCGACCAATGGACATCTTTGGACGTTCCCCCTCAATTTCATGAGGCCCATCGATCACTGTCAATGGCACTCCTTCTTTCAAGATCCGACTGGAGAAATCATTCAAATGGGTGTCACCAAATGCGTCGAAGATTTTGACGGAGAAAGAGTCAGTAGTATCGAAATGTGTAAGTATTTTTTATTGGAATTTGTCGTGACCGAATTTGAAATTCTGACCGATTGCTGCAACCATTTCGAATATCACGCACACTCGCACATCTACGACAAAAACATCAAAATTGTGGATAGCCAACAACAATTTGATTGGAAGCATTCCAACCGAAATTAGATATCTCGTCGATTTGAAAATGTGGATTACCCCATTCAACGCAGCACTTAATGAGGGAGATGTGCTTGCTCCATTCCTGGAAATGGGCAAGAGTTTGTCGCATTTGGAACTTCAATACTGTAGTGTGACGGGTACCATCCCTGAAGAATTAGGCAAATTGAAAAAACTTGAATTCCTTGGGCTCGGTGAGTGGCAATAATGAGGTGTTGCTTCGGCTTGATCAACGCGAGATGCCTGCCATTAAAATTCGGTATTTTTCAATGCGGAACTCATAGGAAACAACTAAATTCCCCTCGATTTTTTTCAGGCAACAACTTGTTGACGGGTAAAATTCCGGAAAGTTTCTTCGGCCTTGACAATTTGGTTGTCCTTGGGCTTGACGACAATGCACTTGAAAGTCCGATTGCTCCTTTTGGGAACTTGACGAAACTAGAGAAGCTATATTTAGAAGGTGAGTGGTTATAAAGCGACGATCGCCACCGATTTTTTCGCTGCATTCATGTATTTCTCGATTTATGAAAAGCACCGAAGGGCTCACACGTCCTCAATCTGTCGAATGATATTTAATGAATTCATCTCTATCAAAACGAAAGACAACTTGATCACCGGTGAAATTACCGAGGAGACTATTGGTGGGTGGCAAAATATGGTCGATTTGGATTTGAGCGTCAACAGACTTGAAGGTCCGCTTCCAGAAAATCTTTGGTCCATGGGGAAGTTGGAGGTTGTGGATTTAAGTGGCAACGACTTTATTGGGCAAATTCCCAAAATCGGTGCCGTCCAGGATAACCTAGTTTTCCTTGCTTTACATGACAATAACTTGGAATGGAGAATCCCTGAAACTATCAGCAATTTCGTCAACTTAAAGCATCTCGACATATCGGCCAATCGAATGACCATCCCGTTCCCGTCGACCATGAGCAAGCTCACCAATCTTGTCTCAATCTACACTGGAATCAATGGCTTTGGCGACCATCCACTTCCTAGCTTTCTTCAGAGCATGCCCAACCTCCGTGAAATCTCCATGAAGCAGAATCAGATAACTGGAACAATTCCCACTTTTCTTGGAAATATGACGGATTTGCAAGTTTTGGATTTGGATTTCAATAAAATCAAAGGAACAATTCCGTCGGTGAGTCGAACCCGAATTTTTCCTGCGTGAAAACTCCTTTTTGAACGTCAACCACATCTGATTTCTGACAACTACTTTTCGTTCTATTTTGCTGGATGCAACTACCAATCAGGAGCTCGGTCGTTTGACTGGTCTCGATACGCTTATGCTTAATCGTAACTTCTTACAGGGAACGATTCCTGCATCTTTTTCGAACTTGATTGACCTCGGTAAGATTTCGGTCGTTGAAAAGTTTCTATTTTGTACCCGTTCACCACTACGAGAACTCCGCCTCATAGTGCAACTTGCTCCCTTTCGTCTTTCAACAGATGTTCTTATTTTAGACGCAAACAATATTACTGGTAGTGCAGATCCTATTTGCGTAAATAACACCGCTAAATTGACTTTCTTGTCCTCGGATTGTGGAGGACTCGAAAGTGAGGTAAATTGCAGTTGCTGTACTGTTTGCTGTAACGACAACAATGCCACATGTAATAACTTCGACTGGCGCGTAAACTTGGATGGAATCTGGGAATACGACTATCAACGTCTTGTATACTCATTCAGTCAGGAGCTCTTGCCATCGAGTGCAAAGATGAATTATACAAACGAAAAATTGGAGGCGGATTCGAACATCGCTTCGAGTGGTAATTCCACTAGAAATTCTACGGGCGCTCGTGAGTAAGAAAACGGTGCTGGAGTTTCAACTCATACTTCATATTTTTGTAAAAAGAACGCAATGCGGTCATGCGTTCAAAAATAATTGAACCCAGTTAACTCTACAATTGTGTCTTCGTGAATAGTTCCGATGTGGGTACTGAACGATCATGACGGGTATTAGTACTAGAATGCATTCAATGAATTATCCAGCTACCTTGACATCGGCAATAATGGTTGACTTTGAAAAAAAAGTGAGAATGGTACTCGAAAGTTAACATCTATTATACTACTCGGCAATCTCAAACCTACGAAAATTGAACCAGTCACGTCCATTCTAATTTTTGCACCATATAATCCTGATTCATACGCAGACCAATGATATCGAGAAGACCCTAAGAATACTGTAGGCCACACTGTCCCTTGTGAAGAGAAATGCAAGTGGAGCTCTACGAATTGATAGGTCGAACAGATATGTCATACTACGACTGTAAAATATGTATAATATCATCTGCGAATTTATTTTGTTCTACAATCTTTTCTCATTTGACACGCTGTCATTCCGTCTCCTGAGCACAAATACCCTGCCCAAGAAGGAGAGAATTCGAAATGCTTGATATCCCAAAAAAATGTTCCAGACCGAACACAGGTTTACGGGAGACCCACCATTGGCAACGTATTTCAATCGTAGCATCAGCAGTGGGACGGTGACAAAAAATATGGCGTAGATATTACCGAGAAACTTCAAATCTCTGAACCCTAGAAGTATTCCTTCTGAAGCACAAAATATTCCATGAGTGGACAAAATCCCCATCATGATAGGAACGATTTGCTTTACCGTTTCTATCACTGCTGGATCTTTTGTCAAAAATGGACAAATCCAAGGAAGAGATGCACCTATCATAGATAGAAAAATTCCTAGCAATCCTGCCACTCTGAATATGTTTTTCATAGTAGTCTTCATCGCCAAAGTTCTCTCTTTACTTGGTTTCTGAGAAACTATTGCTGGCAAGTAGGTTTGTGCAGTTAAACTGCAAGAGTCACCTATTGGAATTAGTGTGTAGAAGATTGAAGTAATGATTTGCTGAGCGGCCATGCTAACTGTTGTCATCGTTGAAGATACCACATGCCCCATTGCAATGTAGGTTGAGCATCTTCCAATCTGAGTGGTTGTGACCGGAACCACAAATGGTTTGAAGTCGTTTACGGTTTTTTGTGACGGTCTTCGAATAAATTGGATTAAAGTTGATCGTCCTGAAAGCAGCCCTTTTGTCGATATCTTCTGTTTTTCTCTGCTTGTTTGCGCCTTTAAATCCATTTTGTCACTTGTGAACCGACGGAAAAAAAGGTACAGAGCAAAATACTGGGATAAGCATGTGGCAAGAGCAGCTCCCGCTGTACCTCCGACCCAAGTCACTTTTCGACCCACAAAAGCAACATCCAGTACTAGATTCAATATGGCAGCGATTACTATTATACGGAAAGGTGTCCTGTTGTCTTGCAATCCAAGACATGCTGCCTGCGAAGTTCCTAACATCGCAGCTGCGGGCATCCCGAGAGCTCTAATTGCAACATAACGCCAAGCTGCGCTTAGAAGCTCGGCATCAACATTATCATTTCCGACGAGCGGTACCAGTATGCTCTGAGCTGACAGAAGAAGAAAGAGAGATAGACCGGCTCCAACTAGTGCAGCGAATCTGATCGATCCTACCAACATTTCAGAAATTTCACTTGAAGTTTTGCTGTCTTTCGATGTTGCTATTGAATTTGTTGTACCCGTGTAAAGAAAAGTCATGGCTCGTGCAGAATAATCGGTGATTGTAACAGCAGGGTTCAAAGCAGCTTGTTGAAGTGTACCACAAAGTATGCCGACTGTACTAGTATCTATCGTGGACAACAGTGGGCTACACAGATATATCCCAATTGCTGGTAAAGCGAATTTTATAATTTGCGGTATTGTTGGTGCATAGCTTTCTTCAAGAGACTTCGGCTCTTCATCTTTGCCTTTCTCCGTGTTGACATCATTGTTTGTAGTGTTGTTTTTGTCGGTATGAAAGTTCGAAACGTTGTCATCGTCGATTGCATTAGTAATGAAAAAATTCCTTCCCCTTTCGGGTCGAAAAGTGTTCCTTCCGCCATGAACTGTTACTGTCCATGGGATGGATTGGTGCCTCCTGGTGCTAGTTGCGAATGACTCGCTTAGATGGATCAACAGGAAAATCGATGCTGCCGCTAGCACACTACGATTACTTTCTATCATTTCTCGATCACTGACTATTCAAATAATTACTTCTCAAAGTAAAGACATGTAGGAGGGATGATGCAAGGCTTTTTTGTACGATGTATTGTTTGTTGCTCGATGGAGCATATGGTGGAAGAGGGTGGCGTCGTTTAACAGCCGAAGGAATTACAGTGTCAATTATGGTACTCGTACGTGTTTGATTATGTTCTACAGAATTTATTTTTTGTTAGCTTTTTTCCTACCGTACGAACTTGAGATTTTAATTTTGAAGCCGATCACGATCTACCGGTATCTGTATCACCCTTTTGCTCCACAGACGCAGCCTGATGGTCTCAATGTGATGATTCAGAAAACAGTAAATCACGAGTAGGAGCAAAAAAATCTGTCTTTCGATCTGGAACTGTCAGAAAGTCTGTCTGTCTGTCTACCCAAATGTCATTGAGAAAAGACGAAAAGACTCCTGTACGTATCGTACAGTATTTCGGTCACAAAGGTAAACCGTAGATTGAATTTAACCTTAACCTTAAATACTACTAAATCCGTACCAGAACGAGATTACGGCCGGCGGGCGCTTTTTTCAGCTTCTTTGAAAATTTGAATAAATAATATTAGTTCTTAAACCAGGGATTACATCGTCACCAATGGCAGTAGTACTCGTACTCGTACTCGTACTCGTACTCATACGTACTGGTGACTATCCAGCGAAGTTTGATTGCTTTACAGACGAATTATGAATGAAATACGTGCAATAAAACCCTGAAGTAACTTGCCTCCTACCTTGCTGTATCCGCATCTCCTAAACTCAAGGAATACGAGGCACACTGCTTGTCGTGATCATTATTTGAGAGACGCGAATACCGGTACCTCTATCCCAGTTTTGCTACTCCCCTCTAATCGAACATTCCAGAACCCTTCGTTCCGAGCCGGGGACAGTTCAACACGAAATTGAAAATGACGACGCAGGCAAACGCTTTAGATAAAACTTTTCATCTACTTGTTGAAAGTTCTATTCATGATGTTTCCGAAGACGACAATTCAGTCTACTCTTATGATTATGCGGAGAATCGGCAGATATCTGCAGCAGAACGCCAGGGTGCTTTGTGCGAACAATTACTCGCTGAGCTCAAAACGACGCAAAGCCGAGAACCTAAACGACATAGTTCCGCACAGAACAACTCTAGAGACGATTCGACTTTAGAGAATGACAATAGAAGCATTCGTGACCTCTTCCCGAACACGAAAGTCTATGATTTACTTCCATCTGTTTTGAATCCACTTTTAAATGATCGAGTAGACACAGAGTGTCTATTACCAGGAACTCAAGATGAAACAGCAAACGAAGAGATTTTGTCAGAATCCACAAAAGCAGCCTTTTCTCTGACGCTTCCTAGCATGCAAGCGGGGCGTTTATATGCACATTTGTTAAACCGACCGGGAGCATTGGGAAGTGGCCTTGTCGATTTAGAACCCCTGACAGCATTGTTGGCTTTGGTCCGTCGCTGGACAGTGGAATGCTGTGGACGAGAGCAGTTTGCTCTTGTGTCATCTTCTGGATCTTCATCGACCTTCGATTCAATGACGTACTCTCCTTCCAAGTCCCCCCCTCAAAAGCGGAGCCGCAGGGGTAGCAGAAGTAATCGTATGATGAAATCACGACATGACAACTTTGAAGATGGAGAGAACAATTCGGAAGAACAGCAGATTCATAATGTTCTAGCCATGGGGACTCTAGTCGCTGCGGAGATTTGCCAAATTCCGCAGCAGCCCGAGTTTGCCAGCTGGTCATCTGAAAGTCGTGAGGTTCTAATAGAAGCTACATTGGTGTCCATCGGAACAGTTGCTGCACTCCTAGGCAAGAAACGCAATACAATCGACACAAGCTTCGACGACAAACGCGATAACAACAGGGACAACTTGCTGCAAAAAATGATAATATCTCAAGGCCAACAGGCATTTGAACAATGCTTGGTTGTGGTTAATGAAAAAGAAGATCAAGAAAATGATGACCCTCAGAGGCAGCAGCAGCAACATCAACAATGTCACGAGACAGCCATCATCATTTTGAGAGGCCTCATGCATCTTCTGCAACTAAAAGTCGTCTTGCCCAATGGAGAGAGGGGGAAAATCGAAGCTTTCACAGCCGCAAGTAAAATAATGTCATCGCTGATGAGAAAATGCAACCTAGCATGGGTAGCATCAAAAGAAAAGTGCGATTCATCTTTAAAAAACAAAACGCCAAGTCGGGTTGAACGACGCAGATCATCGATTGGAGGGGTCTTAAAAATACAGACACCCCGGAGCACTATCTCTAAGAGTAGGCGAAAATCTTTGGATGGAGGTTCCACGCCCATGGTAAGTCCTGTATTAAAGAAAAAGCACAATAATGAAAACAGAGGACTTCCTTCGGGTACTATAAATGGGGTATCAAAGGTCAATGATAAGCCGCGCGGTATTCAGGCTATATTTCTGGGACTGCTGCAAAAGCTCACCACGGGAAGAGTTGGTTTAGAGAAAGCAGCCTTGCGAAGAAGCACCGTAGATACGATACAATCTTGTATGAAATGGTTGCCCCATGCGGAACGGTCTCATTTCTTAGAATATATCATTAAGATATGCCACTCTAAAGTATCCGTGCACAGATTGGTGGCGTGTGAAATCATGGGAAATGTTTTGTTTCAAGATTGGATAGCTGAACACGAAAATGACTTAATTAGCAAGGACGATTATGACGATCGTTCCTTCTACGACACCAACGAAGAAAAAGAGACCGGGGACAAAAATACAGGAATTCAATTGCCTCAAGCTCTCTGGAAAGCGTTACAAGGTAGATTGATGGATCGTATTGCTGCCGTTCGCGCTTCCGCAGCCAATTCCCTAGAGAATGTCATGACAGAAATCCAGAAGAACGATAAAATTTCCGTCTGCTACAACAAGGGAGAAAGTCTTCTTATTGCGTTGCGGAAGCGAGCAATCAAGGATGAAACGTCAACCGTTCGCAAGGCTGCTGTTCTAGCTCTTACAAAAGTTCTATTGGCACAAAAAGAGTACATTTCGTCGTATTACATTTCTGCGATTTGCGATCTTTGTCAAGATTCTAGTCTTCTGACCCGCCGAGCAGCTGCCGAAGCGCTGACTACTCTTCTGAAAGCCTGCATCAGTCCCCACCAAAACGATGCATCTATTGATCTTACTGAAGATCTTTATGACGTGGGGCTGATTGAGGAGGCGTGGTCGACCTGTGTATTGCCAATGGTTCTGGACGAAGAGACATCCATTACGGCTAGAAATGCTTTCCATAAAGTTGTCATTTTACCAATTGTAGAAGAAGACGACATCAATGGCACACAGAAAAAGCAAGTTGCTTGGCGTATCCTTGCGAACGTGGGGAACTTGACATGTCGGCAAGGTGCCTCGAAAGGTGCTTTTCAAGCTCTACAAACCGCCCTCTCTCATTTGGGTCGCGAAGATCCAAATCTGATCCATATTGAGTTGTTCGAAATAGTAACATATATGGCTTCTAGCACTCTTTCCCAAAGCGATCATCATTCAGAGGTTAATGCTGTCGGAGTTTGGTCCCTTCTGGAGGCACTGCTTTGTATTGATTACAATGGAACGAGAAAATCATTCCGCACTTCGAAGAAAATTGACCTTTCCTTTTGTCTGTCGGCCTGGAAGGTGATGATTGAAAAACATTCTTCCATGCCCAAGTCGGCTCCACATAGGAGCACCTTGAAATCATCCCTGGTTGTGCTTTCAAAGATAGCGAATACTTTTGCTTCTACAGATTCCGACGATATTTTATTGACATTGAACCAACATCTGCTGGGATTTCAATTTCCTCCCGACGCATTGGGACCTGCAATCAGTGCCATGACTGAACTAACGAAACGAACGAAATCTGGAGAGAACAGCAATGAGTCCTGGATAAAAGGTATTTTTTCTGAAAGTGAAAAAGAAATTAAGCGCTTCGTCCAAGATGCGAACGCTGACTCTAGTGTCACAGAATTTCGCAAACCGAAGTTGTTACGCGCACTATTTTCGGTTGGAGAGGCTTCAATGATTGGATTTAAACTAGATGATGATGGAAGTTCTCCTACTCCGCTGTTCTTGAAGCCATCGAAGCGGTTAAAAGAGCTTGTTCAAATCATTGTTTCGGGTCATCTTCCAGGTGCTGCGAAACCAAGGATTTCTTCAGCAATTCGGGCTCATGCATTCACCGTGCTTGGAAAATTTTGTTTGAGGGACGAAGATCTTGCACGGCAATCATTGACTCTATTTGCCCGCGAGCTACACCCATCACTCCCAAATCCGAGTCAGTCTGTCCAGAGCAACGCACTGCTTGTAATGGGCGATCTTTGTGTCCGATATACGAACATGACAGACCGATATCTCCCTACCATGGCGTCCTGTCTCCAGAATGGATGTACAAGTGACATTTCCGTATTAGAAAGATCCTCAGTTGTACGGAAGCATGCCGTTCTTCTCTTGTCAAGTCTGCTCCTACAAGATTACATCAAATGGAGAGGCCTTTTGTTTCATCGTTTCCTTGTTGCTTGCTCGGATGATGACGAAGAAGTTGCAGTGCTCGCAGAATCTGTTTTGTCCGGACCATTAATGGTGCGAAATCCAAAAATATTCTTCAACCATTTCGTTGAGTCTATTTTCGTGTTAAACAGATGTGTAGCTCATCCTATCTACGTCTCTGCAACTCGTCAAGGTGATGGTGGGAGTGGTATCGCAGTCGGTTTTGACGGGATCAATTTAGATGGAAAGGAAGGAGAAGCAAGACGTAGAAACATGTACAACTTCCTTCTCTCGAAACTTACAGACGAAGAAAAGATCGGGGTCACAGCACGTTTGGCGAAAGAGGTGTTGGGCGAGGCAGTAGGTAACGAAGGAGATTTATCTCAAGTCTGCAAAAGGCTATCGCCGCCGGATGAATCAAGTTCGCCAAGGCTTAAAAGTGCATGGAACGTTCTTTCTGACACCCTTTACGTGTTAACAAATAAATCAATCAAAGTTGGAAGGGTTCAAGACGAGGTGGACGGGGGCATTGACGATCCAAATCAAGTCGTCAATCCGTCGCGTCAGGTGAATGTAGCCAAGACTCGTCTACTTTCAAAAATCAGCTTAAAGCATATGGTTGAAATAGTGCTACCAATTCTTTGCAATCTGAAAGTCAAACTTCAAGCAAGTCGTTCTCCCCTTCTCAAGGAGCTGATGGCTTATTTACTTGAAATCTTTAGAAATCACAAAGTTGAAGTCAAGGAATTTCTTGCAAACGATCCTACGTTACTGCAAGAAATTGAATACGACTCACGCAAGCATGCCAGCAATAGTGAGGTGTGAAAATGCACTCTCTAAACATTTATACACATGGGTACTTTGTAGTGCATGAACAAGGGGTATCAATAAATTTATACTTTGTTTACAACGTTAAGATAACCTAGTGAACTAGAAGAGGCATTGGGTAAGCCAGATAGTATTGATGGTGTGTAGGGCATTCAACATCAAGGCAGCTATGACATTATTTGCAAACACTTTTCAACATCTTGATAAAGCAGGTGCCACGAGACTACTTTTACTAGAGGTTGCACCAGTCTCACTATCAACCTGGATATTTTTCCTAGGTGGATCAACGTGTGTTGTACTAGTACTAGTAGTATTACTATTTGCGCTGCAGTTCTTGTTGTAGTAGCTATGCAATGTTGGGGTTATTGGTTCTTGCGCCCTTGGTAGGAATGGATTTCGTTTCCAGAAAGCTCACCCGATGTTCCATTTCCATCGGTACTGTGGGAAACTTCGCACCTGTATATTTTGAAAATCATTTTTTGTAGCCAAATTTCGAATTTCAATTTCAAATGTTCTTCGTTCGCAGTTCGCAGGTAGTTTGCGAGTTAGGTACCTATCCTACCAGGGTACGTATGCATTAGTACTGCTTGTTCTAGATGTTCGGAGTTCGGACACACGATAACGCCACAGCGCCGTTGAATACGTACCGTACCGTACGCACCCCACGAGGAATCACAGGATCATTTCGGTTGATGGATCGTCACGACAGCAAAACGCTTTCGACGATTGAAGTGAAGTATTGTACCGGGTACAAGGAAAGAAGACCAGCGACAGGAACAATAGGAGAACGCAGACAACAATCGTCAATCTGAAAAGGAACTCTGTGTCAACACCTCCGCTGTTGAAACACCATGTCGGATTCTAGGAAACGATTCAAAATGGTGCGTGCCTGCTTGTGAACGGAGTTCCTTTCTCTGCGATACAATGCATCGTATTGTTTTATTTCGCTCTCTCTCTCACACACACGCACAAAACCCATTCATCTCGACCATTATGCGCCTGACAAATAATTTTGCCGTGCCCTTTCTTGTATCTGAAACAACCATTAGCCGCTGCGGGCCCACGTCCCGATGGACAAGACGGTCGCTTCGCAGACTTGGAACGTTCTGGCAAAGGCGATCGACGAGATTTACAACCGGAATGCTTCGAAATTGTCCTTTGAGGAACTGTATCGAAACGCGTACAACCTCGTCCTGCACAAACACGGGACGCTTTTGTACGAGGGAGTTACCGAGAAAATCAATTCCCATCTGACGGAAACAGCAGAACACTTGTCCAACGTGCCGGACACGTCGTTGCTAGAAGAATTGTCGACGACCTGGAGCGAACACCTGGTAGGTCTTTGGCGGCTTTCAGGAATTACATATGGAGTCACCGAATCGCTGCTTCTTTCTCTGACGGTGTTTCTCTGACGGTGTTTTTGCTGCTGTTGTTTTCTTTGACGTTGCAATGCGTTTCCCAGATCACGATGATCATGGTTCGGGACATTCTGATGTACATGGATCGTACGTACATCCAACAGCAGCGCCGGCGACCTGTGTACAAGCTAGGTCTCCACCTCTTTCGGTTGACGGTATGGGAGCATCCCAAGGTGAAGGAGCGATCAATAGAACTCTTGATGGCGAGCGTCAGGTCGGAGCGAAACGGACTCTTGACGGACGATCGGTCGGTTCTCAAGCAGGTTCTGGGCATGCTGCTGGAACTGGGGCTGTCGGATGGGTCAAACGTGTACGAGAACGACTTCGAAACCCCGTTTTTGGCTCAGACCCAGGAGTATTACCGCGTCGAGTCCCAGGGGTATTTGAGCCAGAACACGGCGACGGATTACGTTGCGAAAGCCACGAAACGATTGGAGGAGGAAAAGGATCGAGCTACCGCGCTTGCGTTGCCGTTGGCAACCGAAACGCCGTTGCAATCGATCATCGAAACGGAGCTCGTCGAGCGACACGCTCGCACCCTCGTCGATATGGAGCATTCGGGATTCGCCTGCATGCTGAAGGACGATACAAAGCTGTCGGAACTGAGAGATATGTACACTATCTTTGCTAGGGTCCCTACTTCCGTCGACAATCTGAGGGAGGCCCTGGCGGAGCGAATCAAAGCTGACGGAAAGGCGCTGATCACCGACCAAGAAAAACGTGCCTCCGATCCCCCCGCCTTTGTGAAGGGCGTGCTGCAAATGAGGGATCGATACGACAAAATAGTGGAATTCAGTTTCAGAGGGGAGAAACGGGCCCGGAAACGCATGAGAGAATCCTTCGAGGACTTTTTGAACACGGACGCGAGGGCGGCCTCGTGTTTATCGGTGTACGTCGACGAGTTGCTGCGCGTCGGGCTGAGAGGTGCGACGGAAGACCAAATCACACAAGAGCTCAACAAGGTCATTGTCGTGTTCCGGTATCTGTCGGACAAGGACGTCTTTGAAAGCTTCTACAAGCAGCACCTGGCGAAACGGTTGTTGATGGGACGGTCGGTCAGCGACGACGCCGAGCGGGCCATGGTGAGCCAGCTCAAGGCGGAGTGCGGGTACCAGTTCACCAGCAAGCTGGAGGGAATGTTCAACGACATGCGCATTTCCCGGGACATGCAGGATTCCTATAAGACCTACAAGCGCGCCCAGGCGGCAAAACAACAATCGGGAGGGGAAACGAATGGCAGCGGCAGACCCATCGACATCGAAGTGGACGTATTGACCAACGGGTACTGGCCGTCTCAAAACATTCCGGCGTGCACGCTCCCGACAGTGGTCCAGGAAGCCATCGATCGGTACACAAAATTCTACCTAGAGAAACACACTGGGCGAAAATTGTCGTGGCAGACCTCTGCCGGTTCCGCGGAACTGAAGGCTACCTTTGGGTCGGACCCGAACAAGCTGCGCCGGTACGAGCTCGGTGTATCGACGTACCAGATGTGCATTTTGCTCTTGTTCAACAACGCGAAGACCCTGACCCTGGGGCAGATTCGGCTGAACACTCACATTCCCAACTCGGAACTCCGGCGCCACCTGGTCTCCCTGTGCACGCCGAAGCACAGGATTCTGCGAAAGGGGAGCCGGGGCCGCGGCATCACTTCGGACGACGACACGTTTACCTTCAACCCCGATTACACGAGCAAGCTGAAGCGGGTTCGCATCCCCCTCGTGAAGGAGACCTCGGTGTCCAAGGGCAGCGGGGACGGAGCAAACGCTGGTGGAGCCGGCGGCGCCGGTGGTGCCGCCGCGGCGTCCGCCGCGAACGGTGCCGTTCCAATGAAGGTGGAAGAGGACCGGCGCCACCTGGTCGAGGCCGCGATCGTTCGGATCATGAAGGCGCGAAAGTCGCTGGGACACAACGAACTGTTCGCCGAGGTGAGCCGGCAGCTCAGCGTCCGGTTCACCCCCTCTCCACAGTTTGTCAAGAAGCGCGTCGAGAGTCTCATCGAGCGCGAATACCTGGAGCGATCCGAGCGCGACCACCGCCAATACAGCTACGTTGCCTAGACCCCACGGCACACAAAGCCACAGCATCGGAACTCGATGCTATTTTTGCAAAAGAGTGGCACGCCGCACTTCACGGGTGGAACGAAACGCTTCCTGTGAACATTCGGTGCATAAAGCAGTTGTTGGCAACGGGGCGATCGAAGTTCTTCTCTCCATTTACCATTCTCGGCCGCCATGCTTTTGGTTGAGAAGGTCCGTAGTGGAAGATCCAATCTCAGAAGACATTCGAGACGAAGAAACCTTCTTATCTGTTTGGTATCCCAAACCACAATTTTCATTTCGACACGAGACTTATTGAAACTAGAACACTATACGTTTATATTATTAACGATGTAATAGCATTTGTAAGAGTCCGAATGCCTCGTTCGATGTTTCCAACAAAGATGCACACGAGAGATGGATCGGGCCGGGGCTCCCCTTTTGTTCCCCGCTCTGGTTCCTCCGTCAGTCAGTCGGTGGCCGCCTCCATTCCGTTTCGGATGCACTTGTCGACGACCCCCGCCAGGTGCTTGTTTTCCAGGGCGGCCCGGACCCGTTCCTTGTCGCGGAGCTGCTTGTTGATGGCCTTCTCGCTCACGTGCGTCCCCGGCTCGATCGACACGTCGACCCCGAACCTCGCCGGCGGCAGGGACCGGTGGAGCTTGACCCGCAGGCACAGGCCGATCAGCGTGGCCATGGAGCAGTGCTGTGCGGGGCAGCGGGCAGCCACGAGAGATTGCGTGCGTTGCATGGTATTTCGATTCGAACAAGGGGTTGGTGAATTTGGTGAGGGCAGCGCAGATCAATGAAAATTCCAACCGACCCGCGGCGGGTGTCGCTGCGGTGGTTGTTTTTGCGTTGCATTGCGTTGCGCTGCATTGCGTTACGTACCGGTATGGTGGGGGTAAACCGGATCCGGATCTCGTCCTTGTTCCGGTGGGTCGTTCCCCCGCGATCGCGATCCCGGGCAAGGGACAGTTCTATCTGCTCGAGGCTCACAACGCCCAGCTGCTCCAGCGAGTTGGGGTGCTCCGGGTCCTGGACGTTTCGGATGATGTCGAAGATTTCTTCCGCGGACACCTCGGTCTCGGAAAACCCGGTGGGGCGATGGCCGCCGTGGTCGGTTTCGTCATTGTCGTCGTCGTTGTTGTCGACGTCGTTTTGCTTGGCTTCCCCTCCCGGCCTTGGTTCTTCGACGTCGCCTTTTTCTTCGTCGTCGTCGTCGTCTCGCGGGATGATCCGAAAGACGGGCCTCGAAAAGTCGGCAAGGCACGACGGGACAAGCAACGATCCGGCGGTCTTGCCGGGGGAGGACGCCGACGTGCGCACCGGAATCGCGAGCCCCGCCTTGCGGAGGAGGCCGACGCCCCTCGGGTCCGATCGCGAGGCGTCCGCGAGGGCCCGGAGGACGGCCTTGTCTCCCGCCGTGGTCGGCACGACGACGAACGGGGAGGCCCCGCCGGGGGAGGCCCCCCTCCGCTCCCGCCGAAAGTCCCCCAGGTGGATCCAGTCCAGCGGGGTCTGCCGGGCCCGGGAATACCGGCCCGGGTTGTCGACCGAGAACAACTTTGGGTTGGCGTTTTCTTTCGCGGTCGCCATTCTTATTGGTTTCTTCGGGGAACCCGCGGCACCCGTGTCGTGTCGTGTCGTGTCGTGTCGTGTCGTGTCGTGTCGTGTCGTGTCGTGTCGTGTCGTTGCGTGTTCCTGTGGGCGGTGGGTGGCTGTCGGGCTTGGCGAGGGTATCCTGGTTCCGTCGTTCGGTTCCCGTCGTTCGGTTCGAGGCGGGGGTCGAGCAATTCGGGTACTGTTGTAACACGGTAGGAGTGGAGAGGGAGTGAGTTGTTGTCAATCTTGATCCTGCCCATTCGGTAGGTACAAGGTACTCGTACGTACTTCTACTGGACATGTACCGTACGGTACGGTACCGTACAGCAGGTGCTGGCCTTCGAGGGGAATTTCTCGAATTCTGGTTTGCTCGTCCATTCGGGGGCGAAAAACAAACGTGCCGAAGACGACATCAAATCAAACTGCTGCGACTGGATTGACCGAGTTGATTGATTTGATTCGTTAGGTTCGGTTCGGTTCGATCCGGCCTTGCCGTCTGTCTGTCTACAAGTAATGCCCTAAGCTTCATCAAAGAATTCAAACAAAAACCGAAACGGGAAGTACAAAATTCATACCGTACGCCTTCTACCATACCTTACGCAGAGGTACGAAACGAACGGTAATACCGAACCGGCAACGCGGTTTGCAAGAACCTACCTCGTTACGGTACCGTACCGTAGTAAGAAACACCAAACCCACAAACCTCGTCATCGGCACGGAAGAAAGCAGAGGCCGGGGCACCAGACATCCAGACACCAGACATCAAACCGCGAACCCGATCTATCTACCATTGGTACACGGCAGGGCACACATCGAACCCAAGGCACAAGACAAAGGGCACCAAAACAGCATGGGTGGTGGAATATCGAAACACGGAGGAGACGAAGCCGCCGTTCGGGCGGCATCAGCGGTCGGAGACCAGCCAGGGCAACCGCCACAGAGCCAGCCACCACCGCAACCACCTGGATCGGAACCAGACGCAGGGGACGAACCGCCCGCCTCGAAGTGCCCGATGCACAAAGCGGACGGCAGCGGGTACAGCTACGACTGGAAGCAGCTCTTCCGGGCCGCGGCCGTCCACGGTCCCGGGGGATCCAAGCCCCTCTCCGAAAAAGAACGGGCCGAGGCCACGGGAGCGACCGGTGGCGGAAGCGCCTGCCCGGTGGTGCACGATCCGGCGGCCGCCGGAGGAGGCTGCCCGGTGAGGGCCCCCCATCCCGAGTACGACGTCTACTCCCAGCCCATCGACAAGACCAACAACATGCCCAGGGGGGCGAGCGTCCAGCTCCCGAATGCCTCCCAGAGAATCGAGCTGTCCACCGAGCGCGTCTCGAGCACCATTCCAAAGGGCGGGGCCGACGGGTCCTCGGCGGCCACCTGGACGTATCCCAGCCCGCAGCAGTTCTACAACGCCCTCGCCCGCAAGGGAAAATTCGACGCCAACGGGGGCGAGTCCGAGGTGGCCTCCGAGGAGGACATGGCCAGCGTCGTGGCCCTGCACAACAACATGAACGAAAAGACCTGGGCCAAGGTCGTCGAGTGGGAGCGCCAGACCTACAGCGAGGCCTCGGCGCCGAAGCTCCTCAGGTTCTGCGGGCGCCCGCACGACCTTAGCCCCAAGGCGGCCCTCAAGCACTACCTCCTGGGCCACCCCCTCCCCTACGACCGGCACGACTGGACCGTCCTCCGGGACGACGGGTCCACGGTCCGGTACGTCATCGATTACTACTACGACGAATCGAGGGCCGGCCTGACGGACGATTCCGCCATGCCCGACCTGCACGATCGGTCCGCTACCCCCAGCCTCCTGGTGGACGTCCGGCCCGCACTGGACGGGCCCGGAAGCCTGCTGGCGCGGGGGGTCCGGATGCCCTACCGGATGGCGACGGGCCAGACGGGCTACGAGATGCTCCCGCTGCGGGGGACCCCGGAGCTGGCGGACCAGGTGAAGGAATCGGTCGAGGTCTGGAAGTCGATCCAGCAGACCCGGGCCAGGCAGGAAGACGAAAAGGCCCGGAAAGAAGCCGCGGCGGACGACGACGGCACCGCCGAAGGCTTCGACGTAAGCGAGGACCGGGCCAGGGAGATCGCGCTCGGGTTTGCCCGGGCCCTGGAGGATTGCTCGGGCGTGCGGGAAAGGATGGCGAATTGTTCCTCGGAAGACGAGTGTTCCAGGGCCAGCATGGACCTGACCCTGTGCTTCGGAAAACACCTGTGCTCGGTCCAGCACAAGAGCCTTCTCGGTGCGCTGGAGAAGGACGGCGACGATGCCAAGGCGGAGGCCGCCCTGGAGACCCTGACGCAGTGCGTCATGCTCAAGTCGGCCGAGCGGAGGTTTGCGAGGGAGCAACACCCCGGCCTGTTCGAAGAGCGGGAATAAACAGGCCGCTCCGATCGGCGGCCCACCGCGGGGCTGCCTGCTGCTAGGGTGCCAACAGACTGTAGACTAATGCGTAGTACGAAGTAGTAGTACGGTAGTAGAGTAAGAACGGCTGCGGATAGAATTTCGTTTTTACAAAAACCAGCACGATGCGTTCGAGCTACTTAGACGATTCGTTTGGGCCGGGGATCGGATCGACGCAAAGAGCGAGCGAGCCGGGCGCTGCACACATTCCGTTTCGTCAATCGAGGTACAGCGTAGTGACGAGCATGTCCAGTTTCTTTGCCTCCTTGCTGGCCTCGATGACCGTCGTGGACTCGTGAAAGGCGAAGCTGACCAGCTGGTCCGTCAGGCTGAGGAGGTAGGAGTTGCAGATCCGGCTGGCAACGTCCAGGGACAGCTCGTCGTTCTGGGGCATGGTGATGAGGTCGTCGACCTTCTTCAGCAGTTCCTGCGACTCGCTCGTTTGCTTCGACAGGCTCTGGGGCAGGACGACCGTCAGCAAATCTTCTCGCTCGGCCCGGAGCGCCCCCCGGACGGTAGCAGCTGTGATGCGATGCAATGCGATGCGGAGCGGAGCGAAGCGAAACGATACCGAACGGAAGAAACGAAAGCAAAAGAAGAAAACAGACCAAACCATTAGCCGACAAGGGACCATATGGCATTCCAAAAAAAAACAGATTTGTTTCGTCGCGCAGATTATCGACGTAAGAATACCAAACACAAAACGAGCCATCGAAACGATGTGCTACTTACCGTTGGTACCGGGGGCACCGGAAGTGTAAACATGGTTTCCACTCAGCACAAGGGCATAGGCACTGCGCAAGAAATGAATTCCAAAAGACCCCAAAAAATAAGATTGTTAGAACAAAGCACATTCGTAAAAGGAAGGCGCAGAGCGCAGCATTCCATGGGCCACAGCCAAACAACTCATCAAACCCATTTGATTTAGTACTAGTACGCACAGCAATTCAATGATCTGCTGGTGCAGATAGGAGCAGTGGCGGGTTCCCAGGATGCAGTATTTCTGCGGGCCCTGCTGTTGGATGGCAGCCAGCTCCTTCAATATATCCGTGACGCTCTTGTCTTTCACCTTGACGCGGAGCTGCGGATCTCCCACGTTGACCGATTCGACCCCGAGGTTTTCGGAGGGATCGTACTCCCCCAGGCCGTCGTATCCGTCGTCGGAACCACCCCTGGGAATCTTGATGCGAGACGGCGAACTCGCCGCCGCAACCACTCCGGAAGTTCTCGTTTCCTCGCCGGAACCGCCGGCGTTTTCATCGGCGTGGTCCCGGGAATCGGTCTCGGCGGCGTTGAGGACGAACGCGTTGCGGTGCGCGAGTGTCTCCGGGGCCGCAAAGGCTTGCTTCTGCTGTCGATCTCTTTGCGTTCCAACCAGGCGGGCGTTCGACGAACGCAGAGGGTGGAACGAAAAGGATCGCACCGGTGTTACGGAAGAGAAGGCCACGATACAGGAGAGAAGGACGAGCGACGTCGTCACAGACGACGCCAGTGGCAGGCGGCGCTTGAAGGCCGATCTCGACGACGATGTCCGCGACGAAAGCCTTCCGGTGTCGACGGTGTCAACGCACTCCGAACTCCTGCTGCTGCCGTTTCCCCTCCTTGTTTTTGCCATGGTGGTGCGGTGTTTGGTCTCCTCTGTGGTACGATGCTCGCCGATTTATAGTGCCTGTGTGGTGTTGTTCTTGATTCCAAGCGAATGATTCGGTGGCTGGTTTCCTACTCGGACGGTTTGGTTGAGATGATAGTCTACAACACAATATTTGTAATATTTGTTGAAGATCCCGAGCTTGATTGGCGACGCGATCAACAAAGGATGGAATCGTAGAAGTTAAGAAAGAAGGATCGGAAGAAGTAAAAGAACGGCAATACCGGTACATTACGACGAAAATGCGTAGAAACTGGCACATATCTTTACTTGGTATCTGAAGCGATTTTTTCCTCAAAGTGACACCGCTAATGTCGCTTGTTTAGCTCAGTTGGTTAGAGCACTTCATTAGTAATGAAGAGGTCCGTGGTTCGAATCCGCGATCAAGCTTTTTTATCTCTCTTCCGCGCGCTGCGGATTAGAAGCCCATATGGTGTACAACACTCTGCATTACTGTAAAAAATTTAGTTGAAGTCGTGTGTCTTCCTGCACCATTCTTTTGATGTCTAATAATACCTACACGAATCCTTGTGCTACTAGTATTAAGGTCAAGAGATAATATACATTGAAATACGTGTACCTATCGAATACTTCTACTGCGAATGGACAAAAAAGAGAACGCTCCGGGAGAAAACCCTACATCGGTACGGACATGGCCGTACAGAACAAAATCCATCCAAGAACGTGCAACGGCTGGCCGAGCCCGTACACCTGGGGGCTGGGATTCGCCGATGGCGGCGATTCGGTCAACCAAAGGTTCCCTCGTTTGCGCTCGTCGTGAAAATCTTTTCGCTTGCCCCCATAGATCAACCCCATACCGATGAAGGAAAATAGAAAGGCGATTCCGCTGGAATGTCCAATGGCAACGACCAATGCTACCATCAGCGCGCAATACACACGCATCCACTTTAAGAAGTCTGCCCTGTCCGATCTCCAAAAGGCGGGAGTTAGCAACACGAACTGAACGGGTGGTACTGCGAAACAGAGAAACATGGTAAAGAATTTCTGGATCGTCGGGTCCATGATGCCAAATGGCATGAAGCTGCACAGCCCCATCAAAATCCACCCAATGGATCCCAGCAGCGGTGTCTCGAGCAGCCTAGCCATCCAGGCAAGATCGAAACGAGTGATGTTTTCCCGAGCCAGGGCCGCGAAAGTAGTTCCATCCATTTTGTACACATACGTATCTCTGAAACCCGGGACGACGGGCTGGCTGCCCTGATCAAATGCGCGATCCAGTGCCATGTGAGCAGGAACAATGAGGAACATGCCGGCGATGAAGACGACCCAGCCGCGGACTGCCGTGGTCCAAAACGGTATGTAGGATTGGTTCAAGTCGACCATGTAAATTGCGTTTGTCCCCACCCAAAGAAGAAACACACCAAAAATCAAGAGCAACGGTCCCATGTTTTGAATCGTGATGCTAGCCGTGCTTCTCGGTTTCCCTTCGGTAAACCACGTATATCCCATCTTGCGGGATGCCATGAATGCCGGATAGGACAAAAGAATAAACAAAACTAGGTTTTAAAGAAAAAACAAAGATTCGTTGGTTACTTGTCAGCTATCAACAACCAGCGTATGTCACAAGATAAAGCATAATCTGCAACAAGCATCATTCGTAGCCTAATAACACTTACCTCCAAAAACGTTAAAATACCAAGGTCCATCGACCTCCGGGTCAACGATGGCCACGATCCAAAGCAATACCGAACATGCGACGAACGCTGCCATTGCTTTCTTCTTTTGTTCGGCATCTCGTTCAAGTGTAGCGGTACGCATCGGAAAACCCAGGATTGCTCCCAGCAATCCGGAAAATATGAAGCAACAACTGTTCCAGAAGTTGGCGTAAAACCGAAATCCTCCGAGGGATGGATCCAGAAAGAAACTCAGACTCCACAAGCCGAATCCGACCAGCATCGTTCTTGGTACGGGGAGAGCGTGTGCCAGCTTGGCGTATAAAATATCTGGAGAAGAGTAGTATTTCGCAGCCTCGAGAGATTGGATCGGCTCTGTGCTGTTGGACGCCGCTTGGCCCGGGTGGTACCGCTTGTCTTCGCTGTCGTCGGTGCGAACCCGAACGAGATCTCGCTCTCCGCTGGGGTGGAAACCCTGTGCCACCACCCTATTTGGATCGTACATGTGGATGTAAATTCCGTTTCCGGCTTCGTTCTCTACTCTTTGGTCTGGCTTTTCCAGTGCACCTGTTCCCTCGTTGTCCCATTTTCTCTCCATCAACCAATAGCCGACCACTGCTGTCGTCAGTCCGACCAGAGAAAGGGACGATCTGCACCCGAAAATAACGGAAAAATCCGGGTCTACATTAAAAGTTTCCCCGTTCATGATTGCAAATTCTACTGGCGTTTGCTTCTTTGCTGGTCTAGATTATCGTAACGGTGTGATGATGAACTCGTATCCAGATTGCTTTCTGTGCAGAACAAAAATGATAGCAAGAGTACAAGTACAGGACTAGTACCGTAGTTAGAGGCATTACATCTACCGGTGCATCTAGTCGTGACAGATTTTTTTAAATCTCTTCCAATTTCGTACTACTACCACGACAACGTACAAGGTAAATAGCGCTACGTTCCATGTGAACGCAAAATATTTTCAAAATCATTGTTTGGAAGTCGTATTCCGATTTGAAAGCCGGCCATCCCTGTTCTTCGTCAAAGAGGTACCTACCCTATGGAAGTACTGTATTATGGTACGTACCTTCAAAACTATGGTACAGATTACAGATCCAGCTACGTACAAAGTCATTCCTGCGATATCAGGATCAAGCTTAGGTAGTAGTCTGTGGATCACCGATGATCCTCTGGGCCCTGCTAAATATCTTTCTGAAGGAGCAGATAATGTTGCTTGAACAGCAATATAGTACTTCCTTGCCAGAACAGCCAATGTTGGGAATTGGTTGTTTTTATTTCCCCACAAGAATTGTAGTAGAGGGTTGGAGTGCCTCGTCCTGATCTTGCCACTCTCCTCATCTTTCTCAAAGAGTGCAAGTTGAGGATGGGACATAGTACCTAAGCAGCTATAGATTGCATGATTCCTTTAGACTCTGAGGATTAGTAGTAGAAGACACTGCTGGGGGTGCAGCTTGCTCTTTTTCTTGTGCCTGTCACTGCATGATCACCAAAGGGTCCTCTTCTGTACTACTAGTGTCACTATCACCAATAGCAGAGACTTTTACATAGTCATTACTGTTGTTAGTAGCTTCAAGTGCCCCACTGGTCTCTTTAGCTATCCCACTGGTGGTGGTCCTATCAGCAGTCCTGTTCATCTCTCCAATCATCAGATTTATTCTTATCCTTTGGTGCTTGGCAGACCGCAGGCAATCCTCAATAAAGTCACCACAATCAAAATCAACGTGGTTCATACTTTTTCAATGTGGGTCAAGAAAAGCTCCAATGATGAAGAGAGGACAAGTATCCTTATGTCTTTTTTGGCCACTCCATTGGAACTTTTGTTCCTCATAGGAAAACTTCTGTTGCCCTACCAGTTTTCAAAATCTTTCAACAATATTAGCTCATACATCTCACAATCATATTGTTGTCTTCACATCCCTTTTCAAGCCTAACCCTGTATCAACAAATATAGTATGGGACCCATGGTGCTGTGATATATTTGTCCCCTTTAAGTTGTTCTTGAGAGGTCTTGAAAACCTTTAGGACCTTTCTGATACTGTCAATAGTTTTGTCACTGCAAAGGTTGGAGCAAATGCTCTTCTGATAGCTCTCCATGGATGATCATTGTTTGTTGTGCTTCTTTTAAATACAAAAAGTCATCAATCATCTTGTAGATTAACCACCATCTTGTTTCAACATCTTGGGAAGGCTGGTGGATGCCACCTGCTGTGTTGTGGTGGGCACCTGTCTGTTTCTCTTTGAGAGTTTCTATGTTGACTTTTTGACGTACCTCCCATTTTTCCTCACCAATTTAACACTATCATCATCATAGGATGCATTGTCCTTGTCATATCATTTCTTGTATGTGAGATGCAAAAGATGATCAGTGCAATATGCATTCAGAATTTTTAAGTTGTTGCTCTCAAGAATTATACCAAATCTGTTCATCTGACCATCAGCAGTATCAGTTGTAGCTGCAAAAATCTTGGCACCAATGCAAGCATATTGTTTGATATCACATCTGAATGTCTCCATCATTGTCTGCTGTTGTACTACCTGGAAAAAGAAACATTTCTAGTGGAACATTATGGAAGCCAAAATTTTGGTCAATCCAATGAGCAGGCATGCTACAATAATTGTCAACTGATTTTGAAGTCCAGTGATCCAGTGTAACACAAACATCCTGTCCATCTATGACTGTATGGATCTCATCACTCTTTTGTACTATATCATTTCAAAGCTCCAAGCAAAAATAATGTTCTTCAGAAAAATAAAGATTAGTACAGACAGCTCTGAACTCCTTCCATTTGACAAAAGTAAAGGTAGGTTACATTTCACCACCATACTGAACACCACCTTCTTCTTACCATGCTTTTCTTGCATTGACAGAGATGTTTTTCTCTGATATCTTTAAATTGACTGTTGCACTGCAGTAGGGTGTGTTGAGGCTCTTGTTCTCTTGGTGCCCTTACGTGGTGGGACAATGTTGTGTCTTCTATTCATGTAACTGGTCAAACTACCACTACTCCAAGCGTTCTTTTCTGTCTTTACCTGTAGTTTTGCACCACATAGATTGCAGATTCTCCATCTTGTTCTATTGTTATATTCTGGCCACCCTTTGTCACCACCTGACTGAATTTTTTGAATGATGTCAGGATTTTTGATTTGACCAATTACTAGACAGTTCCAGAGGAAGATGAAAGTTTTACCTTCTGGTGCTTGAACAAGGTCATACTTATATCATTTCAGGGTGAGGCTTATTGTATGCATCTGCAGAATGAATATCATAGCACCAGTGATGTTTTTTCCTTGCACCAATAGAATTCTTGTTACTCTTACTTGTGGTACTACTACCAGTAGTAGTAGTTGCTTTTGTAAAATGGCTGTCTGATATTTTTGAGTGGTTGGAATATGGAAAAGGTATTCTTTTTTTACTCATATTGCAAAATAAAATGGTACAGCATGAACATTGCCTAAACATTTAGTCCCATATGAAATGACTAGTTTACTACCACTAGTACTATGAACCCCTCTAATGGTCTAAGAATTCATATTAAAATTCAGTCTTCCCTAAATATTTGGTCTCATGTGGGTTCAATCTTGCATTTTTTTGTCCCAAATGCTTCAGTCTTGCAACAGCCAAGAATGTGTACTTGTGGAGTCCCGTGTTGCACAGTTGCAAAATTTTTACCCTAGTGCAGCCTGCCTTGCAACAGTCAACTACAGACAGCAGTAGTACCTAACAGTAGTAAGAACTAAGTACTACAGTACTGTAGTATGCAAAAGAAAATTTGGGCTGCTAACATGTTACTACAACTAGTAATACAGTGCCAAGTTGAAGTGAGTGCAAAGGGGGCAATTCATTAATTAGCCAATTTGTAGAAAAATTAAATGAATTACAACTGGTAATTGCAGTCCTACTATTAAAAAAAAGCATTTCATGAACCCAGCAATGTGCTGGTTGCTTGATTGTTCTTCCTAACAAAATTTTGTCAAATTTTGACGTTCTTGATGGATAGTAATGTTGCACATGTACTCTTGAGGACATTAATTTAGCATTTGCTACACCAGTTGTTATTTTTTGGAGTGAAGTTCTCCTCAAGGACAATAACCTCTATCTGTTTGACCTATGGATCTAAAAACATATCTACAAATGTTGGTGATTTTACCATCATCTTACCCATGTTATCGTATAGAGTTGGCGGGCTACTGTACGACCCAGTCGTAGATTTTTGGCTATCTAATTACAGTGTAACGACTCCTGGGATTAAAAAATTGGCTTGTACTGCAGTGTACTACAGCAGGCACATGCTGAATTTTTGAATCCCACATTCATGCGACCAAATAGTTTCRCGCACGTGCAYGATGTAGCCCTAGTACAAGTGAAATTTTTAATCCCACGAGTCATTACACGGTAAAAAGATAGCCAAAAATCCCCGCACAGTACAAAAAACATGTAGGGCATTAAGAGAGGTTCAACTCACTCGAACAGCCATMACTTTTTCCCCAACGGACGCTTAAGTATGATAAGCACATGGTTRAAAMGAGAATTCAAAGAGCTTTCTAATGGCGTGGGGGAGTACGGCGTACGACAAATATTGACTGATATTCGTTTACGAATATATTGAATTGCTAATGTACGACTGGGTCGGCCGGAATCACTCCGCCAACGCTATACGATAGCTTTACAGACTTGAACATGCAGGTACACATGGCTCTATTTCCTGTTTTAGATTGTGTTGGTGTTTGTCTTAGTCTTGTCAGGCAATTGGTAAGATTGGAATCAGCCTTCAAGCAGGGCTATATTTCCATGCCATTTTGATTTTGCTTGCTAAAATGAATCCAACAGTGATTTTGATATGTCACTACTTGAGTGTGATAGCAAATATGGAGTAATTTTTTAGGCTATAGTACTTTGTACACATGTAGCCTACTGCCTTACAATGTTCTTGGTCATTTGTATTCATAAAAGGCACTTGGTAGCACCATTGTCAACAGGTTCCACCAGCTGGTGCAATTATATCAGCATCTGATGAGTACTAAATTGGTAAAACTACTACTAGTAGTAAGCAGTATCTCTAGAACTCTGGCATGTCTCTGTATTTTCTTGCTTTTCCAATTTGAAGTTAATTGTTTAATGATTTGATAACAATGGTGTGATCTGGTGAATTTTGGTGAGTGTGTTCTTGTTCAGAGATAGTACTAAAAAAATATAACATCATTTATGCTTGCACACCAATTGTCTCCATCCACTACTGTATGTTATACAAGAGAAATACTCTGGGATTTTGTTGCAAGTATTCACAACCCTTTAATTGATGCTGATTTGAATTTTTAAAAACCATTTGTTCTGAGATCATCAAAGCTTCCTCCTCTGCTAGTAGATTACATTGTCTTTGGACCTATTAAGAAAATTACCTATCCTCAAATGATTTTTTTCAACATGAGGACAAGGGAGTCTCATCTTGTTGGTTTGAATTTATCAGAGTCCCCTACAAAGGCAATGGGGTGGGTTACCACGGAAGTTCTTACATGATGGCTTCTTACATGATGGCTTGTCACAACAGAACAAGTTGAGATACTACTCATTCAATTTTCCAACTGTTTGATGCTAGCAAATCAATTGACTTTTTGTTGTAGGTTGGATTCCCAATGTTTGGCTTAACCTACTAGTACCAAATGTCAGGCCTCACTATCCAAGTGTTAGTAGTGCTGTAGTTTAGCAAAACACCCCCACTCTTCCTCAGTATTGTGGTAGTGTGCAGCACCCAAAAAGAATTGTTTTATTAGTCCTGTTCAGTATACCTAAAATAGAGAAAGAGGAACATCATTGCCTGCTAACACTCAGAATGATATGGGAGGTGAAATTAATGCAGTACTGATAAAGTCAAGCAGTGCTCATTTTTGCATTCTAGATCTACTACAGTGCTGGTGATATTTTGAATATAGATAAGCAAAACATTCCACCAAATGTCAAGTCATTATCTGACACTTCAAATCCCACCTCCTCTAACAAATATTCTTCACTTGTTATTTGATGCACAATATTGGTAGCATGATAATGTCAAAACTATTGGACATCTGCTATTGTTAGTTGACTAGTACAGTACTAGTACAAACTTGTGTGATGCCCAGAAAAGCACATTCAGGGCATCACCACCAGGGTGACCATAGTTTGGCAAAAAATACCATGTCATGACGATTTTCTGCAATATACTAGTAGTACAAGCCAACTCAAACAACAAGCAACAGCATTGAACAAAACAAGCAGTTGCTAGCACACAAAAAAGTAAACCCTCGTCCCTCACAAGAAACAGTCAACCAAACTTCACCCAACTGATTTAATCACATGCAAATGCCACACAAATGCCATGCAACAAAGAAGGACACTCCTTATTCTTGGAACAAGAACTATATAGTAGACATTGTGTGGGTGGGGCCTCACTACAAGAAACATAATGGTTCTTACTGCTACTTTGCAAAATCCGAGTTGCAATTGTTCATTTGACAGTCCCCGCCTCCCAAAATTTGAAATTTTAATGCAGTCTCTTCCCACCAAGAAGAGGACATGGTATTTCCCCACTTCTGTGGAGTTACATATTGAAACTACTATCAGCAGTAAGCATGTTTCCAAAACATTCAACCAATAAGAGATATAAAGAACTCAGTAGTAAGCAAAGGACTACTTGTCTGCAATCAACATATTACTAATACCACACATTATTTACAAATCAATAGCTACTGGTGTTCATAAGGACATAAGGAAAGAATTCAGAGTGGTTGACAGGCTCCTGTCTTAAGGACCCATTACTTTTTCATACATAATGAGTAAGCAGCACCAGGAAGGAGGAATAGTACTAGGACTTGTTTTCTTGAACTACTAGTAGTACCAGAACTACTACTAGTAGTATTAATCATAAGCATTAGTACTAAAAGAATGCAGTCTTCAGGAAAATCCCTGACCTGGTGCTAGCTATGGAGAACCCCCAATTGAATGTTTTTCACATTCCCGAATCATTAATAAAAAAATGCCAAGAGGGGAGTTCATCTGGCAAGGAATTTTTTCTCTTAGGCTCAATGATTTCTTATCTCACTATGGCGAAAGGCAAACAGAAATGAATTAACTTAGTTAGTTAATCAAAACAAAATCTGCTATATGGCTTTCATTGATGCCAGGCCTTCTGTTGTGTGATCGGGCCGGAAAGAAGATCCGTAAACTATGGTCCACTATGGCTGCGTCGTGATTTATACAAGTAATCTACAAGCGCACACCATCACGAGGCCGTCATCGCTCTTCTACTTTTCCGGTATACGCCTTCCCGACATGGGTCCCCGTCGTCACGACGCGCAGAAGGAGGGGTTCTCTGTTCGGATTCGTTGCGCTGCCCCCGCCCTGGGCCTCCAGGTCGGTCACCCGCAAAAACCTTCCGGAGGGCTGACCCAACCGAACGGTTTCGGCCTGCTGCAAGAACGTCTGGCCCCTGGCAATCGGCGACGACCCCCCTCCATCCCCGTCCTCGTGTCCGTCCTTGTGTTCCGTCTGAAACTCCACCAGGACGCAGGGCCGTACTTCTTCTTTCAGTCGCCCGACGGCGACCGCCCTGCTGCGCTTTGTCCGGAGGTTGTACACCGTTACCTCATCCGACGGTTGCAGCTCGCAGAGATATTTCGTAGAAACCCCGTCGCCCAGCAAAATATACGAGTGGACGGGCCCCGCGTTGATGCGAAAGGGCCGGGTGGGAACAAACCGGGACGCCGCCGCCTCGGACAGGACCAGTGCCATGGTTTTCGCGGAGGACCCCACCCAGCAGCCGTCGTCGGGACCCAGGCGTTGCACGAGATCGACGCACACCCGGTCCGCCAGCACGGTTCCCTTCGTGTCGCGGCGGTAGCACGAGCCCGCTACGATTTCGGGCGCCGGTTTCGATGGGTCCGACGACCCCTGCGGAAGGGAGTCTTGCCGCGCCCTCTCGGCTTCGTCGTTCCTCTCCCTGCGGGCCCGGAAGGCCGTCTCCCAGAGGCGGGGGTCGTCTGCCCCGTTCTTGTTCTTTGCAGCGATGCAGAGGGCATCGACGCCCAGCTCGAGGGCCTTTGCCAGCCCGGCCACGTCGGAGGCTTTCTCGACCGCAAAGGCGAGCTTGGTTCCCGTCGATCGGGCGGCGGCCACCAGGTTTTCGGCCGGAATCATCTGCCAGGATTCCCCCTGGGATTCCACTTCCACCAGGATCCACTCCACGGATCCGATTGCCGCCAGGGCCTGCTCCTGGCCGGAAGAATCCTTCAGAGCGACCACCGCTCCCACGACGCTCTGGTCACGGGGGTCCTCCAGCCGACCGCCTCTTGCTCGAAGCACCCCGGCAGCCCCCCTTTCGCTAGAAATGCTTGGCGGGGCACCGCCGTCCACGATCCATCTGTCCGCAGCCTCGCCCGGCTCGTCGAGCGAGATCGCTGGTGGAATCTGTGTTTCGCCGCGTCCGTCCCACCAGATCTCCATCCTCCGTGCGTTCTCGAAGAGTGCCGTGTCGTCGCCACCACCGCTGGTGGGTCGTCTGCCGAACCGCGACCTCTTTGTCGCTAGCAGCGTGCCGAACGAAGGACGACCGGGTTCGGTCCGGAAGGGGTGGCATCCGTCCACCCACAGAACCAGAAAGAGCAGCGAGGCGTGACAAAGCATCCGGTGCCTAGTAGATCCGATGGTGAATGCGCCGCGGTGTGGTGCGGTGCGGTGCGGTTCTTTGCTGGTGGTTTCAAAAAGAATAGTAGGAGGACCGTGGCAAGGACCGCAACCGTTACGTACCAACCAACCCCATGCGGCATGCATCTCACGAGCGTCTTGTCTGTGCTTTCGTTGAAAACATCGGTGGAGGCTCGAAAATTCGACCGCACGCACCATCGTACGGTACCGTACGTACTGTATGGTACGTAGTACCATACAGTACCAGAAGAGGGCATGATACTTTTTGAATCTTGTTCGTTGTCGACTTTCACTCAAACGTGCGTCTCGTGTCTCGTCTGTTCATTACGGTGTTGTAATGTACGGTACGTACGTATAGTACAGTCTTACAGTACGTACGTACATTACATAGCACAGCAATACAGTAGTACTACTTATTACTGAAATCATAGTGCTGCATTCTTATTTGTTTGACATGAAGCGTTAAATCATCGTTTGGGTGACTGACACCAAAACATTTGGTACGAGTACAAGTACGTATGGTAGGATATTTTGTTCCTCCTCTCCCCGGATCGGAGACACCCATCAAAAGTGCGGTAGAGAAAAAGAGGAAGAACGCAGAACACCGAACGCCGAACGCTTTCGACTCTCCGGTTTTAGATTTTTGCGAAGAAAAAGTCGAAGGAACAGGCTCACGGAATTACGGCACCGCACAGCACAACACAATACAACACAATACAACACAACACAACACGACACAATCGGCCACCCCCGCCACACCGAACGCACAAACGCACCGTCCAAAACCAACGCGTGCAACACAAGATGCTCCCGAAGATCTCCTTTCTGCTCGCCACCGCGGCGTTTCTGCGCTTCGCCGCCGATCGGCTCGGCACAGCGGACGCCTACAACGTCGTCCGGGTGTGCTCCAACAAGCACTGCTCCAAGAGGGCAAGGGGGGACGTCCTCCAAACGATCCACAACCTCTTGGGAACCACCGGCGGGGAAACAGAAACCAGGGTCGTCGTGGAAGCATCGGGGTGCCTTTCCCACTGCGACAAGGGCCCGAACCTGGAGGTGAAAACGAAGGACGGGACCACGATCCTCCAGGGAATGATCGACGCCCAGATGTGCGCCTACCAGCTGGGAGAAATATCCTCGGCGTCGCCCTCCTTCCCCCCCGTCCCCAAGCTGCTGGTGGCCGCCAGCAAGGTCATCGAGCAGAGCGAGCGGTTCGCTTCCGAGGGCAACCACCGGGAGCAGATCCGGTACCTCGGGTCCGTCATCGACAAGGTCGGGGCCTCCCCCTCCCTCTCCCCCCTCACGGCCGCCAACGCCCATGCCCACGCGCTGCGCGCCCGGGCCCACCTGAAGCTCGCGTGCAGCGAGGGGGAGGGGCTTCCCCCCAGGAGCGAGTCGTTCGCGGCCTCGGTCCGCGACGCCCGGAGGGTCGTCCAGGACTTTTCGGAGGTTTCGACCCCCTCGAGCCTGTCCATTGCCTACCGGACGTGGGCCGACGCTCTCCTGGAGCAGCAGAAGGAAACGGAGGACGAACCGTCCAAACAAAGGGACCTCGGCCAGGTGGTCGCCGTCCTGACGCAGTGGCACCGCGTGCAACCCGTCTACCGCACCAAGCTCCAGGGAGAAATACGGGGGTTGCTCGCCAACACGTGACTCTGGTCCGCAACAGACAAAGGACGGAGAGAGGGTTCACCACAGCAGTAGTGTGTCGTCTCCGGAATATAAATACAGTATGTGTTTTTTACTGTACTTCATAGAGTGTCAGGCATGGAACACGAAACAATTTCTTAATTTGGCAACTAGCGTCTCTATAACTAGACTAGACCATCACAGGTCGTAGAGATTGTTTCGATCGACCGATCCTGCAATGCATTGCAGTACCTATACATTACAAAATGTTCGTGCGACATTCTGTTCACTTTTCAGACAAGGGGTTGTGTGGTATTGTTCTTGGAGCTATTCGTCATCGTCCTTTGGAAGACTTCCGGCAATCGAAACCAGATCTAAGGTACGGGAGATTGCCACAAAACAAAACAAGCGGCAAACGAATCAGTATAAACCGAAATAACTTATTTCACGAGAGAACGGCCGACGCGAATGCCACGATTCTCACAACAATCCAGAAAAAGAATCAAAGGAACGTACAACACAGCACGAAACGAGAAAACACGAATGGGAGTCACGCCGTTTCAAAACTTACTGATGCAATACCGATTGCCCTTTCGGTCCGGAAGGTTGTGACCCTAGATCCAACACAAAACGAATTCGAATACAAATACGAATGCGAAAAAAAAAATAAAACAAAACAAAACAAAACAAAACAAAACCAAACGGAATCAGAGTTGCGCACTGTATGGCCAGACATTGCCAAGAGGACGTTCTGTTCCCGCACACCCGCGCTCGCTCGCGTTCACTCACCAGGTGAGAACCGTCGACGGAGACCATTTCGCCTCCGGGAAGGACGCGCGCATAGTTCCAATCGACCTCGGAATCCCGGAACGAGGGCCACCCGTGGTTTCGGCTCTCGTCGACAAAGTCCGCCCACGTGCGATCCCGCGGAGCCGTAAACAGAGGGGAGCCCTTCCACCCAGAGTCGTAAAAGGTGACCGTGCCGCTCTCGGTTTCGATGTTCTCCCGGACGTCCGACAAGAACGAAGTGGACTCCCAGTATCCGGAGTATTCTTTCGTTGGCAAAGATGGTCCACGCCGAAGGTTGGAAGGTAATTAGAAACACGTTTCACAAAAGGAATCGAGGCCAGCAACGTTCGTTCGCGATTTGTTCGTCACAAGGTCCTTACTCACCCGCATAGTGTCGATTGAAGTTGTTGATGCGATCGGCCAAATCCCAGTCAACGCCCCAACGCAAATTTTGTTGCTGCGGGTAGAAAAGAACGCCAGCAATAGAACACAGCATACAACAAGTTCTTGTGAGACAAAGATCGGACGATTTTCACGGGAGTGGGAACTATTGTTGCACGACACAGCTACTACAGACACAAACAACGTTCGAGTCACTGTCGGCTCGACCGTAGCGACAAAAACAGCGGGAGGAACCGCATCGGATCGCTTCCAAGCCGGACCCGATGTTCGTTCGGTCGCACTGTTCGTCCGCCGACACTCACAACGGGATATTCGCTCGTCCCGTGCGCCTTTGGCTTCATGATGTCCTCGCTTCCGGGAACGCAAGGATCGGTGCACTGCGCTTGCGCAAACACCTTCGCGAGGGGGCTGCTCCCACCGTCCGCCGACGGGGACGTGAGGGCCATGAGACCTCCCGTCACGACCAAGATGGCGACCGCCATCGTGGCGGCGATCTTGGTGTCTCCACTCCTCTTCCCGGCCCGGCGTGTTCTCGCGGGCGGTGCCGGTTCGGGCGTTTTCTCTGGTGTCTCCATGGTGCAGGCGGGTCCCGGGGGTGGCGGCGGTTCTCTGTCGATTGCACCGTACATTTGGAGAGATTTCGTTCCGGTTTCGAAAAAGGCCTCGGGGTTTCCAACTGCTCTGAAAACCGCGAAGTTCGATCGAACCCATGCATAGTAAAATCGTACGGTACAGTCGTTCCATTCGAACTAAGGTACAGTACAGTCAGTACGTTACCACAACGTAGAACGCAGTACGGTACAGAACGCGGACTTGACGCATTCAGAAACACGGTTTTGGCACGCGATGGATGCATTGCATACGAGTACGTGTACTCGTACCGCAGCTTGCCTCTTTGATGCCGGTCGTACCTGTAGGAGTAGCACGGAACCTTTTGAGTGACTCAATCGTGTGAAACTTGAATACAGTAGTACAGTACAGTAAATTTATTCTGGTTAAGGTTATTCCATTACGGCTGAGTATATTGTATGAGTTAGTATGAATCGTATGATAACAGGTACTGAACACGTAATGGAACTGTATTGGAAGATACACGCGCTGCGCAGGCACCCTGCGGTGCCATGTTCTTCAGTTGTTCTCGTTCTCTCTCACACAATTCATTCTGCAGAAAGAAAACAAACAACAGCCAAACCGGATCGACTCGGCGATGATGCCACCGGAGAGTGCAAAAGGAGTGGGAACAACAGCTTCTCAATGAGCGAAAAACGAATAGGAAAACAGCGGCGTTACATGCGGCTGTCGACTTCGCCTGTGCCGAGGTCCTTGCCGCTGGCGAGTCTGCTCGGATTGGTCTTGCTGTTGCTGTCGGTGCCCTGGTTTCTCGCAACCGATGGCGTGAGTTCCTTCCCCAATCCAACAACACACACGGCCTCTCCTGGATCTCCCCGCGCTTCTCGTGTTGGTAGATGCCTTCGGGCCTCGTTCTTTGACAACGAAAGCGACTCGAGTCGGGGAGGAGGCACGGGCAACAGCGAAGACGACCTGAATTTGCTGAAAGAGATTCGGGAACGACAGCTTCGAGACGCCGTTATAGAAGATTTGTTCCTCTCGCAGGGCGTCCGACCCACCAACACCCAGTCCCCGTCGTCTTTCGTTTCGTTGTCGCTGGTAGGGCAAGGAAAATTGCCACTGGCTGCGAGCATGCCCAGCTACGATGACAAGGAGGCGGAGAAAAAGGACGATCGCAACGAAAAGGGCAGAAGAAAAACATCGTTTGCGTCGGTGCTTGTTCTGGCTCCGAGGAACGACAATGATTTTCCCCTCGACAAGAACAATCTCGGTAGTGACGAAGATAGTATTAGTATTCGCCAACCTCTCCCGGCCCTGTTTCTTCCGCTCACAGCGCCGATCGAGTCGAGATTGCAACTCCTGTCCAAAGTTTACGAGGGGAAACCGGTCTCGTCCTTGACGAGCCTGATACTCTGGAATCTCAATCTGATCAACCGCGACGGATCGCTCTTCGACAACATCCCATGGAATCAATGGACCAAAGATCCAGACGGCAAGAACAGAGACCCAGCGGGGAATTTTGTGGACGAAAAGTCCCGGTACGGGAAACGCGATGCTTTCAATCGTTTCATTGGGAAAGATTCAAACTCGAAAACCATATCCGAGAGCCAGCGGAGGTACTGGGAAAAGAAACTATCGACGCTTCTCGGAGAGAAGAACAATGATGGTGACGGTGCAATTGATCAGAACGTGACAGACGAGGTGGAAGATTCGGATTCCTCGTTTTCGCTCTCGTTCTTGTCCAAACGGGTATTGGAGCTTCGGATACGAGAGATACGCATGGAGATCGCCGAAGTGGATTCGCAGCTTGCGGTATCCCGGAATAACGACATCAGTACGAGCAACCTACAGGAACTCGAAGACACAAGAGTTGAATTGCAACAGACTCTTCACGAAGCAGAGAGAAACTTGAGCGATCTCTTGTCTTCTATGTCGTCCACGTCCTTATCCGATACGGAAGCCACAGACGACCGGATCAATCTTTTCGACAGAATAGCCAGGTTTGCTCTCGACATCAGCATGCCTTTTAGAACGGAACAAAAGGAGGCCCCCTACCGTGGTGCCACGGGCTATGCCCCCCGTCTTAGCGATACAGAAGACGACAGCGATGTCGAATTCTACAGAAGCCCCTACGACTTGCTCAACGAGATTCTGAGCGATCAACTCAACGCAGAGGTCATTGGGTGCGTACTGGAAAACACCAGCTGGTTGGGCGGAAATCTAGCCCTGGAGGGAGCCGTCGTTCTGCGGAGGAGAACTCCCGTCGTTGAATCGACTTTGATGGGAGAAACCATCCGAGCCCCTGATCGAGACGAAGACTTTGGAAATTCCGTCAAGGGCGGAGAGATTTTTGTAGTCGAATGCGACGGTGACGAGGCGATTGGTATGGCTCTATCGTGCAATCTCCCCGTCAAGATCGAACGGACCATCTTTGAAAGGTCTTCGATCGCGGGAGTCCCGTCGCAACCAACAGCGGGCTCCGACCAAAAAGATGCCAACGGCAATGCTCCGAAAAGCAAAAAGTTCGGCACTTACAAGAACATAAAGGAAAACATTCCATACTGGAAACCGATGGATGCAGGAATATCACTCCATGTAGAGGGCGACAGGACCAATCGAGACGCAGAAAGACTTTCGCCACTTTCCATTCCCAGGACTACATCCTCGTTGTTCGATAGTATATTTGAACCAGAATCAAATCAGGGAGAGGACAAGACGCCCTCTTCGATGTTTCCAACTGACAACCCCATAAAATCAATAGATCAATTGGATCGTCTCAAAGATGGAGACAAGGCCAAGACGCTTTTAGAAATGAGCAATTTTTCGGGTAGGCTTCCGAGGCCACGAACGGTCAGAAACGCGCCAGCCGATGAGAACCCGTTGGACAACCTCTTGTTGCCACTCATCGACGAGGCGGTACGAAGTGAGTACAAAATCAGGGAAGCAGAGCGGCAAGGTGATCTGGATCTTGCAAACGAACTCAAGGCCAATAAAAGCGAGCTGCAAAAGGCCAGAGAAAAGGTAGACGCAGCAAGGAGGGACGGAAAGGAGGATCTGGCTCGGGCACTGGAAGACGAGACTGCGTTCTTAGAAGCACTCAAGGCCGACGTCACGCAAGACGATGGCGCATATAGCAGATTCTTGGACCGAGATGATTGGTACGAACGAGATCGACAAAAAACGGCAGCTCGCGTCAAAAAATCCTCTTTCGGAAATTTACTAGATGGGATAGAATGAGTATGACGTATGTGTAGATAATCGACACATACTCCCAATTCAAGAACGATCTCACTAGAACATATCTTTCTAAAGGAATAGAACTTTATCGGTTAGCAAAGTACAGCCACAAATCTGTGTACCTACACGCTCAATTTGGCAAGCTCTTCCCGAAGACTTGGTTCGGAGGCAACCTTTTTGGCTTGGTCTTCGTTCAATTCGGATGGGTCTTTTTGTTTCAATTCATCGATTTGTCGAAGAACTTTGTTGATCTTTTTGGCACGTTTGACCGGGTCCACCGGTTTGTTTGCCTCTTCCTGTGCTTTTTGTTCCGCTGCCAGCTTCTCTTCTAGGGCTTTTCGTGCGGCTTCTTCTTTCTTCTTCTGTTGCTGTTTTTCCCTTCGCAGCGCCGACTTGCTTTTTCCTTCCTTTTGCTCTGGTGGTGCCATACCAACCACAACCTTCCCAGTTGCTCCAACAACACCGCGTTTCATTCCAGGGGTAGTCTTAGTGACTTTCTGTGCACCAAGCATCTTTCCTTCTTTTTCCGCTCGCATACGATCCGCAAGGCTGTTTCCCCCTCCTCGTCCAGCACGATTTCGTTGGGACGGTGGAATGTATCTCCCAGCTGGTTTGGGAGCGGCAGCCGCTGACGCGGCAGCGGCGTCGGGTCCGGTCCCTAGGTCTTTCAAAGACGGAGATTGCGGTCGATCTGGATATACAACTTCGGGTGCAGCCGGCACAAAGGTTGCTTGCAAGAGTCGATCTGGAAGATAATTCTCATTGTTCCAGGGTAGTACATTGTTGTTGATCTTTTCTCCATTGTACCGGTATAGATTGACGCCATTCGACACGTTCATGCGCGGGGACGTGGTTGCAACGACGAACAGTCGTGAATCCGGTGACCATCCAAACTGTGTTGTCTCACTCGCAGTGACAGGCGTTCCAGGAGGAATTTGTTTTCCTTTGTTCTTATCCCAAAATGTCATGCCTCCAGCCTTTTATTTGGGTATCAAACAGGACATCCGAGACAATTGTTTTGGATCCATTCAGGTTCAGAATATTAGATGAATGCAATGCGTACTGATGAGTATGACTCTTTCTGTGACGTTTTTTTCGACGATTAGTCTTGAATTTCACTTACCAAGTTTCCGAATCCAGCCAAATTCACGAACCGTCCATGGGGCGCCCACGACACCGTGTTTTGATGGCGGTTTCCGAACAAGAACGTAGCTTTTCCGTCCCGACCGTTGTGCAAGGATGCCATCGACGGCATCCGTCCAGCTGCTACGGCAAAACAAGGTGGCTTTTCGGCATTGGGCATCCATCCGACATCTAGCACGGGTCCTTCCTGAGGAAGTGGCACGGCAATGGCGTCGTTCGAGGTCTGTTGGGACATCAAAAACAAGGATGAGGATCCGTAATAGGACTCTCCGGTGTTGTCTACAGAGCTCTGCAAGGCGATGAGAGCGACGTCTCCTCTGGGACTCCAATGAACTGTCATCTCCTCCGCATTGAAAAGAGATTTGCTAGCAATCGCGGGATACGGTGAAGCAGACTCATTAGCAGGAGGGTATTCATACAAAGCGGCCCGCGCTGGTTTGTTCTTGTCCTTCCCAATGAAGGCTGCAAACAAGATTTTCCCTACACTATCGGTTGCAGTAGACGACGGCAAACTCATTTGAGTGATCTGTGGAATGCGAATTTTATCCACAAATCTGGTTTCTGCTTTTTGAGGAAAGGTGCCCGGATAGATGCGAACCTCATTGGTGGTCAACAAAAAGGCGAATTTTTCGTCGTGCGTCCATTGCAAGTACGGCCAGCAATTTCGGTTGATCATTTTCCGTCGAAAGCCCGTTACACATTCCCCGGTGGATGTATTCCAAACTTTGAGGTTGTTCTCACTCTCGTTGGCGCTGCCGCGTTCCCATGTCAACAGATAGCTTCCTTTTGGGGACACGTCCATTATTTGAACCTTCGAAGTGTTGGGAAAAAACGGCTGATCGGAGTTTTGGGTGTCGTTTCCGTCCAAGTCGATTTTCACAATCCCCTTGTCGGGACGATGGACCAAGACAGCCGATCCATCGGGCAGCATAGTTTGAAAGGAGGAAGCTCCCTTCAAAAGAAATTTCCGATCGGTCGCTGGTGGCAAAGGTTCTGCGTCGCGTTCTGATCGCACGGAGAAGATTTCGATCCCCTCCTTCGAGCGGAACAAAAGACGGCACGGAGGCAGAGCGTCACTCATTTTGTTGTTTCTGGAGAAGACTGCTGTATTCGAGTATCCTTCGTTTTGTCAACTGCTGGTCTCTACCGTAACGAAACAGCGATAGTAGCCAATTTGATCTTATTGGGTGGACAAGCAACGAATCTAAGAGACCTTGCCTTGTGAGAGACACCTGTACAACCAACAACACCTATCGGGAAGTTGGGACGTGTGCTCGATTTAGTCTGGTTTCGAAAGTCGGTCTTTTTGCACGTGAATAACGTATTTCGTACTACGATGTCGAAAATTACTTTTTGAGAATATTTTTGCGGCTCCAATTTCTTGACTCAAAATCACTCGGGAATGCTCCCGGACATGAACATATTCGTGTACAATATCTTCTGTAGGTACAGAACATATTATTGCGGTTTGTATCGCGGAATGATCCCGCAAGCGACATAATTTTTGTCCTCACCGTACATATACCGTACATACGGTACGTCCCATACCTGTACGTACTGTATCGCTTAAGGAAATCGGAAATGCAAACGAAACATATCTTCATTAGGTATGACTGATATGAATTCTATGTATATTGACTTTTTTGCGACCGTTAAAATTTCAACCGAACGATTCAAGGCGAAAGAAAATTGATGTTGATGTCATCTCTGTCACAAAGAATTTCTGATAGAACAGAAAGAAGCCTTGTCGGCAGACTTTTTTCGTTTTGGGTTCCAATTCTATTCACGAAGTTTGAAAGTTKACAAGATGAGTCGGTCGTCGTCATCTGTTGTAATTCAATGCCAATGCCGAATGCATGATACAGAGTCAGGTTACTGTTCACAGACTTCTTTTCGTTTATTTCAAAGTATTCTAACCTTGTAGTCATCGCTTCAAAGAATTCTCCATTCTCTGAAAAAATAGAACTATCAAACTGTCAAAACCTTCGATTTATCATTTGCATCGGAACAACGACACATACCGTAGGCCACAAGACTCGAGTGACAACAAATACGTCTGTAAAGACCGGACCAGACAAATGATAAACATCGATTTTGATTCAGGGCATGTGGCCAACCCCGGAACGAACCGTGTTCGTGGCGGGGCACGTGTTTCTCTGTTGTGGGCCTCGATAGCTCTCTGCTTCTTTTCATGTTCTTGCTCGGCATACTCTCCCGATGTCAACCACAGAAGTGTCGCAGGATTGTGGAAGCTGAAACAGATGCCAACGCTTTCTTATCCCCTGAAAGAGTTCACCGTTTATCCGAAAGTTCCAAAAAACAGCAACAACGACAAGAAGGAGGTACTATTGATGCTCAAGGAAGATGGGTCGTTTCAGCAATATTCTAGCGAAGAGGAAGGGATTCCCGACAAGGTACGATTTTTTGACAACGACCGGACGAAAGAGAACGCCGATGAAGACAATGACGTTCTCGATCGTTACTGTGAATTTGGCAAGCTTAAGGGGAAATGGAATCTGGTTGGGGGCAGACTGGTTCTTGCCGCGGACAGGCCCATGGATGATACTGGACAATCCACTTCGTCGCTGAAAAGCAGAAGTGATATCACGGACACAATTTTGGAGGGTGAAGTCGTCGCAACCACAGAGGAAGGCTTGGTGGACAATCCCGTGCTGAGTGATCACAGAGAGGATACTCAAGCGCATACCAGTGGCAAAGATAGCACCAGCGACAAATCCAAATCAAGCGCATCCAAGCACGGTGTACCAAAAGAAAGAAGTAGTAGGAGAAGTGGTAGGAGTACGACTGTGGTGGACACGCACTTGTCTGTGCCAAAGGGGCGAGTGAACATTGGGCGTTTTACGTATCCAACACACCATCCATCCTTTTTTGACGCGCCGATGTTTAATCCCAGAGCGGGTGGAAAATTCGAGCTCAAGCAAGTTTTGGGCACACTGAATACCCAGCAACAGCAAGCCGAGGAGCTCGAAGAGAAATTTTCGCCCTCGGATTTTTACAACAAGACGTTTTTGCTCAGCACTCGCCCAATACCACAATTTCAGCCAAAGGGAAACAAACGATGGTCCATAAAATACAACAAATTCGTCGGTACGTTTGCAATAGTGGAAGAAAGCAACACGAATAGTAGTTGCTATGTTATTAGGCTCGTGACTTGTAGGTTTGATAATCTATACGTTTACAATTACGAGGAGCTCTTACCCGTGATTTTGCTTTCCTGCGTGATATATCTCCTTCCGTTCGAAACATTTAGAGGATCCGCCACCGAAGGCGAAGAAAAACGAAGACGAGGAGCTCGATAAACCTCTCCACAATATCAGGGTCCTCGAACTCAAGTTCTTTGCAAACAATACGTTTGCCACGATCGGTGGCATGGGTGGCTCTGCTATTTTGCGAGGTAGGTTTTCGGTGATAGGGGAAAAACGTGATCATATTTGGATGCAGGTGATGCGATTCGGATTTGGCAGGTCGGTCTCGGGATCTGTCTTTAGTGAGGGGAGGTCGTTGTCGAAGGATGACGAAAAAGCATACTGGGGGAAAATCGAGTACCTGAACGACCAAGTTGGAGAAGCCGGTGAAAAGTCGGACACAATCATGCCTGATGGAACACTCGGCAACTGTGGCACGAACAACGAAGACGGAGGCCCAAAAATGATAGTGAAAGGTTCAGTTCTGTTCGGTTACGGGCTCGAACCAATGCCCATAGGTTTGTTTGTTCTTACGGAGACAAACTCCGCAGAAGAGTACGATTACGAAGATGACGAAGATGACGACGACGATGACGATGACGGTAATAATGACTTTGAAGACAATCCATTTTTCTTAGATATGGACAATTCCTTTCAGTGAAAAACCAACCCAGGACAGAAGACAAAGTGAGGGATCACAATATTGCCACTTTGTCGGCGCTCCCCTGGTTGTTTAGAACTTGTAGTTGGCCGAGAAAACGGAAAGAAGGGGTAGCAATCTATTCAAATTGAGCTCTGATAAACTTTTACGAATCCAATCTACATCGGTATCATTTCGCAGCTCTGTGCCAGTATGTATTCTATGACGAACCAAACTTAGACATATGAAATAGTGCATGTAAAACAATAACATTCTCTTGAGCTTCCTAGTCGTCGTTAGTTTCAATTACTTGTACCATTTAAATTTGTCAAATTAGTACTATTGAATACAACAAGGGATGATACCAATCTAAAAGTCAAAACGGAAAGTACTGAAAATTAAAAGTATTAAACCAGTCACTTAAATACGTTCCCAAACATATCTTACATACTTGGTTCGCACCCTAACTTCTCTTTCTCTTTCCCCAGGTTCTCGATCATCACGCCGACGCGTTCTTTGATCCAGTCGTAGAGCTCGGGCTTTGCGTCGATGGCTTCCTTGTGCCTCGGACGTTTTCCGTCCCGAACGTCTTCCGCGACGTGCAAGAGCGCCAGCCAGAGCCGACCGATTACCGTCCTCGTGACAAAATTTTGCACCGACTGTGGCACGACGCCCAGGTGCGGGTCGACCTCCAGCGTCAGGTTCATCAAGATCAGTGGCTCGTGGTCTTTGTCGTTGCTGTGGTGCTTGGATCGAGCGACGCACGGATGGTCCGGCGGACAAGCCTGAATCAACATAAAGTTCGAAAAATCCACGCGGACCGCTTCCCTCGTCGCCTTCGGTATCACCGGATCGTCGTCCGACGTTTGGCTCACGGCCTGGATGGCAATGCAGCTGCGGTCCTCCTCGATGGCATCGGCTGCCATTACGCGAAACACCACTTCCCGGTCGGCAAAGGGCCACGCCAGGGAGGTTGTTACTCGGATGATTTGTTTCCCTCGCCCCTCGTCCTTGAGTTTTTCGGAGCGTGATATCCCGAGCCGTACGGGTCTTTCCCAGCACGGCATCCACGACGAGAAAAGTTCCGACTCGTTGAAAACCGATAGCAAAGGAACCAACAGGCTGCTCTCAAAGGCACAGTCGATGCGTGCTATCAGTTTGTTGTTGTCTGTCAACTGATAAAAGACAAGAAAATCCCGATGTCCGTGTTGTTCCCTCTGTTTGATCCAGGGACTTCCATCTCGTTCTGGATCTTGCAACAAGTTGTCGATACCGCTCTCGATAAGATCCGCCCACCGAAGAATTCTTTTGTGGCGATCCGTCAAGCAATTGTCTTTGTCTTTCACTTGCTTCAGCACCTCAGCTGCCTTCAAGAGACGTTCTTCGCCGTAAAATTCTTCGGCTCTCTCGAGCAGCACGGCGTCGTCCGTGGTGTCGGGCGAAGGATCAGGAGAAGACTCGTTCATTTCTTGTGTTTTGCTCGTTCCAATTATTACTTATTGAATCTGATTCTTTTGCATATATCGAACGTGTCAGTGAAGGTTACCAGACGAACTTCTTGCACATTGAGCATTGCTGAGAGGGATTACATAAAGTGCTGATTGTGAGAAAGAGCAGTTCCATGATGCAATGGACAAAAAGCTTTGGAGACATGCCGACGCCACTTGTTTGAAATAGACAATTTTTATTTGCAGCAGGGAGCTGTGATCTTGCTCGCCCAGCGAGCGTGAACAGAATGGGTCATTCCCGATAATATCTTGTACGTACTTACTGTATCATGTATGCATTCGGGAATGACATCAGTGGTACCGAAGACACGGGAGCTGAAAGTACATATTTCATATTTCCCCCCCATTTTGGGAATTGGTCTGCTTCGGGGGCAGTGGAAGTCGAAGGTGTCATCGCACGCCACCACCAGCAATGAGTTATATGCTGGCATCTCATTCCCATAACTTTATTGTTTTACCATGTTTCTTATAGTTAAAACCCTTGTACTGGCTCTACAACTAAAAAGATTGCTCCGGAAAGTTTCTTGAAAATCCACCCCCCAGACCCCCCTTCCGCTGAAGCGAAACAATTACAGTCTTCGACTTCCATGATTTGGAATCCCATAATTGCATGTGAATTTCACAAGATCCCAGTTTCTTGTGATGGTGGCACCAATTCAGATTTTCACAAAACCAGCTAGTATGGCTCTGAAACTTTGGAAAGCATCTCCTTGCAGCACTGAAACAACTATTGTCAAAGCATCTCCTCCCACTCATTATTTGCCTATCAATTCCTCCAAACAAATAGCCTCCAAAACAGTCTCCGAAATAGTCTCCATCCTCACTCTTTGGCTATTGATTCCTCCATCACAGCAAAATGTCCCCTGAGTTGCTGCTATTGCTGCTTGATAAGGAGGATCTTGACTATGATCTCTTTGCAGGAGGAGGACTTGGGGTGTGTGGAGTACTCAGAGGAGGGATAGCGTTAGTAGTCGACAGCAAGAATGCTTGAGTGGTTGAACCAATCAATGCTTGAGTCAATTGAGTTCCTTGTTGAGTCATTTGAGTTCCTTGAGTCAGAGCAGTAAGTTGAGCAAGCTGCACCATCTGAGCCAACCCCTGAGTTGGTGTCTCAAGCTGAGTGAGCTGAGTGAGCTGAGTTGGCATTGGAAGAGTTTCTAGAGTAAGTGGAGAAGAAGGCTGTTGAAGTGGCGGAAGACTATTGTTGTTGTTGTTGTTGTTGTTGTTGTTGTTGTTGTTGTTTAAAGTGATGTTATCCTCACTAATCTTGTATCCTTCTTCCAAATTGAATTCCTTCTCTCCATCTCCAATGACAGCCTTCACACCAATCAACTCCTTGGTGATTTCCTTTGCAAGAAGCTTGATGGCAGGAGACATCTCTGGATCCCCAGTAGGAATCTTCTTCCTATAGAGGTAGGACCACTTGTGGTCATCCTCGCCCTCCCTGTCTTCCCTCTCCAGGCAAGAGTGCTGGTGCTCCTTCCCTCTCTTCGCAAGCTCATGCATCTTCTTGTGTTACTATTACTAGTAACTAGAGAGTTGCACATGCCTGTCAGCAGGTCCCCCCCCTATCATTTTCAGCACACTTGTCCTCTTCTTCAATGATACATTGTTTGATTTTCCTTGCTGTCTTTGTTGAATGCGTTCTGCCTTCTTGTGTTGCATGTGATCTGTTGTTGTTGAGGGGAAGCAAAGATATGCTTGTTCTTTTAAGAACAAGGAAGATTGAAATTTTCAGTTTGGCGACAAGTGACTCCTGTCTTTAGGGCATGCCCACTTACAAGACTGAAAATGTTAAGTCAAGGATTCCAATAAATATTTATGTCAAATACACAGATCTTGGTTGTCGGTCTGCCTTCTTCTTGTTCCTCTAGATTTGTCTAATCTAGCTTTCTGGGTACCATGACCCAACAAAAGTTGAATGAGTTTGTGCTAGATTGTAAAATTATGAAGTTGTTACTGTTATACGAAATGCTCCATGATAAAGTAGTACTATGTACATCATAGTTGTGAAAGCATTGTCAGCACATTGTTGATTCTAGATGTTTCTGTATTGTACATCTATGTAACTCTTAATAATTGTACAGATAAGCCCTTCCCCAGTTTTTCAAACCCCTAATCATTACAAAATTTTCTCTTCAAAAATCCCGACACATCACCAACGGATCTAATCGGTTGGCTAGAGACCATTCAATGTGTTTCTGTATTCTCCATTAATCACTGCATTCGACTACATATAATTGACACAGGTATCTGACTCGACCATGTATCGTCATTCCTTACGTGTCGACGAACACTTTTCAACACAGCCAATGAATCTGCTGAATCGTCGCTGCTCCCTCTCCGTTTTCGCGTCTTCTTCGATTTCTTTTTGGAAAAAGTCTTGGATTTTTTTGCTTCTTTTTTCCCCCTGTTTTTATCGCTACTCTTCTTGGGCATCTTCTTCGAAGATTTCTTTAACTTAGAATTTTTCTGCGGCGTTTTCTTTGAAGATGTTTTCTTCGAAGATGTTTTCTTCGAAGATGTCATCTTTGAAGATGTCTTCTTCGATGATTTCTTCTTTGATAAATTTTTCTTCGATGATTTCTTCTTCGATGATTTATCTTTCGAAGATTTCTTTTTCTGAGATGACTTTTTCTTCTTCCCTTTACCTTTCGACGTTTTCTTCTTTTTCGTGCCGATTTTAATTCCATGCTCGTTAATTATTCCTTCCAATTTTTTATTTTGTGCTAGTGCATCACTGAGTTCTTCTTTTGTGGACTCAACCGCCGCTCTTAGATAAATGAGTTCCTTCTCGTCACGATTCTGAGTAGCTAGTTGTGTCTGAAGATCAATGATTTCCAACTCTAGAGATGCAATCGTCTCGTCCTGTTCTTCTCTTTCAAGACACAAGTCTTCTCGTTCGTTTGCTAGCCTTTCTTGGAGCTTATGATTCACGTCCATCATATCATCAATTTGCTGGTTCACAAAATCTTTCATTTCTCGCTGCTTTTCTTCGATCTGCTTCTTTTTGTCTGCATATTCCGTCAACATGTCTAATTCTTGTCGATGTCTGAATTTTTCTCTTTCGAGATTCCTGTCATTCTCATCTTCCAACTCTCTTCTCGCATCTTCTATTTGTTGTTCCCGATCCCATAACCAAGTTTCTCTTTCCCGTTCTAAACGACGCAGGGTTTCCCCAGTATCCTCCCCATCATTGGCAGAAATTAAAGCTTCGACTTCTTCTTCCAGCTTCTGTCTTTCATTGTCGCTGAGCCTTAGTAATGTGTCCTTGTCCTTCAATTTCAAGTTCATCATTTCAATAGTTTCAGTTTGTCGTTGGATGGTTTCGTAAAGATCGTCTAGGCGCCTTTCTCGGTCGTCTACAGTTATCTCTAAATCATCGATTTTAGCCTCAAGATTGCTAGCATCGTTTAGCGCCTTCGTGAGTCCAATTTTAGCTTGGGCAATAAGCTCCGTAGAGTTGTCAAACTTTATTCTGTCCTTCCTATGATTCTCGTATTGTTTTTCTGACTGCTTTTTCCGCTTACTTAATTGTTCTCGCAAAGACTGCGTTTCTGACGTGAGATCACTTACTTGCTGACGCAATAACGAAGTTTCTGCATCAGTAGTTACCATTTTTGACCTGAGACCTCTTTTATCCATTTGAAGTCTAGCGCATTCCATCTTGGAGGCGTACAAATCATTTTGTAGCTGAATAATCATTTCTAACTTTTCCATATCTTCGCCCAATAGTTTCTGAATTTTGTTTCTCGCATTCGTATTTGGTTTGGAAGATGGGGCATCATCTGTCTTGCAAATCGATCCATATGTCCCACGTGTGACATTATCATTGCTCTCTGCTTCCCTCTCGTAATTAAAATGGTTCTTTGATACATCGTCCGTTTTTGAAGTAGTACTGGGTGGACTCGTGTTTTGGTTCAATTGCCCAAGTGGTTCTCTCAATTCTCTTCGTTTCTTTACTCCATCGATCAGTTTCTTTCTTTCTCTCAGTTGCTTTGTTTTTCGAACGAAAAAGTTTCTCTTTATTTCGTTTGTAACATCCTCCGGAAGTGATGGGCGCAACTTCAACGCTAATCCAAGCCGCAAGTCTTGGTTCCCTAGAGTTTCGTCTAGAGACTGATGAGACATCACTTCCGATGCAGCAAGCCACTCTTCTTGATTCTCAGCAGGTTCGTTCAGATCCTGGAATATCGTCTCTGATGTCCTAAGCCCCTCTTCTTGAATCTCGCTGAAATTCTCCATACTTTCGTCTGGCGGCTGAGGTGACGTATCCGACAGAGTACATTCATCTTCTTGGATATCTGGTAAGGGTGTTGACCAGCTTGCATTCGCCAGTTTTCTTATACTCAGCTGTCGTCTTTGCTTCTGAGACAAGGAGATCCTTCTTGCTTCCTGCTCCATACTTTCCTCTGGCGGCTGAGGTGCCGTATTCAACAGAGTAGGTTCATCTTCTTGGATATCTGGTAAGGATGTTGACAAGCTTGCATTCGCCAGTTTGCTTAAACTCAGCTGTCGTCTTCGCTGCTGAGACAAGGACATGCTTCCTGCTCCTTCGACTCCCTTTTTCATTCAAGCCAATCGTGAACACCTAGAAATTGTATTGCTCTTGCTTTTTGAGTGGGTGCCATGGCGAAGATGTTTAATGAAATTTTATGTCGGTGCGATGGATGCCGATCAAATTCGGTTCCAGAAAATTACTCGCCCAATTTTCGTTAAAACTACTTCCAACGCCAAATTTATAATAATTTAAAAATACGGTACGAACTTTACGTACAACATTATGATCACTATGATCTTACGGTAGTACGAGTACAAGTACTCTCACTATTAGCATTTGTGTGTTTCACAGGTGTGCGTAGAACAATAGCCCAAGTTACCTGTACTAATAAACCATGTTGACGTTTAACAAGGCTTGACGTTCCTAGTCCAAAACTGTATCGTACTTCAAGTATTCTACGTCACTACTGTTTTTAGAGATATATCGTTGCCCGTTTGGCATTTTCATTTTTTGTTTTTGGTCACATCATACACGGTACCAATAAAGATTTCTTATGTCAGGGAAATACTTAATTTCAAAATATTAGTGTTATCTCCAGAAAATCAGAAAAATATTTAGTCTTGGATATCGGTTAATTTTTCTCGTTAGCATAATTTAATGTAACAAATATGCGTTGGTGGCGGCAAAATGTGTTTCCAATTGCATAAATACTACTGTACTAGTAGGTATTGTGGATATGGAAAATACTAGACATACTAGATAGATAGATACTAGTAGATAGACAGATAAGTAGATATAGAGAGCTAGTAGTACTACTAGTACGAGTACTGCTACTAGTATAGTATTGATCATAAAATTGGAAATAGGAGAGTATCTTCCACTGTTGCTGGTGGAACAAACATACTGAAATGAAAATATCATTTAGCTAGTAGTAGTAGTAGTAGTAGTACTAGTACTAATAGCTAGTAGTAGTACTAGTAAGTCCTCTCAAGTGGTGTTTTTGCTTATCCTCATAGTACTACTTGCTTGGCTTCCTGCTTCATTAGTAGTATTTGGAACTCTACAATCTGCTTCAAAAGTGGGACCAAATGACAAGTTTTGAGCGGTAATTTTAGAGGGGTGGAGAATCATTTGTAGCCAGCAGCCTTTGTAGTACTACCTTCTCTACCAGATAGATGTGAAAGAGATTTAATACAAAATCTAGGGAGCATCATTCAGAAAGAAACATTAGGGGATCAAAGACCAAGGAAAGAAGATAAAGAGAGATAAATTACAAAATTGGTTTTACACAATTAGTAGAATGTAACTATGTAACAAAATTCAAGCACATAAAACCGAAGATTCGTCCACTTCTCAAAATTGTGTTTTCAAGGTTCTCTCTTCAATGCGAAGGAGTGCAACTCTAGAGGCGACCAATCCATTTTCAAAAGTATAACATGTTGGGATTGGGGGTCCATTAGGCGGCCCTGAAAATGATGTGTCTTGATCTCGATGGGCAGAATCAACGCGGATGACAGTGTCGATTCAGTCGTTGTTGAGGCTCCCTATAGCGTACGGGAAAGTTTGGCCCGAGTTTGGTGGTTCCCCTCCTTTTCTCATCTTTGACCAGAGGTTTGACACTCTTTGCATCGCTCCCGAAGTTTCAGGTTCTCTGTTTTGAAGCTGGGAAGCGCTATGGACGCTGCAAAAAGAAAGCTGTGACAGCTGCGAGGTGAAACTTTCTATTGATCCAAGTGAACAATCGTCGCCTATATCAACTCCATTGCTCCGAGAGCTGTCTCTGCCTAGATTTTCATTAGCTTCGATTTGTTCCATCTCCTTCTTCAAGTTGGTGTTCTCCGTTTTCAAGTGTACAATCTCTTCTTCTAAATCTTCGATGAGCCTATTTAAACCACTATCGCTGACTGTCCCATCGGTTCCTAGACTCTCCTCGCGTTTTTCTCTTCTCTCTAATTCGAATTTTAATTTCTCCATTTGTTTCTCTACCAATCGAATCGAATCGTCCTTTTTCTTCAGAGTTGAATCAGTAACTGTTTCTTCTTGTTTCAGCCTTATTTTCAGACCACGAATGTTCTCCTTCAAGGCCTTGATTTGGTGTTTCAGTTTGTTTACATAAGATCCCGAACTATAGTGATGTGCCTGCTTCTTCGATTCGACCAACTGATTTTGTAATTCTCTGATTAGAAGATCCTTTCCATCGTCTTCTCCGCCACTAGCATCCTGGCAATTTTCTTTCAACTTTCCAACCTCTTCTTCGAGAGTATTGATAAGTTCATTCTTTTTCTCAACAAGGGCTAGTGCATTAGAGAGTTCGGTATCTTTGGAGTGGCATTCTCCAGCAATCTTTTTGACTTCTTCCTCCAGACTCTTGATTCTCTCGATCTCAGAATTTTCATCTGCCTTGTTGACCTCCGTTTTCAAACTCTTGATCAGATCGTTTTTCCTCTCCAAAAGGGCCAATGCATCGGCTAGGTCGTTCTCTGTGTTCTGACACTTTTCGTCGAGCTTTTCCAATTCTTCCTTGAGACTCGTGATCAGGTTATCCTTTCTCTCTACATCACCATTTCTGGTCTCGTACTTTTCAACTAGCTGTTCGACTTCTTTCTCGAGACATTTGATGCGCTCAGTCTTTCGTTCCACTAGGGCGACGTCGTCGGATACGTCACTATTTTCGGTGTTCCGACAGATTTCGTTCGCCTTTTCGACCTCTTCCTTAAGATTCTTGATGATTTCATTCTTTGTGTCAACAAGAGCCAATGCATCGGACAGGTCACCGTCTTTGGCCCTACATTTTACCTCTAGCCGTTCAACCTCTTCCTCGAGACCCTTGATTTGCTTGCTCTTTTTCTCTACGAGGCAGAGGGCACCCGAAAGGTCACCACCATTCTTATCGAACTTTTCAACTTGTTCCTTGAGACTCTCGATGAGATCATTTTTGTTGTCGACAATAGCCATCGCGTCGGATAGATCTTCGTCTTTCATCCGACACCTATCACCCATCTTTTCGACTCGTTCCTTAAGACTCTGGACGAGTTCGTCCTTTCTCTCCACACGGGCCAGTGCATCGGTCAGATCGCCGTTTTTGATCTCTACCTTTTTCCGCAGCTGTTCGATTTCTTCCTCGAGATTCTGAATGAGGTCGGAGTTTCTCTCGACTGGGGCTGCTTGCGCATGGACAGCGCTGCCACCATCGTCGCTTGGTTTGGTTCCACTTAGTTTTGCGACCTCTTCCCTGAGGTTTTGGATGATGTCGTTCTTTCTCTCCACACGGGCGAGTGCATCGGATAGATCGCTGTCCCTGGTCCGGCATTCTTCGCCCAGCGCTTCGACTTTTTCTGTGAGATTCCGAATCACCTCGTTGTGGGTATCGGTAGCAGCTTCTGCGCCCGAACCATCGCCTTCGCTGGCGGGCGACGGATCCATAGTAACTTTGCGACCGACGGTTGCCTCGCCATCGTTGGCCATCATATTCATGACGCGGTCGAGTTTCTCCCGGAGGCTTTCGTTTTCGAGCTCGAGTTTCATCAGTTTCGATTTCTCGTTCAGTGTAATCTGTGAGTCGATACCGTTCGCATCGTTCTGGTTCGTGGCTTGTCGTTCGTTCTGTATCCTGGCGCTCTCTTTCTTCAGCCGGTCTTCGAATTCCAGGAGATCACGTTCCCGGGCATCCAATTCCTTTTCCCTCTTCGAAAACTTCTCTTGGTCGGATCTGGCTATCAACTCGCGACGTTTTGATGGATTGCCACCCTCTTCTGTCGAATCGACCTCGCTCGTTGCCTGCAACAAAAAACGCCGAGATTCTTCTTTTCGCAGACCGATGGTGCCTTTGAGCTCGACGACATCCTTCCGTATGGATCCCATGCGAGCCGTAGGGAGGCTGCCGCTTTCGGCTGGGACCGTTTCATTTGTGTCCTCGTTCGCACCGAGTGCTTCACCGAGCTCTTCCTCCACACGCAGGAGTTCTTCTTCTGTTTTCCCCAGCTTGCGTTCCAAGAGTTCTACCGTATCCAGTTGCTGATCCACCACCTGTTCTAGTTTTTTTACACGCTCGTCTTTGGCCACCAGGTTTTTCTCGATCTCCCGGACGGATTCGATCAGGAAATCCTTCTCCTCCTGGACTCGTTCGAGTTCCTTTTTTGCACCGGTGCAAGCGTCTCTTGCGGCCTTCGACGACTCCCGTTCCAGATTGAGGCTCTGGTCGAGTTCCGCGATTTCCGCCTGCGCGTACGACAGCTCGTGCTGCAGGGTCTCGGCCTCCTTTTTGTACTCGTCGATGATCTTTCTCCGGAGCGGCACGGCTGTGTTCTTCCCGCGGCTTCGGCGGCTTCGGAAGCCGCTGTTACTGCCCATGCTCTTGTAGCTCTCGTTGTCGTCGTCAGCGATCGCCTCGGCCTGGCTGATTGTGCGCCGGGCCCCGCGGTCCCCCCCGACCGACAATTGTTCGGTGGAAAACCAAGACCCGTCCGTCGCCCCGCTGCCAAAGCTCGTCCCGGAGAGGTTCCGGCCCACCGTTTTGCGGGCGGCGACCCGGCTCAGGGCCGCCTCCGCCAGCTCCTCGGCCGCCTTGTTGCTCATTATGCGCACGCCGCTGCCTCCGCTTGCCTGGCTCTTTTCGGAGGATTCCCTGGCTTCGGCAATGGTCGAGTGCGGGGAGCGCTCCCAGTCCGGGGTGGCGGACACAAGCGGTTCAAACGAGACGGCCTCGGAGCAGTGGTCCGTGGCGCTGCTGCTGCTGCTGCCATGTTTTCGGCTGGTGGATTTCCTGCTTTTTGTCGCCGCGTTTTTTTTCTTGGGTGGATGGGGCGACGGGAACAGAACGTCCATTTCGTGTTTGATGTGCATCGCCTCACTATCTGCTCTCTGGTGGCTGCGCGACGAATAGACGCTGTCCTCTGTTTCGGATACGACGGGGTCGACGGTCCGTTCCGATCTCGACGATGAGGATTTTTTTGTTTTGGAGGATTTCTTTTTCTTTTCGCTCTTCTTGGACGAGCTCGATGCCGTCTCGCTCTTCTTGGACGAGCTCGATGCCGTCTCGCTCTTTTCTTCGCTCGGCGTCACCGGCAGACTTATCCGACGGATTTTCTTCGACTTTCGTTTCGTTTTCGTTTTTTCTTTTTCCTTCGACGAGGTTTTCGTCTTTTCGTCTCTGCTCTTGATGCTCTTCACCACGGACCGAGACCGCGACCGGCCCGTGTTAGTGGCAATTGTGCTCGTGTCGTTCTCGTTCTTGTTCTCGTCGCCGGCGGCGCTCTCGCCCCCGATCCGGTCGCGGCTCCGTCCCCGGCGGGGGATCGACGGACCGTCCCGCGAGTGATGGTTCACCGTCGCCGTTGTTTTTGTTTCTTTCTCGGCCCGGACGCTCTCGACCATTCGGCGGAGGATGGAGGACGATCGGGACCGCGAGCGAGAGCGCGAGGCGCCCCGGTCCCTTTCCGATCGTCCCCGCGCTGGCCGCGATGTTGCCGCGCTGACCGTTTTGGCCATCATGGCGGAGAGGCCGAGGTCGTCGTCGTCGTCGGCTCTGCCGGCGTCGTCGTAGTAGCTGTTCATGCCCGGGACCGGAACCAGGCTGGGGAACATGGCGATTCTTTGCGACGAAATAATGGTGTTGGTGGAGTGGCTGGTGCGAACGTTGTTGGTGGGTGTGTTGGCAGTGCGGATTCGAACGTGTTTTGGGTTCTGTTGATTGTTGATACAAACGTTTTTTGTGCGCTTGGCATGACATTTCGGACTCCACCCCCTCTTCGAATGGCAGGTTCGCACCCTACACCGTTTGATAAAATACCGTGCATACCGGTATGTACTCCCGGAAGGTGATTGGGCGTTGGACCTTATCTGTACCGAACACGAGAAACCAAGAACTCTTTTTCACCTGTCAAATGCCTCTTAGCAACTTCGAAGCACAAATTATAATTGCCCACACGCCGTCAATCTTGGATAGAACAATGCTGATGTTTTTAACAATTTTGGAGGTGGAGTACGGCAGCTTCGGAGTCGCGCATTGAAGTTATCGCTCGGAACCCACTACAGTAACGCGAGGTACGTACCGGTACGAGTGTCAACCAGATTACTGTACGACCAGGCCAATGGTTGCGTCGCCGAAAGTTCTTTTACGATCAAGACAATTCAAATAATACTAGCAAGCAGAATTTTTGTTGGTACGTACAAACGTACATGGAGCGGTACGCCCCGAGACAAGAGGAAGAAAAATACCAGACGAAGCATAGCAAGATTTGCAACCCAATAAACAAATCATTGGCATTGGTTCTTAAAGTAATACTTGTAATAATGAAGAAGATTCCTGGCCTCGAGCCACCAATTGCCTAAGTTAAGGCATTTGTATCTTGGGTGTCAGTAGAGCATTTTGGTGTTGGCTAGTTTCATTCATAACCGTGAAACGGCACCACTGTAGTTAAAATACTAAAGAAACTTATAATGTCTTTATTGCAGCGAAAATCTTCACACTATGTGGATAGACCGAGTCGGTGACCGCGATGTTCTCGTGGTGAACACAATCATCTACAGCAATCGATTATTATTCGTCCAGCAAGCCGGCGTAAAATGAAAGCACCTTCTCGTCCTCCTCTCCGCCATTTTTGGTGTTCTCTTCGGCGTTCAGTATGGCCGCGGGCGACAGCAAGGGTATGTTCCCGAGTCCTCCAGCCATCGCGGGGGTTTTGGAAGCATTGTCGTCCTCTTCGTCGAAGGAAATCCCGTACGCTGCTGCCCGTGATTCCCTTGCCCATGGGTTTTCCGAAACGAGCATCGTCGCAGCCGCCGCCGTGGTTCCCTGCCCGCCTGGCACCATCCCGGTATGGGTCAGAGGAGGGAGAAAGGATTCTTGCTCGGCCGAGGGTTCTTCCCCAGAAGGAGACCCGTCCTGAAGGATGCCGTCCAGGAAGTCCATGACGTCGAAGTTGTTGTCACCGTCGTCTTGGTTGAGCAGGGCGGGAAGCCACGGCTGATCGGCGAGCTCCGCCTCGTCGGCCACGAGCGGGTGGAGCCACGGCTCGTCCGTGGGATGCCCGAGCCCGCCCGGGGGTTCGCTTGCGCCCGGTGCCTCCGCAACACCTAACCCGTGTACCGGGGGCGAGGAGGTAGGGTTGGGATCACGGAGGCTTGCCGAGAAATAAAAGTCGCTGCCGCTCGCGCTTGCGCCGGCACGGGCAAAGGACAGCGAGGACGACGATGCCTGCAGGGGAGCACCGAGCGCGATGTCGGCGTCGTTCGGGCCACCCGCAAGCGAGGGCCTCAGCATGGCTTCGAGCGAAAGCTGGCTGTCGGTTGAGGGGACGGAATGCAACCGTCCGTCGTCGTTGCGGGACGGATTGATATTGCCGAAACCAGGAGGGGGATTCAGCGTTGGAGTTCGTTGTGCTTCCTTCGCGGGCGACACGGTGTCAATGGATACCTCAGAAACCACTTTCTTTTTGATCGCAGGATTCGAGTCGGGTTTCTTTCCTTGTGGGGGACTCCGTTTGTTTGTCTTCTTTTTCGATTTGTCCTTCGCTTTGGATTTCTTTTCAGCCTGTATTGTTTCTTTCTTGCCCGTGCGACTGCTTGCAGTAGTAGAAGTAGCTTTTTCAMGTTCTGGTTGCCAGGCGTTGGTTGGTGTGCCCGATTTTGGCAAAGGGCCAAGCAATGCAGACTGGCTTTTTGCCGGGACTTTTGGTTTTGGGTTTTGCCCCCACGGTGCATTCTTTGAAACTTTCTCCTTCTTTGGTGGGTTCTCCTGGTCGTTTGTTTTTGGCACTTGATTTCTGGGTTTCTCGTTTCGTTTCGATAGATCGGCGGTAGGAGTATTCTTGCTGGGTTGGATTGGAAGTTCCTTCTTTTTCACACTTTGTTTCTCCGTTTTGGACGAATGTTTGCTTGGAATAACCTTTCGAGTATAGGTCGTTGCATTTTCCGCGCTCTTGTTTCCTGGGGAACGAACCCTCTCACTTCGTTGGTTTTTATTGATCTTCTGAATATTTTTTGAGTCGTTGAAGTGATTAGTTTTGGGCTTGCTTGGAGTTTCGATTTCTTTCTGTTTTGATTTTGAAACCATATCCGTATTTTGTACGACGACTATCTTCGTCTCTTCGTTTTCGATCACATTCGTTACTTCTGCTCTTGAGAGAGACGATGATGGGGATTCTTTGCGCTCCTCAGCAGGACTCGACTTCACCACACCCTTCTCTTCGTGGTCGCTCTTATCTTTGGAATTCTTTGTATTCCTTGCCATTGAAACCTTAGCCCTTTCGTTCAGTAAAACTTTCGTTCTCGAAACAAAAGTCGTGGACAGCAAAGAGTTGTCTTTTACAATTCCTCGCGAATATGCAGTTCGCCAGCCGAGCCCAATAGGGAAATATGCACGCAAAGAAGAATCGTCTGCTGTCGAAGCATCATGGAAAAGAGCATCACTGAATGGCCGAGTTCTTTCGTTTCCAGGACTGGCCTCTTTACCAATTCTATGTCGCAATGTGTTTGATATTGCTGCACGTCGATCCCGAGAGAAGCAATTGGTGCTGTTCAAGGTGGATGTTGTTGTATTGCCTCTTGCTTTATACCGACTTATCACGTCTTGACGCATTTGCTCCCGACTCATTGTCTGGAGTTCCATCGAAGTCGGTTGTGATCTAGCAAGACACCTGAACGCTGCATTCCAATTGAGGTCGTTCTTCGTTGTCGCCCCCTGGATCTTCTGCAACATACAGAGTATTGCACGAAACCTTGCACACAAAGCATAACACAAAATCAAAGCAGCAGCTGAAAAGAGAAAAACTTGGAACATCAGAAGAGGACTTTCTTCTTTGCTTTCGTCAGATTTCTTGAATTCCATTCTGCCTGAGTAGTTTGCCAGGTTCATGGACGTTGAGGTCAAATGGGCTAATGAATCCATCAATCTTGTATCAATAGGCAAGCACCGGCCGAATACCGGGCCACTCATCTCGTACCCTAAAAACATCATTTTCTCTTTCGTCGCAAATGGATTTTTCAACCCCCGAGACCTCGATCGCCTTAATTTGGAAGCTCTTGGCAACTTGTCTCTACGTAGTTGGACACGCAAAGTGATATATTCTTTCTTCCTCTTACAGTCAGGTAGATGCTCCACGAAAATTGAGCGACTTTCTCCTGGTTTCAACACAAAACCGCTATGAATATTCACAGCAGCGTTAATTCCGTCGGGAATAAACGTCCAGCAATTGACGAGCTTAAAGGAACCGTAAGAGCACGATCCATTCTCTTCTCTATCATCGTTCATACCCCAAAGTGACACATTTTCAATGTAAGAGTCATTGTCTCCGCCGTTGTGCAAAACAACCTCTTTTACAACAGAAAGATGCTGAATTCTTTGTCGGAAGGTAGTAGCTTTCGCAGAAAAATCACCAACCCTATTGCTTGTACCAGAGAAAATCAAGGTGGGCATTCCATTGCGAAATTCGATATCACCAAATGCATCTTCCCCTTCCTTAGGCGGAGGATCGACGAAATATAGATTTTCCCAGGCACTTCGACCTCGTAGTCTGACTTTTTCAATACCAGTTAAAGAATTTTCAAGATAAAGGAAAGAGTCATATATTTGAGTCTTACACAGCATCTCCTTTCTCTCATCAAGCTTCGCACCACTTTCTTTCGCCAGCTGACAGCCTACTGTTTTGTACCGTCCTGGTGGCCTGAAGTAGATTGGACCCAAATGTCCTTTTCCAAATGGCGGGATAATTATTTCATCAAGGGCAGAAAAAGGAATTGCGAATGCAGCTGGTCCATCAGTGTTAGATACCGCAGCTCCACCCGCTAAGATGATAGGTTCTTCTTGTACGTTGTTCCTTTCTGGCGAGTTATAGCGAAAGTGTCCCTTGAGAATAATCCCAGCGGCAGCAGAAGATCCAATGGGACTATTTGATACTGGACTAATGGGAGGTATCTTGGCACTAGTTTTGTCCCTCAGTCCACATCTCTTCCCGCAACCTACAAGCAAGCCGAGCTGAGAATTGAGTGATGGATTTACCATACTGATACTCGTGGTTCCACTTCCACCTGTGACTGATATATTATTATGCGATTGAATCACATTTCCGTGTTCGTCGGGAATAAAGAATGCGCCGTATCCATCCCACCAAGAAAATGATGAACTCTCGTTACTTGGGACACTGCTCTTGCCGTTCTGAACATATGGAGTACGAAAACTTTCATCCTTCCCAACAGAAGTACCGATGCGTATTCTGACAGGAACTCCGGTCGGATTTCTAACTGGTATTTGAACAGACGCAACTGAACCAACCGTAGTAGGTTGAAATTCAAAGTAATCATCGTTGCCGTCAAAGAGTTTTGGTGCCTTGAGAACAGACTGGATATTCAAATCGTTTATTGACAAGGAAAGGTTTTGTTTTACCGAGACATCTCCTTCACGAGGAGTACTCATCAAGGGATCGGAGTCGTATTCGACTGTAGCCCTTAAGGAAGAGCTCAGCAAGTTATACCCGAAATTATCTGCAATTTGAATTGCTTTCCACATCGCATCATAAGTGGTAAAATCCGCTATTAACCCATCGTTTTTCCTACGACCCGATTTAATATGACTCAAATCTGTTTCGTTCCAGAATGACAAGGCACGAAAGTTCAGAGGTGTAGGATCATTATGAACGTGTGTTTCGTGGTGTTTCTTCAAACGTCGCAAACCAACTTCTATCGTTTTCTGCACACCCTCGACTTGTCTAAGGTTTGGGTTCGCATCCCTCACTCCGCAACCTTCAGACTGTAGTTTCGACCGCAGCGAAAGCCAATTCAGCATACACTGATAAAATGATGGAAAACCCTCCGCACTTGTATGATTTGACGAACAATCAACATTACTCCGTATCAAACCGACAAGAACCCCATTACCTGACGGATGCTCAACGCCTTTCGTCAAAGGAACAAACGTAAACCATGGATGACAACTATCTATTCTCAGTAAGCGAACATTCCGCGAAAAAGATGATCTCAAATAGAGAGGAACTCCATTAGTCAGACTTGCATCACCGAGGAAGTAAGTTATGTTCGTATCTGAACGGATTGATGCAGTCGAGTTAGCAGGAGGGATCGTCACAACGTCAGCATGTTGTCTCTCTGTACCATCACGGACACTGTTCCAAATTAACTCAAGAGGTACACTCATAAGCGATTTTGAGGCAATATGTTTGATATGCTCATCTGACTCAATCTGTGACGCATGTAATTTTCCCTGAAGAGCTTCAACAATTGCAAATACGGGCATGACATCCCCAAGATTTGTAGAAAGTTTCAGACCAGACATCAAAAAATGGGTAATATCGTTCTCCAAGAATTCAGGAGATGGTGCTCGGACTTGTATTTCGAACCGAGCCATTGCTCCTGGTGGGATTTTGATTGTATTTCGATCTGCTGACATTTCGTCCGGATTTCGCCTCCAGCATTCGGCAAGAGGACGAAAACCACTCCCATTACTTGAAACAATGAAGGCACCTGGTAACCCTTCTCCGCTGCTTCGCTGGGTGAAATTGTTGAAAGAAAAAGGTTTGTATTGTGGCGGCTGCACATTGTCTTCACAATTTGTTGAATTTTTCGAATTCGATTGCGAAGAAGTAGGTCCTCTATGAAAAGATGCTTTTGAGTGCCAGTCATGCAAGAGTCGAAGAACATCTGATCTTTCCATTGCCAAATCATGAGGTGAAATTGAGTCACGGAACTTGAATTTCGAATTGAATTCATGAGCTTGTTTGTTTGACTTCAAGAAGTTCAACAGTCCTGTCACAGGGTGGCCTTCGTATTTCCCGACTTGAACTGTTGACGGTGGGGCTTGCTTCGGAAGGTAGTCATGGAGACTGTTGCCGTCTCCAGCCACTTGACTGGCATCGCGACTGAATGCAATCGACATGCCCTCAACTTCTCCAACATCAATCGAAACAGTCAAAGGTATCGGGTTATGGTTGGTTAGACTAATATGTGTCTTCGCTATCTTCCCGCCATCTACAGCGCCTACTTTGAGTAGGAACGGAAGAAGTTTTGGCTTTAATTTTGGATCCCAACCAGAGTTTTCAGCTAAAAATTTCGAAAGTAAGTCTGAATCACCCTTTGATTTTCGACGGTCTTCGGGTGATTTGAGGTTTTTAAAGAAAGATTTCCCTAAACGAGACGATCGACACCACGACAAAAGCCGGTTGAACCCTATGATATCTTCGCTTCCCTTGTGGAATCCAACTGAAGAAGAATCTTCCAAAGAAACTTCAAGATGACCAGGGAAAATGAGAAGAGGTATTTTGTACGTCCCAGCTTCTTCGGGCGTAGTTACAACAATCAAAGAACATTGTTTTGGCAAGTAAGGATGGGCATCGCGTGGTGGTAAGAAATCTTGATTCCCCCCTCTTTTCCCTTTAACTTCAAATTTGTACTTTAGCACAATGAATCCAATCTCTTCGAACCCAAAGTACGGATCCCCTGGATTTGACTGTTGTACAATGGAAACATTGAATCTATTACACAGAGACTCCAGATTATTGGGATTGTCATCGTCAATAATTTTGACACCGACAAAGGTTAATGGGTACACCATATTGCTCAGAATACGAAGATCGTGTCTGATTTCGTTCGCTCCAAGATACATCTGCTGTGGCAATACATCCTCAGTCCCTTTCACAGCTGCGTATTGATTCATTGGGAAAAAGAGGTGCGATATAGCTCGACCCGACCCATCCCACGATTGAGCAGCAAATAATTGAGGGTAAGGGTGAGATGACTGCTCAATCAAGGCTTCAACTCTACCATTGAGTATCGTGACAGTAAATGGCAGTTCAAGGGTAAGGTGTTCATCACGATACGGATTTTGAAGAGTCTCTTCGCGCCATTGGTGATAAGATAGTTCTGTGTCCATTGTTCCTCGAATGACGACGGTCCCCATGAAATTAAATGATTCTTTATTTGAGTCTGAGAAATAGCGATCAGGATTTAATGAGCATTTGAGTTCTAAAACGTCGTCAAGGGATGATGCAGCTCCCAATATTAAAGAACCCAAAGCATTGTCGAAGGAGTCATCGCTGCTATTTTCCACTTTTCCATTTGACCCCTTCAGCCCAATTTTGAGCTTCAGCCCGATAAGCTTGGCCTCCCTAGCATTCTCTTCGTCTCCGGACGAGTCTATTCCAACTGTTACCCGCATGATTCTAATTGGTACAGGCGACTTGTTCTGTAATCCAAAAGATGTATGCAGAGCACGACTTGCTGTAGATATCATATCGAATTTCAGGCGATCAGGAAATGATTTCAGAAGTGTACTTGTTCCACTTCTGTTCTTGTCCGTACCACTTCCTGCAGAAACATCTGAAGACAAGTTCTTGTTATAAGTACTTGGTTGGAGCGATAAGAAAGGGACATTTTCTGCGTGTTCTAATCCAACGAAAAGGGTCTCAGCATCCGTTCGGATTTGAAGAAATCCAAGGTTCTTGTCGGGGTCTCCAGAGTCAATCCATTTTGACATTTCATCAAGATAGGTCTCCGATCCCTCGTCTGGCTCGATCTCTCCTTCAAATGCTGTGCAAATAGTGAGGATATATTGCTTGTCCGAGTCGGGTGGTAAATACAAGGGGCCGTCTACAGTCCATTGTCTCAAGACTTGAGATGGTCCGCTTCCGACGAGCATCGTCAAATCTGGCGCTGCCATCCTTACCGGATCAAATTGAACGCTTACAAATTCTGGACGAGATATCAATGCCTCCATCACTTGGAGTTCTCTATCTGGGAACGGGTTCGATAAATAAAGATCGAAGCATTCTCTCTCCGGTTTAATAGTATCCAGTAGAGAAGCTGGATTATTTTTCTCATCGCCATCGCCGTCATTGTCCGATGCGTGAATGGTATCGAATAAAGTAACCCCATTCATTGTAGTAAGCCTGGCATGCTCTGTGTTGGATTTTGTTGTCTTCTTCCTGGTTTCCGCGGTGGTAGTATCATAGTCGTCAAATTCGTCATCCTCTTCAGTTCTGGTATTTTTGTCATTATCATTCTTCGTAACACTAGGATGATAAAATGTAATAACATCCGGGATACGATATAAATTGTCACGAATACTGGAAGCAGATATCGGTAATTTGACAACGCCCCGGGAAGTATCAACGATCACTGTCGTTGTCACCTCGTATTGCTCATCCCCCTTAGGAAGAGATGATGGATTCATGTTATTCCGTCGCCTATACGTTGGATCTAAGGTATGCCTCAAATATTGTCGTTTGTTGTCTATTGCTTTGAGCACTCGTTCCCCCACCAAGTCTACGAGATCAAGTTTCGATGTGGAGCTTAGCGGCGGAGGAGATCTTCCATCCGGAACCGTCGTTGAGTAGTAATCGTCACTTCTAGCATTATCTTCATCGTTGTTCTCGTTAAAGCCACTGGCTTCATCCCCACCGCAATTATCAATACTGGGATACCTCGGAAGAAAAGTTACTGGAACAATTGCCACCTGTCCCGGCCCTAACGATAGACTCCCCGAAGGCAATCTCGAAACATGAAGTTGTTGTGGGATATCTTTTCCTTTCCATGAACGACCATACGCCGGCTCACTCGACCGGTTTGACGATGGTGACGACGTTGGGGTCGAATCTGGTCGCACTAGTACGGTCTCCTCGGGAATCGTCTGGATCGAATGAATCATGATCGCCTCTGTGGAATGCTGGAGAATGGTACGGCAAGATTTGATACGGCCGTCACAATTACAACACAGCGGACGAACAGGGATATTTCCATCTCATTGTGAGCTATTTATCAGTGAAAATGAGAACACCGGAGACTAACGGCATCAATCCTTAATAGAGGATGGTAGTCAATTTCACTTACCAAATTCAGCAGCTCAATTTGACTGAAAGTATGCTGACACGAGGGAACTCCCAGCATAGTGTCCTTTCGGATGGAAACCTTCAATCGAGCATCGTTGTTCTTGCTCCTGCTACATTGTGCAACTTTCGTCAACGTTGAGGAACAATAAAACAAAAGTAGAAGTGGCCAAGCTGCCATCAGCCATGGACGCTTCATCTTGGTTGTCGTTCCTTCACTACGTCTAGGAAGAGTTCCTGTTGCAGCCTTATTCGTAATTTACCTTGTGTAGTGGATGGGGCAAATCCAACAACCACAGACCGCAACGGTGTGTGCGAATTAAAAGACCAATTGAAAAAACCTCTCGTTTGACGCTAGTCGATGACGAGAACCAGGCCACCCCCGACCCCCAAAATCCCAAAAAATAATCATACCCTACGTACCGTCTGTACCATTAAAAACAAAATAGGAATATCATACTTTTTGATTTGACGAGCTCAGGAAAGACGTTTCATACAGTAAGGTACGAGTACCGAACGTGTAGACATACTCGTACTAGTGGCATTTTTCTCATACCGTACGTACTCTAATGTATTACGTAGCGTACCCTGAAAACGTAACAATAAGTATGACTATGAATGTAAAATGTACAGTCTTATTGTACTACGTCTTACCCTACTACCAGGTACCATACCATTACCATCATTACTTCTACATATTTGCAATACCAAAAATTAGGGATAGGGTTTGCGACAATGTGGTGAACTCCATGCCCCGAAGGATTAGAAAGCGAATGATGAATCAAATAAATATTAGTCGAATGAGTCAAAATAACCTTCAGTAATGATCATTCAGAATTCAGACCGTAGACCGTACGGTAGATAAATTTATGACCCCTGATGTACGGTACGTACGTACGGTAAGTACGAGATACCTGAAAAGATATTTTTTCTTACAACAACCTACGTACGTACAGTACGACAGGGGTCATGACCCCTGCAGTACGATACAGCACGAGACAACCGATGTTGCAAGAATCCTGAATTTCGGTCAAATTCCGGATCTCTAATCTTCACTTCGGAATGAATGAACGGAGTGAAAGACGGAAGCATGCTCGTACTCTTTTTTTTAACGTTCCGTACAAGAAATTCGCTACCCCACAATTCCTTGCGTAGAGAAGAGTACCAGTTTGTACGAGTACCCGTGCCCCGTCCTCCACCTACCGGGTGCGTTGGCGCGGTAACAGTTATCGTACCGTACAACATACTTACTAGACAAAATTGAGATGCAACAAATTTTGCAGTCGGCGATGGTTTGCACCGCTTGTCGTAATCGTGTAAAAAATTGAGATTATGTCTTGAATGTACCTTTTTTGTCGAAAAGACTCCGACAATTACAACAAATTTCCCCAAATACTTTGAACAACAGTGCCCGATGACACCAGGGTTGCCTGTATAATTAGAAGGATTAGACTAAAAGCAACCGTATTATAACAGCTAGCGAAGTATCGTTGTTCGGCGAGAGGAATCCCAGGGAGTCAACAGCAACTAGTTAAGAACTGAATAGAAACGTATCCACACGATATTCCGCTTTGAATATTACAAATTGTTAATCGACCATGAAAGGGAAGTTGAAAAAGTTCTTCAGCGGTAGGAACCTGTCGTCTGAGATCTCCGGATCCTTCGATGGTGATGCTGCTGCGCACGACTCGTTGCTTGGCAGCAACAAGGAGGAGGATGACTGGGATGCATGGAGCATTGACAAGAAAAATGACGATGCGAGTGATCCGGGCCGTGGTCGTCTAGACCGTCGGGCGGGAACGCGACGATCGCATTCGGAACGTCCGTCGAGGAGAAAGCGCTCGAAAAGCGAGGTGAGCAAGAGGCTCAAACGATTGGAAGGTGATTTCATGACCGCTCTGAACTCATCGAAGAAGAAATTCAGCAGCAAAAGTGTGGGTGGCGTCTTTAAAGGAAAAAGTTCGGACGTTCGTTCGAGAATTGATTCTCTAGCGCTGGAGCGCTCTACATCTGATTCTGCATTCGATACCAGCAACATCGACAGATCCAAATCGGAATCGAACTTTGGGCCGAAATCCACTAAAAAACTGCGCGGAGGACGACGCAAATCAATGCTTGACGAACCTACTACGAATAACGTCTCTACTCGGACCCGAACTAGGTCATTGTCCAGAGGGAGACGCTCTCTCAAGGCCGACGACCGAGAAGGAAGTTCCTCCCAGCGTTCTTTCTCGAAAGCCAGGAGATCGGGCTCCAAGAAACCATCGAGCAAACGATCGATCTCGAAGCCACGAAAATCAAAATCCACGCAGGACTTTCCCGAATTGATCCAACGAGACTCATCCGAAGGACAGAACAGTGTCTCGACCATGACCAAGGAATCGAAGCAGAAAAAGAAGAAGAAGAAGGACAAAAACATGGACAAGGACAAGGACGAGAGAAAGCAAGCTGGTGATGATTTTTCCGTACCATCCAAGGTGGAAATGAATGGCGACTGTGAAAGCCAAGGAAGTATTACCATGCACGATAGCATTAAGCTGGAAGAACCAACCCGTTCCAAAAAGGGAAAGGACAAAGAAAAGAAGGAAAAAAAGGAAAAGAAGAAAAAGAAGCGAAGCAAATCGAAAAGCAGTTTTCCAGATCTTCCTCCAGACGATTTTGGCGATGGTCTGGAAGGACTTGCAGAAGAGTTTAGAAGATCTAAGCAAGCTTATAGCAAAACTGGCTCTGAAGGAATGCCTTCCGGGGAACTCCCTCACGGGGAAGACTCGAACTACACGAAAGTTAATAGCATGTTCGAGAGCGCTTGGACTGGAATGGAAAGCGGCAATGCAAATGGCGATTCGAGGAATCCTTTCGAAGACGAAAAGAAACACAACACGGAAGATGATATTTTGCGACAAGCGGTCGACTTTGAGGTGAAACAAGCCGACACCACGAATGAAAAGAACGAAGAGATATTGAGACTTCAACAGGAGCTTTCGGCTGCGTTACAAAAACAGTTGAAAATGTCGGAAGAGCATATTGAAGAAAGAAATGAATTCATGCAAGTTTCGAGAGACCTCGACCGTTTGAAAGTTGAACTTGCAGAATCACAAGCCGAGCGCGGTGAAGTTATGGAAGAATTGAAACAGCGCGATGAGGTGATCGAAAACGATAGGAACCGGATTGCTGATCTGGAACAAGCAATCGACGATCAACTTGGAAAGGAGGAAGAACTAGTGAAAAATCTTCACCACTCAGAAGAAGAAATCGAACATTTATTGGAAGAAATACAGAAGTTCGAAAAGAAGTTGGACAACGGCGAAACGGATGGCGGAGGAGCTTCTTTCGTCGAGCTGCGCAATACGAAGAAAGAATTGACGGACAGGGAAGAGGAAGTCGTTGCGTTAACGGCAAAGATTGGGCTGCTTGAGAACGAGTTGAAAGAATCACTGACTGTCCCTCAACTCCAAATTGAAGAGCTGGATCAAGAAAACAAAGCATTGCAAGGGAGGTTGAAAGGAGAACGACTAGAATACACATCCAAGCTGTCAGCCAAGGATGACATCATTTCAAATCTCCGGTCAGAGCTCAACACTTTTACTTCCACTCCCGACGCCCAAGACCTTCAATCCGCACGACAAAAACTGACCGAGGCTCGAGAAGACGCTACTCAGGTCAGAGAAGATCTTGCCAGGACCAGGAAATATGTTGAAGAGATCCAGGGAGATCGAGAAGATTTAGTTGAGAAATACAACTTATTGAAAGACAAGTCTGTCTTTATGGAAAAGACTGTGAAGGATTTGAGCGAAAAGTCGGATAATCTGGCTAAAAAACTGCTCGTGTGGACCGAAAAAACTTATGACTGGAAGAAGAAGGCAGAGGCAGCAGAACGAAAATTACAGGAGCAGAAGGCTAGCAAAGACAAAGGTGGAAGCGAAACGAAAAGCGCGAATGCACCCGGAGATCCCCAAACTATGTTTTTGCAGGCCGCKATGGAGAAAGGCAAACCCGAAAAGAAATCTGGCTCGTGGGGAATATTCAAGAATGGCTCCGGAGACCAAGACTCGTCTCCCGAAGAAGGCGAACTTCGTGCACTTCGAGACAAGAACCTAGAGTTCGAAGCAAAGATTGCACAACTGAACAGCGACCTCGTCAAGATGCAAACGGCGCACAAAAACGAGCTGTACAGCACCAAGAAAAAGATTGCGCAGTTGGAGGGCGAGAACGACGCACTCGTCCTGCAAAATGCCACCCTCTCGCAGCTAAGCCAGAGGTGATCGCTCCCAGGCACGAACTGTATTTATATTATTGTATTCACAATCAAACCTATACCAAGCTCGCGCAATAACATATTTAAAGAAACTGTCTGTTGTGTATCTTACGACCCACGTGCTGTCTACTACAGTAAATGACATAAAGGTAGCGTTAAAACCCACTTGCATTCGACCAAGGTTTCGTTGTTTCTTTCATTGAGAATTCTCCAGAAACGGCCTGAGACTTCGTACGTCTCCCCTACAATTTTTTTTTGTTTTGCGTGAGTGCCGATGCCACTACCAGGCTGTGCCGGGAGTCCGTCCGTTCAGTACCCCTTGTCCCAATCGACAACGTACAGCAGGTCGTTTCCCTCGACGTACCGTTGGTAGTTTGCCAGCAACACCCCCGGCACGTCGCTGGCCTGCGTCAGGCCCGAGACATGCGGGGAAACCACCACGCCGGGTGTGTTCCACAGGGGGCTGTCCCTCGGCAGGGGCTCTTTCTCGAAGACGTCAAGGATCGCCGCCGAGATGTACCCGGACTCCAGGGCGGAGAGGAGGCTCTCCTCGTCGATCACGTCGCCCCTCCCGACGTTGAGAAGGACCGGGGATTTTCCCCCGCTGGCCCCCGCCGCCGCGGCCAGGGCGCTTCCGCCCAGCAGCCCCCTTGTCTCGGGGGTGGACGGGAGCACCGAGACGACGTAGTCGCCGGCCCGGAGTGCCTCGCCCAGGTCCAAAGTATACTTTTCCACGCCCTCGAGGTCCCCCTGCGCGCGGGGAATCCTGCCGAATCCGACCGTCCTCATCCCGAGGGCCGACGCGGCCCTTGCGATGCACCGGCCGATGTCTCCGCAGCCCAGGACGGAGAGGGTGAGCGAGGACAGGTACCGATAGTGCCCCACCGCCTCGCGGGATCCGGCCCATTCCCTCCGGCGCTGGTCGAGGGCCGATGCGGCAAAGGACCGCTCGTGCCCGATGATGCGCGCCAGGCACCACTCGGCGATGGGCGGCCCAAAGACCCCGGCAAAGCGGGTCAGGATCCACGGTTTTTCGAGGTGGGCGATGCCGGGGGCAAAGAGCGGGTCGACCCCCGCGTAGGTGGACTGGCACCACCGGAGGTTCCGGAGGCACTGGGGTTCGTGCCCGAGGAGGGACGCAACAACGGCCGGCTCGGAGACGAGGACGACCGCTCGCTCGAGAGCCTTGAAGGTGGCCGGGGAGAGATTCCGTGGATCGAACTCCACGGTCCCCCCGTACCCGGTGAGGGCCCCGTCCTCGACGACATCGAGTGCGAGGCCCTCGCAAGACGATAGGGCCTCGGCGATGGCCGGAATCGACGAAAAGACGGTGACGACCGGTGGCGGACCCGGCATGGGCAATATCGGGCTCGGGAGTGGGCCCGCTGGGATGGTCGATGCGGCCGATGCGGTTGCGGTTGTCGCTGTCGCCACTGCTTCTGTTGCGGTCGCTGTCGCGTGCTGTTTCTGTTTCTATTTCTGCTTTTGATCTTGCTTTTGCTGGTATTCCTGGGTATTATTCTCGTCCTATGCACCGGTTCCCGGTGATCTGTGCGTTTTCGTCTGTGACGACCATCTGCGATCATTGATGTGTCGGAAGATCTTCAGCTCATGCTTTTCCGAATTTCTTTGCTGGATTGCCAAGCGGTTGTGTTTCGTCAAACCATCTTTTTGGCGTGCGGAGGTCAACATAACATACCTACGATACGTACCTACTCACGCGACCTGCAGCCTACTAGTATCATACATTGTGAGGCAGTACCACGTAGTAAATCACGAGTCGATAGTGAGTGACAGCAATAAGCTCACCCACTCACTCTCACTCTTTATTGTAAACACGTAGTTATACGGCACTAAAGAGCACACGTACATTTTGCAGGTTATGAGCAACAAGTAAACATACCTCACCTCATCACCATCATCACCATTAACAATAGATTGATTTTCTATAGCGCTCAGACACAGAACGCAACTGCCAGTCCAACGACAGGCAACAAGCGTTTTCATCCGAGCCCGACAGCTGGATTTTTGCATCAACAAAAATTCCAGAAGAGAACCCAGTACAAAATCACGTAATAACCTACGGTACAGATTCTCAGAACACTGGTGTCACCACCAACACACCAGCCAATAAACTGCATAACAGTATAACACCATGGCACCGTCAAAGAAGAAGTCGTCAACACCAACAGGAGGAAGGGGAACTCGCAACACCCCAGCAATAGGCAAATACCTTGTAAAAACACCTCCGATGAAACCCATACCAGCTTCGAAACTCCAATTCGAGCCATACGATGGAACAATACAGCGAGAACTCCGAGCAATGGAAAGAGTATTCCCTCCACAATCAACGCCGGCAATCTATGACAAGGAACTATTTGCATTTAAACCCAAATATCCTCCATCACCAACAAGTTACATGGAACACCTCACCATTGTCCATACAAAAGAACTCAATAGCACCGACAAACTCACTGCACTTGGCGACAACTTAAAAGATCTTCTCCATATAAATCACTTTAAAATCATCGACAAGGACAACAGATACCATTACAGTATCGCTTTCATTGATTATATGAACAAACTACTGCCACTGACAAAAGAAACACCACCGGAGGCAATACTGACTAGGAGACAATCAAAACGCCCACCACATCTGACAAGCAGTCCGGAACCAACAAGTAGTCCAGACCCACCTTCCAGAGATGATATCCTCCAAAAACAACTACTCGACAAGTCAGCAACTGCTGGCGACCGGAACCTCAGGAACAGCAATAGCGACTCATCACTGAGCTCCCTTGACATTCCCCCTGCTGATCTAATTAAACAATTTGAGAAAGAACAGGATAATCAACGTCAATTAGAAGAGAATACGGATACAGAGCAAATCACCGACCCGGAGGATGAACCAAGTGTTGAGGACAGAATTGCACACTATGAAAAACAGTATGAAACAATTGACAGTGAGATACAATCCATAAAAGACAGCTTTGATTCCAGTGATTCCAAACAACATAAAACAACAATGGAAGACCAACTGAAAGCAAATGACGACAAATGGACACAAAGACTTACCACAATAGATCAACAAATTCTACAGTTGCAAACAGGATACGAACAGATTATTCAATCAACCACAAATGAACTAGCATCGACTAAAGAGATGCTCTCCACAACCAAGGACAAATTGGATAATACAGCGGCAGAGCTTCAAGCAGCTCTACTCACGGTGAACACCCTGAAGACAAAGCTGCAAACTCAGACAGCTGAAATCCAAGGGATCCTTCAAGTCAACGAAGACTTACAAAGCAACATAAACGCTGCAGCCACCACAACATGGGCACTGGACAAGAGAACAACCAAAGCCAACTCTGTCCTTGCATCGATCAAGAATGAAACAATTCAACTCAAAACCCTCCGGGATGAAGCCAGTAGCATCACCACGAGGACACCAACCATCACAGCAGAAATAACTGAACAGCTCAACAGTATCGTTGAACAAAGCACAGCAAAACTGAAAGAACGCACCAAGGAGATTGAATTTCAAGTGACCAGTGCAGTACTTGAACAGACGAGACTCATGGAATCAACTCTTGAATCGACCATCCAAGATATCATACAGGACAAATTGGAACACAAGGCCCATATTGTTCAAAGCTTAAAAGATACAGTTATCACACAAGCGAAACGTGAGATCGTAACACAAGCAACCGAAACGATCAAGGAACTTAACAATGACCTAACCAAAACAAAGAACAACCTAAAGCAGATCTGCAACAATCACTTGGCCAAACTTACATCACACAAACAAGAGATCACCCAAGAGATGGACCAATCCGCCTCCGCAGCCCAGGAAAACATAGCCATTACAAAACACATCGCAGAGGTGGATATAACCAGATCAGTTAAGGAACACTTGGAGACAGACCCAACCGTAGGGGAAACTCTCAACACTCAAATAAACTCAACAATACAAACCCTGGTGGCCTCCAGCGATTTTCGAACCGATATCGACACCACCATCCATGCATATGTAACCCAATCACCAACCTTGAAAGATCTTATTCAACACCAAGTAGAGGACATCATTCACAAAAACAATCGCAATACATTGAACMAACCAACCGAAAAACAAAATAAACATATACATAATAAGCACCAACAACACAGACCCCTGACGAACACCTCAATACCATTTGACACAAGAGGAGACAGTGACAGGAACTTTGACGTCTACGCAGATAGGAAGCACCAGATGTGGGATGAAAAATCAATCCATTACCACAACCACAGGATCAGCAAAGCAATCCACGCCATGGACTTCAAGGAATTCAACCACAACCTTATCCCAACGACGAATCGATACCTCACATCCACAGAATTCACCGCTATATACAATGAATTATATGGCATGATGCAACTGGAAAGCCTCCCATTGGTTCCCCTTGACAAACTCCCAGAACTTGAAACATGCATACCTCCGGAGCACACTGAAACAGAGGACAATATTAACAAAATCGGAGCATACATCTACCGACGTATATCTGGACTCCTACCGCCTACCCATGTACTCCTCCGGGGACTCATTTCCCCATACTCCCAAAACACCAAAGGATATGAAGCCCTCTATGCGCTGGCCCGTCACTCCCTAGATTACTTAAAGCCCACACAGAATGGGTGGGGACCACCATGGACAGCAACGGATGACCCTGGTTCATACGTAGGAAAGTTACAGGAACATATCCGCAACTGTCGCCTCAGTCGGAACCATCAGTACACTGAATTTGAACAGAGTCATGAGTTCGTATACCAAGCAATGACACATTTTAACTACACAGCTGGATGTTGTCTCCTGGTTCAGCTAGACAACCACCGCAGACTCACCCCAAACTTCAGGAATAAACCAGTCCCTGAACACCTGCAACTTACGGCACTCACCAACTTTATCCTTGACCACCCCAACATCACTCCATTCGCACAGAAACAATCACCCACGATCGTTACAAAGCTAGACGCAAACACCAAAAGGAAATTCGAGTATAAAAACAAGGTCCAATGTGAATGCTGTAAGACCTATGGTCACAATGTTGGGGATCAGATCTGCAGATTCAGAGCACAACTCCACTACGCTCAGCAATATGCCACCAAACAACCAGGAGAATTCAAAACGAATGCAATCAAACACAACAACATGAATACCAAGAAAGTAGTGAACCACTTTGAAACCATACTGAATGGACGCACTGTCACGGAAGAAGAACACGAACAAGAGCGTGAAGACCTGGCCCAACTGTTTACGACGATATCAACGGATGAATAGGATACAAGCCGTGTTCTTAGCGGAGCACGGCCTATCAAACACAACCATGATCCCCCAACAACGCAKGATAAGTTTGGGACCCTCAAACTCAAGGACAACAGACTTCCGCACCCACGCACTCAACCACACGATAATGACATCTTCATGCATTGCGTACCACCGAAAGCAACAAACAACACAACAAACGACACAGACACAACAATCAGTACACAACACACAACGCAGAGTGAACAACAGGATGAATTACGATCACCATTGTCCCCTAAGCAAACCAATAATACAGCTATTAGCAACAATGAGACTGTATCACTCAGCAACACCCACGATACTGACCCAGTACAAACAAAAATCCAAACCACTACCAAGCATACACAGATCCTACGTACCACAGATAACACCAATACTGGACCCACGCACAACCAGCACTACATAAATAACACTGAGGACCAATCCCACCCACAACATAAGCCATGTCACACACGCGCATGCAAATATACCCCGACAACCCCCGTAACGGAAAACCAATGCCCACAATGCCATAAACTGGAATATACAGACATGAATGATTTTATATATAACATGAGTGGAAATGACCTCACACCATTCACTATGTACGATAACTCCCTCGCATCTGACTACGATACCCGTACTCCATACATTCGGATGGCACATCCCACACTTAGGAAAAATATGAGAAAACGTATAATGATTGCGACCACAACAACCCACAAACTAATGCCCAGACCACCTCAGGCAGACTCAGGCGCAAATATGTCTGCCACGAATCAACTTGAACTTCTTCACGAATACAATAAGTACAAGACGCCCATACCTGTTGGAGTATTCTCAGCAGACGCCACTCCGGAAACAACACTATATGCATATGGAGAGGGCCATATACGAATAATTTCAGACCAAGGGAGTCTCATGCGTTGGAAAACACTCTATACACCCCAATCCACAGGCACGATACTCTCCCCCGAACACTACTGGGAAACACGTAGCTTCCACGCATTTCTACAGACAGGACAAGCAAACAGCAAAGGGACAGTAAGCTTCATAAACAAGCTTAACCAAACTATTGAATCAATCCAAACAGTGAGCCTCGACAATGGTCTCTGGTACACTACGAACAACGTCCTAATGGTAAATGAACTAGAAAACGTACACATTGCAAAGGAACTCCAAAAGTATCGAACGAACGCCTCCAAAGGCGCCGAAACTAGGATCAGTAAAGTATCGAACGACAGCGAGCAACACACAAGTACCTGGTCCTCTGGTCTATCTAAAGCACTGAAAAATCTAGAACTATGGCATCAACGATACGGACATATCTCACCCTCTACTCTTGTTAAAACACAGAAAGTGGTGGATGGCATGCCCCCACTACCCACATCGACACCCTTCTTCAGATGCCCATTTTGTGAGAAAAGCAAGATGACGAAATATTCTGGAAAAAGCAAACTACCAAAGGAAAAGTTCATTCCCGTGCAATCACTCCACATGGATCTCTCTTTTGTAAGTGGACCTCCCAATCTTCAAGGAATACTCAAGAACAACGATAAACCAGAGCCCACCCTAAAGAAGAGCCGACACGGACACATTGGATTCCTCACTATCATTGATGCTGCCACAAGAGCCCTATGGACGTTTCCCCTCAAATCCAAAGAACCACCACTCAAGATAGTGGATCAATTCCTAACAAGACATGGGATTGCAACCACAGACCCACGAAAAGCCATCATCACAACAACAGCAGATGGATACCTTGCAAGATCAAGAGCATTTCGTCACACAGCCCGTGAGCACTTGTACACAGTGTCACCAGAAGACAAGGCATACTTCATGGATCTACTTCCTCAACATCTAGACTGCTATATCATGACAGATGGTGGAGGAGAGCTTGCTAACTCCAATAAGTTTAAAAGTATGGCGAATAAACATGGATACAATACAATATCCACAGCAGCAGATGCCTCCTCTCAAAATGGCCTCGCGGAGCGACCTCACAGGACACTCAAGGAAAGAATTCGATGCCTCCTCTATGCAGCTGGCTTGGGAACCGAATACTGGACCGATGCACTCCTACATGCTACATGGCTCTATAATCGTACCTATCACCATGCAATTGATATGACACCAATGCAGCTATACACCAGCAGGGTACCTCTTGTGGATAACCTCATTACCTTTGGGGCAAAAATCACAGCTAAAAGACCAGGAACAAGACCAACAACAACACACCCTTGGACCTATGATGGAATCTTCTTAGGATATGGCCGTACAACAGACAACATCAAGTACTTCGATATACACACTGGAACAGACAAAATTGCTCGACACGACTCCAAAGATGAACTTCAATATGGCAACACACCAACAGAACGGTCACCAGCTGCTTCACACCTCCTGGAGACATTCACTGAAGGCAACAACATGACACACACCACCAATGCAGCACCAGAGCCAGTCAAACTACAATTCAAGGACCCTAGACAAAGGAATCCAGAGAACATTGTGGAAGAAATCCTATGAGACTCGCCACAATCATACACGGCAGCCGCAGCGAAGATGCAAATTCACCGTACGAAATTCGAACGTCCCAACATTACAGCACTGATCCCTGAGCTAACAACACTGGATATCTCCACTAATATGTACATGAAAGAGACGTCACACACACTCCCTCTCAAAAACACTAACAGCTTCCATCCAACCATGGGATTCATTGTTAGCAGTCATCCGGATATCACAGATGCGATTGAACTAACTGCGATTCAACCAGGTACAATTGCACACTCAAGGATTAGGGGATGGAAACGCCGACTCCGTGGAACAATCATCACTGCAGTTGATGACAGAGCTGTTCGCAACAGACAGGATATCATTGACACTATTCAGCATGCGAAAAACACACACAGGACCAATATAAAATTCACATTTGGATCCCTTACAGGCTTTGCATTGAATGGGGAAGGTGTCCCCACCCTCCAGGCTGATCAGCTTAATGTTATTGCCCATCACCTCCACTCACTAAACTATGGACAGGATCTATGGAAGAATAAACAGGAATGGCCGCAACCAATGATTCACCTGATGTACACAACAACAAGATTGAGATATCTAAACTAACACGACGGAAACTCATGCAAACACCACAATGGGATGGATTCCTACAGTCTGAATGGAAACAGCTCAACAGATACCACAAAGTGGGCATGTTTGGTGAACCAGTCAACACCACACCAGATAAAACTGTACTCCCTTGGGTGTGGACATACATTGAAAAAGAGAACCCACTAACAGGCATAGAGGAACCAAAATCACGGGGCACTTGTAACGGAGGAAAGAGATATGGAAAAGCAGTTACCCTTGCTGAAACCTACGCTGCATGTGTTGAACAGCCCATACATAGACTCACGTGGGCCCTATCAGCTGCACTCAATCTCATCTGCGTTGGATATGATGTGGGCAATGCTTTTGCTGAAGCGCCCCCACCCAAATCTCCATTCTATATGAAAGTCGATGAGCCATTCCAGCAATGGTGGACGGAATGCCTACATAAGGACCCAATACTCCCTAACCAAGTTATCCCTATACAGAAGGCTCTACAAGGACACCTGGAAGCCCCGAGACTGTGGGACAAATACATATCTGGCATTCTTATTAATGACCTAGGCTTTAAACCCACCACACATGAGCCGTGTCTATACTACTACAAACATGATGATACAGGCCTTACTATGATCCTCCGGCAAGTGGATGACTTTCTAATAGCAAATGCTAGTGAAGAAGTATGTGACAGCGTCCGACAGTTAATTCAAGCAAGAATGACTAATCCCCTTAACATACTGGGCACTATTCGGAAATTCAACGGCATTCATGTGAATCAAACCCGACACTATAACCATCTTCACTGCAGCACATATATTGAAAAGATCTCAGCCCACCACGGATGGGACTCGGTGAAACATACTAAGAATACACGCAAACGACCAACTCCAATGAACGAAGGTGCAGCCTATCAACGCAAAATACAGCTCTCCAGAGGCCCAACTGATCCGATCGAAGCCCACACACTACAACAATCACAGGGATTCAACTACAGACAGTGCATAGGGGAACTCATCTATGCCCTCACGATTTGCCGAATCGATATATCTATTGCCGTAATCACACTCAGCCAGTACTCACACTCACCTGCTAAAATACACTATGAGGCAGTAAAACACTTGTTTCTCTATCTCTTAGCAACGAAACACGAAGGGCTTACTTATTGGCGTCCGGAACCACGACCGGATCTACCAGATAACAAGCCCCCTACCCCATACACAGACCCTACGATCCTTTCTAAATTCTACCAATCCCAGGATCCCCTACAGATACATGGCTCATGTGACACGACATGGGCCTCTGACAGATTACAAAGGAGGAGCATGGGAGGGATAATTATGATGTTGGCAGGTGCAGCAATATATTACAGAACCAGATTACAGCCAACAATAGCCCAAAGCTCCACCGAAGCGGAATTCACTAACATGGCAGACGCTGGGAAAGCAGCCCTATACCTAAGATGGATCATGGAAGAACTCAGATTACCACAAACAAAATCAACCCCCATTATCGCTGACAACCATGGTGCTGTCAGAATGGCAAATGCCCATCAACCCACTCGGAGAACAAGACATGTTGAAATGAAACACTTTGTCATACTACAATGGACTGATGATGAACACATTAACTTTATTGAAACACGATCTGATGAGAATTACAGTGACTCACTGAGCAAACCGACAGGAAGAACCAAATTCCTAGAACACTCTGATATTTTCATGGGTCGATTAAGACCACAATATACATACCCTCACTTGTCAGACACCCAAAGCAGCCCATTTGTTGAGGATATAGCCACTATTCCAACCACAACAGACCCGGCAATCAACACATTCTGCTCCACTTGCAGGAATCTAGACCCACTTCAAAATTTACTATTTCAGTGTAAATTTGAATCGAGTGAGTCCCTAGATTCTGCAAGTGCGGGGTGGTGTGAGGCAGTACCACGTAGTAAATCACGAGTCGATAGTGAGTGACAGCAATAAGCTCACCCACTCACTCTCACTCTTTATTGTAAACACGTAGTTATACGGCACTAAAGAGCACACGTACATTTTGCATACATTACTTCTGTAGGTTATGGGCACGTTCTGTCCTTGGTATCTTTTTCGTTGTCACGACTAATTCTGGTAAACTCGTTTGGAAAGGATTTCACGGAACACAAAACAGAATCTGTTCTATCCCCAAAACCAACAAGTCCCACTGGTATTAATTTCCCTGGAGCGACACGAAACGACATGCCTCCCTCGGACTCGGAAGCTCTTTTTGGCCGCATTATTCGTGCTTGGGTTCTTCCGGGACGCAATGAACGGACGCAGTGCAGTGCAACGCAGTACTGTGCAACGCGGTACGGCACGGTGCGTCCCGTTCCCGGTGGTTTACGCGAACGACCCGTGTGCGACTGTTACCGGAGAACGAGGGGGGACTCGGAGCCAAGCAAGAGTCGTAACTGTCCACAAACGCGAATTCCAACTTGAACGCGAACCCCGCKATGGTTTCGTTGTCACGCATCGTCGATTGCTTGCGGTGTCAGCCTTTCGGTCCGCAAGACTTCCGCACAAAAACTCTCGTTGGAAAGCTCTCGGCCCATAATTTTCGGTTGCCAGCCCTTTGAAACACAACCCAACGCAACGCAACCCAACGCAACGCAAAGCAACGCACGGGGCACCATCGATTGCGCGACGAAACCCCAATCGAAAGGCGTGGGCAAGGCAATGGCAAACACCACAAACCAAACCCGAGGCAGGCGCAGCGGAAGCACCCTTCGCTCCGCTGCGGGGGGTGCCGCTGCAAGACTCGCCACGGTCGTGGCGATCGGGCTTCCGACCCCTGTCCGTTCGGTATTGCCACCCGCGCTCTCCGCCGCCACCTCGGAACCTGGCAACGCCTTTTCCCGGTCGCTTTCCACCGGAGACTTTGGCGCGGTCAACGAGCTGTTCGAGAACGCACGCATCCTGGTTCCCGAGGAATTCGAGGTGTCCGAGCGGGTGGCCTTTGCCGATCTCGACCTGACCATCCGGAACATCGAGTGCTACGACATGAGCCTCGGAGGCATCGCCGTGGACCACGAACGGACCTCCGACACGAGCTTTCTGGTCACGGTGGGCGTCTCCGGCCTCGACGTGACGTGCGAGATGAACTACGAGTACTCTTACGGGATACTCTCGGGGGACGGCTGGCTCAAGATCGAAACCGAGAACAGCCAGGCCTCCTCCTCCGTCTCCTTTTCGGGGACCGACTTCGATCGGGCGCGCCCCCCGACCGGCTCGGCGGTGCAGGGCTGCGAGTCCGACGTGGGAATCCGCGAGATGGACTTCGAAGAAGACCTCGCGTCGGAGGTCCTCGAGGTCTTCCAGGGCCTGGTCCGCAACGCCGCCGAGCGGGCCATCGGGGACGTGGCCTGCGAGGAGCTCTCCGTCGCCGGAACGAGCGTCCTGGGGAACCTGGTGGGAGAGGCGGCGGGCCGCCTCGAGCCCTACCTCGGCCACCTAGGCGAGGCTGCCACGGACCCCCTGCACCTGGAAACCGGCCTGGTGCTTCCCGATGACCTGGAGGCCCTGGACCTGCAGGACACGAACGGGTACGTGGGCCGAACAGTCAGCGAGATCCTCGGGTACCTGGATGCTCACCTCGGGGCGTCCGCCCCCGGCTCGCCCGGCCAAGACCGGCAGGACCTGGTGGTCAACTCCCTCCTTCGTTCCTTTGTCTTGGAGGAGGACGGGTCCCTCCCGATGGATCCAGCCTCGATGCCCTCCCTGGCGGACCAAATCCTCTTCGAGGGACACGACCGGCTGACGGAATTTTCCGTGACCCTGAACGAGATCCGCCTCTTTGGCCTCGATTCGATCACGAGGCTCAACTCCTTTCGGAGGATCGGAAAGCACACCCTCCAGAACGAACTGACCTGGGACTCGCTCTCCTTCGAGTTCGACCTCACCCTCGATATGAAGCCCTCGACGCTGGAGGATGCCATTCTGGTCGACCCGACCTCTCCCGGCATCCGCGAGGACTTTACCATCGGCTTTGCTCTAGAAAACATCGACGTCGAGGTCTCTCTTCTCCTGGTGCTCGACGGGGACGCCATGGGATCCATGGAACTCGGCCCGCTCTTCCATACCGAGAACCTCCTTCCCTGCGTGCTCTCGGTGGTCCACGACGCTAGGATTTCCGGGCTCGACGTCGATCCAGCGTACGTCACCGACGGACCCACCCTGAGCGGCTTTGTGTCCTCGGGCCTCGACCGGTTCGTCTCCGATTCGATCGGGGCCGCGTTTTCCGTCTACGAGGCGAGCCTCCGGACGGCCGTCCCGAACCTCTTTCGGACGGAGGTTCGCGAGGGGATCAACGCCTTCTTGTCGAGCGCCCGCGCAAGCAGCGGGGGCGTTCCGGGCTGTCCCGAGGCTCCATCGTTCGACGAGGGAGTCCTKGATTTTCGGGAGTTCCTCGATCCCGAAAGCGGCGGCAGCTACGGCGACCTCGTTCCGGCGATGAAGAAGATGCTCGACGAAGAACTGATTGCCACCGGCGACGAAACGGGACGACCCCGCATCAACGAGGCCCTCGTGGCTCCGTTCACCGGGGCCCAGTCGGGCACCAGGGGGACCGTGGTGTTCCCCTTTGACTTGTTCCGCTTTGCGGCGCCGAACACCGTCTCGCAGCGATTCGGAATGGAATCCCTCGAGCTCCGCCTGTTCGACCCCAAGATCGAGAACATCGACACCATCCAGAATCCAATCAGGTTGTTCGAACCGAACGCGACGAGCGGTCAGATCCTGGACAACTACGCCACCCTCGGCGTGCCACAGAGGAAGCTCCGGATTGGCGTCAAGGGGCGGATTGACGCGGAAGGGGATCCGGCGCTCGCCACCACCAACGAGATCGACCTGTCCGTGGAGCTCTCCGGCGCGGAGGCCTGGGTGTCTCTCATGGCCAGGATCGATGCCGGATCGCTCTTTCGCTTTCCGCTCCGGGACGTTGCCAACCCCGAGTGCTGGCTGAACACGCTCGAAAGCCCCGCGGCGATTGGCGAGGGCCAATCCACCGGCTTTGCCCTCGCGGGAGCGCTCCTGGACACCAGCGCGATGGGCTTCAACGTGTCGTGCGCCTCCTGCACCGGTGCGGGCCCCTCGGTCTTCCCAGAGATGATGGGGTCGCTAGGGGCCGCGGGCGTATCGGAGGTCCTCGGGGGCAGGCTCGTAAGGCTCGTCCTAGACCTGCTGCGCAGCGATTCTACCCAGGCCTACATCAACCACAGGTTGATGGATGCGGCGCTCCGCTGCCCGCACAGCCCGGAGTACGTTGGTCCTTCGGCGTCCTCTCGGGACGATCTCGAGCAGGAGTTTCCCTCCCTCGACCACGGGTCCCTCGAGACCCTCGTCTTTGCGGCGGCGGTGGCAGCTGAGATGGCGACCGTGGTAGTGGCAAGAGCACACGAATCGTACGATCTCGAAACGAGCTTTCCCCTGTCGGCCCAACACGACCTGGGTGCCAAGGACGACGCCCGGCTGGTGGACTTTACCGCCCTCGAGGAATCGGTCGGGGAAAAGGCGAGCTCAGGAATCGCCGGATTTCTCGCGTTCCTCCACCGCGGTGCCGACGACCCAGGCGGCAATGGGAGCCTGGGAGTCAATAGCATTCTGCGGGCGTCGCTTCTCGACAAAAACGGAGAGTTTTCCGTTTCATTCGAGGGACCCGAGGCCACGAACGACGAAACGGGAATATCGCTGAAGGAGCTCAAGATTTTCGGGCTCGACACGATCTCCGAGCTGAAGGTGTTCGACGCGGTTGGGGCCCAAACCCTCCAGAACAAGATCAGGTGGGACGAGATCCGGATCCAACTGGTGCTGTCGCTGGGACACAAGGGAGATGCTTCCGCGGCTAAGAAAAGCGAGATTACGGTTTCCGTGGGACTCTCTGGTGTCGATTTGTCGCTGGCTCTGTTCCTCGAGATGGATCTCGATCGCTTGGAGGCCCTCGAGTTGTGGTCGATCATGGAGACGACAAAAATTCTCCCGTGCCTCGTGTCGGGGGCGCGTGAGGCACGTTTCACCGAGCTCGAGCTATCGATCGGTTCCTTTGCCGAGGTTTCGATCGACGGGTTTGACTCGAGCGAGATCGGTTCTGCTGCAAGCGAGAGCACGAAGCTCTTTCTGGAACAGTACGGGGAAGGGGTTGCCTCGTCGATGCCCAAATTCTTTGATTCGACGGTTCGCTCCTTGTTGAACAATTGGTTGAAACACTATACGGGTGAGTTGGCGTCCGACATGTGCAAGCACTCGCCGTCGAGGGGTTCCGGGTTTGTAGATCTTCGTGACCTCTTGCAAACTGCTGCCATTGCCACCCATCTTGGCGGGACCGGGCTTTCCGGATACGGAGACACCTTCCGAACAGCACTCGGTTTTGTCCGGGACCTGTTCAAAACCGATGAATCTACTGGGCTCTCCGGGTTCAACACAGTGGTTATCGAACCACTCACGGCATCGAACGACGGTGGGGCGGGTGCGATCCATTATCCCGACGATTTGTTCCACAGCGAAGAGAAGATCAAGATCGGAGCACTGGACACGAGTGTCCAGTTTCGAGCATACGATGCAAAGGTCGAGAACCTCAATACCGTTGGGGCTCCCCTCGAACTGTTTGTGGGAATCCCGGAAGAGCCGTATCTCCTTAACAACACAATAACGGCGGGGGTGGGGGAGCAGCCACTGCGATTTTCCTCAACGGTTTTGCTCTCGCTTCAGGGCGATGGTGAGTGGCGGCTCATTGAAAGGAAAGATTAATTCTCTTTTTGTTGTCGCGAACTTACCTTCATTTTTTTTTTTACGCACACACTTTCACTCCTGTTGCGCGCAACCCTTCCCCCGTGATTAGACGATATCGAGATTCGCAACGAGATCGATTTGAACCTCGAGTTGACCGATGCAAATATCATCGTTTCGACCATGACAAAGATTGCGGAAAACAGGTTGTTTGGCTTCCCTCTCCGAGACGTTTTCGATCTAAATTGCTGGCTTGCGACCATTCCGGCACCAGAATTGGACCCCCGCGGAGTTCGAGTGCATGACTCCGAAGTGACGGTTTCGTTGTCCGACTTGTCGTCCAGCGTTGGAGCGCTTGCTGTGTCGGCCAAGTGCGCGAATTGCTCCAGTCCAAGAATGGTGGAGTTTGTCGATCTGATTTCTTCCCCAGACGCAAGAAACGAAACAACGGATGTTGCGAATGCCCTTCTCGAGTATGTGACGCAGTTGATGGGAGGAAATTTCCTCCAGGTTCAAATGGACCGAATTCTCAACGATGCTGCACGGAAGTGTCCTCACAGCCCGTCCTATGATCCCAATGCGATACCTCTTGTGTACGAAGCGTTCGAGGCTCCTGATACAAGCTATTCTATGGGGTACCTCATTCTCCTTGGCGCACTAGCTCTAGCAGCTGTCATTGTCTTCCTAATGATCATCATTCTTGTTCGGTGCATTGTACAGCGCCGTCATAGCAAATGGCTGTTCAAACTCCCCCCGCATCAGATGAAGAAACTGGCGCAACAACAGAAGTCCGAAATGGATTTAGAGGAGAAATTAAACCGCACCACAAGTTCGATGTTCCTGAGCAGAGACATTCCATGCATCGTACGCTTCGTGGTGCCGGTTGTGATCATCTCCAATGTAGCATTCTTTCTCTCTGGTCATTTGAGTCTGGGAGCTACGGTCAATATCGAGGCCGAGGTTGCCGGAGAAACCTTTACCATCGAGAATTTTTTCGAATTTTCTATGGCGCGCTCAACGATCGACATTTGGAAAGCCGGTGGTTGGGAGCTCGCGATTCTCATTCTACTCTTCTCTGGAATTTGGCCGTACACCAAACTATTGATGACTCTCTGGCTTTGGTTTTCCCATCCGTCGAAGGTATCCATCTCTCGGCGAGGCTCAATTTTGACATGGTTGGATTGGTTGGCGAAGTGGTCCATGATTGACATTTTTGTCTTGGTAATTAGTATCGCTGCCTTTCGCATTTCTATCGAGAGCCCAAACGCTGCATATTTACCAAGTGACTTCTACGCGATTGAAATGATGGTCATTCCTCTCTGGGGTCTGTATGCGAACATGATCGCTCAATTGTTATCTCAAGTAACTTCCCACATCATCATTCATTATCATCGTCAGATTGTGACCAGAGGAACAAGTCGACTGAATGAAAACCATCTTCCGGACGTTGTGGTTCCAGCGTCGTTGGATGCCAGAGCCCAGTCTCAGCCCCATGAACAGGAAGACCTTCAAAACAAGATGCAGTTGCATTCACTGAATGCCGGGCAAGAGCGATCCCACTCTGCCGAAGCCCTCGACGAAATTTTCATTGAAGAAAGTTCTAGTGTTCCGACTCCCAAGGCCGCTACTGAGAACAAAATGTCTCTCAGTTCATACCAGTTCAGTCGCCCTCATCGCGGCGAAAACGAGAAACTTGTTGTTCGACGTTATGTAAACATGATACTTCCTCTTTGTGGCTGTTCCCTCGTGATTTGCATCGCTCTTGGTTGCATTCTACCGTCATTTTCCCTTGAATTGTTAGGCATTGTTGGAGTTGCTGTGGAATTCGGACAGGACTTCGAAGAAGCGACTGTGTATCACAGTGCGTTTTCGGTCATCAAACTGCTTTTTGATCAAGCAAGTTACTTGGGTACACTCAGAGATTATCTTGGGCTTATAGTTCTCTCCATCCTTTTCGTCTCAACGATTTTATTCATTCCAATTATTCAATCGATCACGCTTCTACGCCAGTGGTTCTCCAGCACCACGATTACTGAAAAAAGAAAAATCTCTGTTCGTATCGAAATTCTACAAGCCTGGCAATACCTTGAAGTTTATCTCGTTGCTCTATTCGTTTCAAGCTGGTAAGATTCTATTTTCCCTGTATTGGAACTCGAGTAAATTCATGAATTGTTTTTCTCAGCTGTAATACTCATGTTGTTCTCATTTCCTTGACAGGCAACTCGGCTCAGTTTCGGACTTTATGATCAACGAATATTGCAAGAATCTGGAAGATACATTCGCACAGATGGTTTACTTCGGCGTTCTAAAGGAAGAAGATGCACAGTGCTTCAGCGTAACATCTCATATTGAAATGACTTCTTTCTTCTTGGTAGCAGGGGCCGTTATGCTATCGTTCCTTAGTAGCTTTGTCTCCAAGGGAACTTTCCAGTATCTCCGCGACGAGACAAACGTTGCACAACGTCTCGAAGGAAGAGGTGATTTGACAATCAATTCAGGAGACGGATCTCAACAGTATGATGATGGAAACGAAAGAGATGATATTGGCGTTGTTGCAAATATCCGGCAAGTGCCTGTCCTTTTCACCGACACCTTCCGTTGGCTGCTATCATCAATTGCTCAAACAGGGTATGCGGAATCAGGAGATAGCCACTGGTCACTTCCAGAAGCTACTGTGGTAGCTGACGGCCTTCCGAACGATAGCAGACTCATCAAGGGTACATATGTGTCGAACTTGGGTTCTGAAAAGGAAGTTGACCAAGTAGCGAACGGCAGTTTTCAGGAGAAAGGAAGATATCCGGAGCGAGGGAAGTCAATAACTTCCGCAAGCTCCTTCAAGTCATATCATCATTCTTTGAAAGGGAGAAAACTGATCCATGATGACGATGGAGACGAAAAACGCCACCACAAATATTCTCCTAAGCAACAACAAAAAAGACGTGAACGAAGATACTTATCTAGCTCCCATGGGCAAAACAGTGTTAACAGTCAGATGGAATCTGTAGGAAGCACCTCCGAAGGAGAGCATTTCGAAGATATTTCCTACAATTCGATGCAATTTCCCTTATCATCAAAAAAGCCTCCACCGCCATCTGAATATCGTTTGTCAAAGAATTCTTTAAAGCCCCCTCCATCTTACTCCTCCCCAATCGAGAACAAACCTACTATCCTGACAAAAATGCCATCATCTTCTTCGCTTCCATCTTCTCCTCGATCGACCTCGAGAATGGACGACTGCACTCATACCACGATCAACAAAGAATACGACGACGACACGGTATTCACAGGGGAGGACGAATACAGTAGAGTGAAATCGATCAGTGACATCATAGTGGAAATGGACAACGATGCCAATACACTTCACTTTGATGACGGAAGTTTTAGTCAGCAATCCAGTTCTCGCCATCAATTCACTTGATATCCAATAAGAATCGTTTTCAGAAATTCATATATTCCTCTCGAGTTTATCACCTAGTCTCACTTGGTTTCATCAAGTTGTCAAACGCCAGGTGACTCAGTCACACAATGAAAAGCACTGTAGAAGGAAGAGTATTATATAACCTCCTTCATTTTCTTATTACAATGCAAATAATTTTTCCTATTACTAGTACTATTGCAGTATTTAATACTAGCACTGCTAGTAGTATGGTAGTAGTATCTAACTACTAGTAATAGTCGTTGTCTCTTCGCACTGGAGTCCTCCTTGCAGACTTTGCCCAGCGGTTATGTCTGAAAAATGTACGTGAGCTCTCGTTGGATGGTGGTACCATTGTATCCTTTAAGGTGGAATGATTGATGGTGCTGTGGGTCGGGGGATCGTCTACTAGTTCTTGACTTGACCAGGTATTTCCTCATTGGAGAGGTTGTAGGTTAAAAAAAATTAGAACGTGTTGAAAAGAAGTATTAGAAAGAGGACCACATGGCACAATACGAATCACGAGTAATTAGTCTTGCGTGATTCTATTTGTTTAGCTTGCGGTGTTCAGAGTGCAGTACGGTACTACGATACCACTCGTTAAAACTGTACTATTAATCCCTTAAAAAGTCCCTCTGCGATGTTTCCCAGGCAAAGTGACCATCGATCCCATCCCTGCGGAGGACATTTCTGAAATTTATCTCTTTGATTTTTTGATGACTACTCGTAAAGTACCTTGCGAACTACGATTCCTCTCCTCAAACACATCAACACTTCCACTACGATACGGACAACATAACCATAATCGAGCATCGCCCCCATCGAGGAGCCGAACTTTTCAAGAACTAGTGAAATAGAGACGGCAAGAGTTATTTCTTGGGTTTCGATTTTGCCTTGATTGCGAGGTTGATTAGATTCGAACAGAACCCGATACGCTTGAGCAACCATAGACCTACCATGATCCGACTGTTCACGCTATTGTTCCTGTGGTACTCCTGCTCTTTCGTGCACGGTCGTCCGTATATATTACTGACCAACACCCGATCCAAGTGCTTCTCGGTGATCGCGCCACACGATCAAGTGATCACCGTTGAATACCACGCGCCGGGTAAGTTTTGTCGTTGTTGGTTGGTCACGAAGTTCTAGATCTAGAAATGGCCGATTTTTCACTCATCGATTGCTGGGCGATATACGAATTTTTTTTGCTTTCGCAGACTTGATTCTTCCGCCAGATACCATGGCAGAGGCGACCCAAAAAAGGAGGCTGGAACAAGGAAAAGAGGAACCAGCAGGCTTGGATTCGGAATGGAACAAGAGAATGAAAGAAAGGCTCGAACGGATCAAAAACAAGAAGATGAGAGATACGTCGATCACGGTGATGCAACGAGGGTTATCTTTTAGCAACACAAAAGACAATAAGCAAACCACGAACTTCGACGAGGAAGGAAACATCGTAACATCGGGTGCGGGACGCATTCGAGAAGAACTGAGTCAGGAGAACGGTCGAATCGAATTCCTGACCGGGAAAGATGCGGGAACCGTGGAAATTTGCGTTCAATCCATCTCGGCTAGTCCAAAGAGACCTGCCCGGTTACACGTGATGGTGAAAGACGAGGCGTCCGACAACGAGTTCGACGACGACGATGCCTATTATGACGACGACGATCACGTCTCGGACAGCAAAGCAAATACGAAAAAAGTAAAGGATCCAGATCACTTGGAACACAGGGAACTCACTCAAACAATGACTCGACTGGAGCGAGATCTACAATCTCTACAGAACCGGATTAAGGCTTGCATAAACAATGCTGATTTCAACAAAGACCAAGAGCATAAATTCCACGAACAATCCGTTTCCATGAACCGAGCCACCAAATACTGGCCCATAATCCAGCTTATAGTGCTGATATTGACGGGGTTCACTCAAGCGAACCACATTGTGGGGTATCTGAAGTCTCATCGTATCGTATGATGAGTTGAAGGAATGCGGACGATAAAGTCGTGCAGAAAAGGCATACCTGTGCCGAGTCGAATGGTATGCGTTAACGTGAGCGGCCGAATTCTTTCATTTTTTTGTTTTACCAAACTACAACTAGACACTATAACTTGTCATTGACGTTTCTTTTATAAAGCAAGGCTTTTATTGTCGAGAAATGTAGGTTGCGTGGCTTATGTCGTAGAACAGCATGCATCTTACTAGGAGAGGACAAAACGTATCACCTTCGTTGGTGCTTTTCATCATAAAGCGAGAGAGTCGCGGCCAGAGCATCACTAGCCGAAGAGTTTTTGAGGATGGGTGCAGTGCTACGTTATGTGTGTATCGGAGAAAGTCTTCTCTCTAGCCCCCGCCGACTCTCATCTGGCCCGAATCGTTGAATCCTCTCGAGAGATTTACGACTTCTCTGCAATCAGAGATGAAATCGGATGGTTTCTCGTCATCGGACAAGGCAATGGCTGCATCGATTTGGTTTGCTTTCTTCAACAGGTCGGCGTTCGTCAGTTTTTTGCTCTCGCTGGCATTTATTGCCGTTTGTGCCTCTGCCTCCGTCCGAAGCTCTTTGTCTTTTTCTGCCTTGGCGAGCGCGGCTTCCTTTTCGGCAGCGGCTTCCATTGCTGCCGTTGTCTTGACTTCCTCGATCAGCCCGATCAGTTCTTCGAGGCCTTGTTGTTCGTCCCTGTCTCTTGTTGATTTCGACGAAGCGACGAGGTATTCCGAGAAACCTGGATCGGTACACGCTTCCAACCTCCTCGAAATCTCCGATTTCACATCACCAGAAAATATAAGCGAATGGTACAATCTTTCCAGCCGTTCATCGTCATCGTTCTTGCCTTCTTCCTCCTCGCATGAATTTTCTTCTTCCATCAAATCATCGAGGATTCCGAACAATGTCACCGGTGCCGTTCGTGGTTGTAACGTATTCCCAACATGATCCACGCTTCTTCGCACCGTTGAAAATGCGTCGACGCTTTGCCGACACCCGGCAATCACCGCGACGGCAAACATTGTCGTTGGAAGGATCATATCGTGTACGATGTCGTCGCTGTGGCTAATATTTTTCTTCTATCTCTACTTTGGTCGGTTGCAAGAAACCTACAGTAACATACAACGGAAAGGATGCTGTTGCTTCTTTGTGTTTGTGGCGGGTGTGATTGGTGACGAGCAAAGTGATCACTGACAGAAAAAGAGAGTGAAGGAAACGAAGCAAGGAAAAACCAAAAACGCACCCATACCAACACCTAGGTACCGTACGTATGTATGTATTCGTATGGTCATCCCTGGCAACTACATACTACTCATGTATATAGAACATATGATATTCCACAGGTGTAAATCAAACCTCAATGGTACTATGGTACCGTACGGTATGGTACTTCTAGCAGTCTTCTTGTACCAATAGAACAACAAATAGCAGTACTAGCTGGCCAAGGTTAGGGGTCGATGGTGGCCATACCGTATTTCGTTCAAGAAACACACTGGACACCACTGCTGAACAGAACCCTTCTCATTCTCGTTCCGAATGAAGCCACCGTGATGAAAGAATGAGTCACGTTCGTGATTGATTTCGAGCGAAGTATTCTCACTGGTGACGGTAACTTTCACGGCGATAGATGTCGACAAAATAATTCGCAGTGAAATGTCGCGACCACCGCCCCCTAAATAATTTCAAACCACGTCCAATGGAAAAATCAGTTTTTGTATTGCCATCTTGCATCACATCGTCGCTGTCTATCCTCACTCCACATTATTTATTTCTTCGTATTTCAGATGGTTGATGAAAGGAGTGAGAAGAAACACCTGGAATCCCCCCACTCTTTTTTCATGATGATCAACAAGCCTTTTTCTGATTCAACAACGTTGACAGTTGTTAAGGTGGCTTCAAAGATTTCAACAAATCTATTTTAATTTTAACAACACTCTGATTCCACCCCGCGACACATCATAGTCGTCGTCATTTTTCTCCTATGGAAAAAGAACGGTATGTACGAAGTAAGCATGCACGCTCCCGTGGTTCGCCAAGCGAGCGCACACAACCTTGATCTGCAATTTTTTTGATATCTCGTTGATTTGCAGCATTGTTGGGCATGGCCCAGTGAAGGTATCCTTATTTTTTAGTATACCCCTCCCGCAGTGATCACAATAACGAAGACCGTTCTTTTGGTTTGATAACCTGAAGAGGCGATGTCACCACGTTATGAAAGAGTCTACCAGAAGAAATGCTCCAATCAATCATCAATTAAAATTGATCGTTTCGCTGGCTTGATAAAATCATTGTCGTGACGAGTCTTGGTCTAGTAACTCAATTTCACATTTTTTCTTGCTGGTTTGTGAAACTACTGATCTTTCCAGATACATGAATATCATCTGAACAAATTGACAGAAAAAAGACTCGTACCACACAATAGAAATCCCCGACATGTCAGCTTATGCATTGCCGGGTTTATTCCCACCGATCGACAAGGTATCAGAAGCCAAAGAAGTGAATGAACCGGATGCATCGTTCTCGGATGGCGGAAATGAGGGAGACAGCTCATGTGCGAACGCTCACGAGTCATCAAGTGACAAAAACTTGCCATTGCATCACCAAAAGGGAAACTGCAGCAATTACAGTACTCTCTATGGAGCAGACTGCGGTAACTCTTCTCCTTCATCGTCAAACATTGGCTGTCTTCTGAGTTCTGCGGCAATTGCCGTGAAGGAAGCTAAAATAGACCCAATCCGGTGGATTCAATTTGTAACGGGGTCGTATCCACAACAATATGCAAAACAGATCGGGAAAACCCTTCGAAGGAGAGTTTCAGGTAGTAGCGGATCCTCGCAATTATCTCCAGTAGGTAGGACGGCTTCAATCCGAACACGTCGTGATCCTTCAAAGGGATCAAAACATTGCACTAGCAGTTCAAACAGCATTAGCAACAATAAGAAAAGCCCCCAAAATGAAGCGATCGAATTCGAACTGGCTATTACTCTGAACGGACGCAGATATACAGCTAAAAGAACTATGCAATGCATTGTGCAACTTAGAGATGATTTGATAAGAGAAATGAAACGCAGGAGGGAATGGTTGACGGAAAGCCAAGCCATGCCATCGCTACAGCTACCTTACGAAAGTAATGTGCACTCTTTTTACACAACTCCTCCTCACAGCATCAGTACTCCCATCACAACAAAACCAGAACCAACAAAAAAGCACTGTTACGCTGTATCAATTCCAGAAATACCTCCTTTAAGTGGATGCGATGATCGTGATATCGGAATTGTGGGAAGAGGCTTTACAATGCTCCATCAAATGGTTACATCGTACGTTCCTGTGATGGAAAGCTGGTTAAAGAACGTCATGGAAATCGTTCCTCAGGACAGCGAATGTCTCATGAATTTTTTGTGGGAACCTGCAACAGAAATCCCCTCTGATACTTGCAAGAGTGTCTCGGACAGCATTAACAACAACAATCTCACCGGCACATTAAACAAGTTCAAGCCTAGCTCAAGCATGGCGACCTTGTGCTCTATCAAAGAAATGGATTACGACATGGAAGACGACGATTCAGATGACGAAGATGCTGCCTTCTCCGACAAGTGGAAAAATTAGGTTGGGAGAGCGGATATCTCTGGTGTTTGTAGCTATTCTGGACTACTTGAGTTGTAAACGAAAGAATAACCGACATATTTTAACTGCATTAATTGAAATCTTCCAGAATTGAAAATTTATGAAACTTTCGCTGTCACTACAGCGATTGCTCTCAGCAGTGAAAATGTACAGTAGACTCTTGTAATACGGGGAAAATGACAAATATAACAAGTAGCGTTAATTTTATTAAACAGGATCTAGTTTTTTAACATAAAATGTTTGATCAACAAACCATGTAAAGTATACACTCAGGACTTGTCATCTAGAAAATTCCAACTATTGTTTCTCTTCATCACGATCAGAAATTGCGTACGCTTCGTCTTCAACTGACTCTGACAGTTCGTCAAGTTTCTTTAAGTCTCCTTCCCGAAATTTATCCAGTTCTCGCTTGAGATCCTTAATGGTATCATCTTTTTCTGATAACGTATTTTTCAATTTTATAACGGTCTTCTCCAATGCAAGAACAGCTTCTTCGGAAATGCTCTTCGAAAAAGAAGATTCCTTCAGGCTTGCCAAAGCTGTATTGGCTATTGCATTTAATTTTCTGCATTCTACAGCATGACTTGCGAGCGTTGATTGATGCTGGTTCTCGAGATATGTCACCTGTCTTCGTAGTTGCATATTTTCCGCTGACAATGTATCGTACTCCGCGACCATATACTCTAATTCCTTTGAGACAGGCTCCTCAGCTTTGTCTTCTTTCGAAGTGGTTTCAAGTTTTGATTCTTCTTTTTCTTCCTGAGTGACTTCTACAACCTCCTCTGTCTCTGTCTCGGCCTCGGCTGGTTCGTCTTGTTTGGCAGTAGGTGATTCATCTTCTGCTTCAGCACTTTGAACTTCTGGTTCTTCATCAGCTGCCACAGATTCTTGCTCTGTCTCAGCTGGTTTTTCTTCTGCTTCGGCACTTTTCACTTCTGGTTCTTCTTCAGCTTCAGCAGGGTCTTCGACCTCCTCTGTTTCAGTCTCAGCTGGTTCGTCTTGAGTGTGCGCACTTTCCACTTCTGGTGCTTCTTCCGCCTGTGTGGCTTCTTCCGTCTCTTCCGTCTCTTCTGTCTCGTCCTCTGTTGGTTTTTCACTTTCCCCTGTTGGTTCTTCTTTAGCATCAGCAGCGTCTTGGACCTCTTCTGTCTCGGTTTCGGCTTGTTTTTCTTCATCATCAGCTGCTTTATCTCCAGTATCAACACTGTCCACTACTGGTACTTCTTTGGCATCATCAGTGTCTTTCACCTCTTCTGTCTCAGGTTCCTCTGGTTCTTCCTGTTCTTCAGCTKGTTCATCTGCAGTGTCTGCACTTTCCACTGCTAATTCTTCTGCATCCTGGGTGGTTTCAGTAACCTCTTCTGTCTCGGCCTCAGCTGATTTTACTTCGTCCTCAGCTGCTTCATCCTCAGCCTCAGCACTTTCTTCTGCACCCTCGGTGGCTTCAGCAACCTCCTTTGTCTCAGCTTCAGTCGGTTCTTCCTCTTCCTCGGCTGCTTCATCCTCTGTCACGGCACTTTCCGCTTGTGGTTTTTCCTCAACCTGTGTCGGTTCTGCAGTCTCTTCTGTCTCGGGTTCAGCCGGTTCTTCCTCCTCCTCAGCTGTTTCATCCTCTACCTCGGCACTTTCCACCTCTGGTTCTTCCTCGGCCTGTTTGGGCTCTGTAGCCTCTTCTGTCTCGACCTCAGCTGGTTCTTCTTGCCTAGTCTCTTCTTGCTCATCTTCGGTCTCGGGACTTTCCACTTCTGGCTCTTCTACATGGGTAGCTTCAGCCACCTCTTCTGTATCAGCCTCGGTAAGTTCCTTTTCATCAGATGCTTCATCCTCTGCTTCGGCACTTTCCACCTCTGGTTCTTCTTCGGCCTGAGTGACTTCTGCAACCTCTTCAGTCTCTGTTTCGGCTGGTTCTACTCCTTCCTCGGCTTGTTCCTCTTCTGTTTTAGCATCCTCAGCTGGTTCTTCTTCAGCCTTAGCGGTTTCTGCGACTTCCTCTGTCTCGGCTTTGGCTGGTTCTTCTTCTGTTTCCGCAATTTCCTCTGCTGGTTCTTCTTCAGCCTCGGCGGTTTCNCGGTTTCTGCGACTTCCTCTGTCTCGGCTTTGGCTGGTTCTTCTTCTGTTTCCGCAATTTCCTCTGCTGGTTCTTCTTCAGCCTCGGCGGTTTCTACGATCTCCTCTGTCGCGGCTTCTCCTGGTGCCTCTCCTGCCTCGGCTTCAGCTGGTTCTTCTTTTTCCTCGGCCGGTTCTTCTTCTGTCTCGGCACTTTCTACTGCTGGTTCCTCTTCAGCCTGAGCGGTTTTCGCAACCTCCTCTGTCTGGGCTTCGGGCAGTTCTTCTTCCTTGGCTGGCTCGTCTTCTGTCTCGGCGGTCTCCACTGCTTGTTCTTCGTCATCTGTGGGAGCAGCCTCTTCTGTTTCGGCACTCTCCGCTTTTGGTTCTTCTTCGTCCTTGATTTTTTCGTCGATGGCCGCGTCGGGCTCGGATGTTTCTGGTCCGGGATCATTTGATTCGCCCTTTCCGTCCTCCGAGGTTTCAGCAGACTCCGTCTCGGACTTCGAAAGGTTTCTTGTTCTGACCGTTCTTTCGGTGCTGTTAGCCTCTGAAATGGGTTCCATCTTCTCGGGCTCCGAAATGGGTTCTAATGCTTCGGGCAGCGAAGTAGCATCCTTGACCTTGTCACTGTCGTCAGAAACAGTACCGACCTTCTTTCGTCGTGTGCTGTTTCCGGAACTGGTAAGCTTTCGAGAACTCTTTTTCTTCGAAGCATCACCCGTTAGGTTTCTTGAACTGGCAAGTTTCCGAGAAGAAGCCTTCTTCTTTGTAGCATCACCGGCTAGATTTCTAGAACTCGCCAGCTTGCGAGAAGAGCCCTTCGCCGATTTGCTCTCGGTAGCACCCCCGGCAAGTAGATTTCGAGAGCTCTTTGCTGATTTTTTCTTGGGTCGTTCCTTTTCCCCATCGGCGTGAACCGGCTTTGCGCCCTCGTCCTCGGCGGATGCCACGGATGCGGCATCGGTTTTCTTTTTCTTGATGGATTTCTGCTTTTCGAGCTTGGCCTTGCTCTTGTTCTTCTTCAGAGCCGGTTTCGCACTAGCACCGTCGGCGCTTGCGCTTTTCTTTACCGGTCCGTCAAACGAAACCTTCTTGTCTAGAGAATCGGATTCGGGCACCGGCTTTAATCGTTCCGTTTCCGCCTTTTTGAGAGTCTTTTTCGGTTTTGCCTTTGTCTTATCTGCTATATTGGTTTCGCTCTTAGCTTTGGTCGTCAGTTTTTTGGATTTCTCTTTCTTCAGTTTGTCTTTACGGTCCTTTGAGGCTGTTGACTGCCCGTCTTTGGAATCGGAATCTTTATCGGTTGATTTGGTCTTCGTGACCTTGGCAGTTTTAGTGGTTTTGGTAGTGGTAGCCTTGGTTGCTTCCTTGGTTGCTTCCTTGGTTTTGGTAGCGGTGGCTTTGGTTGTTTCCTTGCTTTTGGCTTTGGTAGCGGTGGCTTTGGTTGTTTCCTTGGTTTTCTTCGCCGGTTTCGAATCGGCATCTTTTTCCTTCTTATCGGCCTTCGCTTTGGGCTTCGAATCTTCGGCATCTTGCGATTTTTCTTTGGCCTTCTCGGCGGCCTGCATTTCTTTTACAACCTTGAAAAAGCTCTTTTTTGTCTTCTTCTTGCCGTCTCCATCGGCCGGCTCGGCAACAGCTCCCTCGCCTTCCGGCTTCGCTTTGAGTTTGTCTTTGTGTTTGTTTATCAAATTCTTAAACATGGTCGATGCAAAGACAACGGAGGCAACCCCGGTTTTGGTGTATTAAATGATGAAGATTGCTGTGTAGTATTTTGATGTGATTTTGTTCGGCCACAAACTTTGCTTTCGGGTGGAAGCAGAAACTATTGAATTATGGCTCGATTTAGACAGATTGCGTGAGAAAATACCTGAACTTCCGTCCTATGCGTCTCGTGTGCACTGCGGATAGCGAACCCCAAGCGCGTTTTGAGTTGATTGATCGACGCCATTTGCTCTCTCTCAATGCCGTTTTTGGAACAAGCACGAACACCACCGTACGAACCGTAGTCGTAGAAATTCCTTCCTGTTCTCAACAGAATTTTGGTCCACTGTCATCAATTTTGGCGCTCGTTGACATCCTTCTCATGATTCGACCGTGCCACCATTCGGTCGTGAAGGTTCCGTGGGTCGTAGCGACTCGGTCGAATGACACCACATGATCATTAGGGATGGAGTTATACTATACCAACTGGATTCTAGGGGGAGTTCAAACAGTACTTATGTACGTACTGTAGTCATGCTAGCCATTCTTTACCTACCGGTACATGTACATCGTAATGTACGAGTTTGTACTTACTCTAACTTGTGTACATCCATCGACCTTTTGAGTTGGTCTACTACTCGTACCCCCTGCCGTACGTACCGGGATTGCTACATTACAGAAGCATCGAATACGTACTCGTACGTACTTTTAAATCCACGGTACCGTAGGTACGGTACGTACTGTAACCATTCAAAAGAAAAGACGTAAATCTCCGTACCGTACGTACGTACGGTATGACGAAGAATTTGTTTGCTTCAAATACCGTACGGAAGAACAAAATGGTAGGAAATGGACGTGTCTTTCTTGCCCATCAAATCAAAACTTGCAATTGCTGGTTTGATCAAGGACGAACGACGGAAGAGTGGCCCATCATACCTCACCTCGTGGTATTCCATTCTTGCTCGATGGAAAGTGAAATGAGATATATAGTAATTCAAACGCAACCAAAGGTTTTCTCCAGCCGACAGCAGTAAATTTGCTTTCACCAGCCATCGAAGCCTGGGGCACTTGGACCATTGAACCTAGCGTCGTCAACGATAATCATGGAACGAGAAAGACTAGATCGTTCGGCAAAAACAAAGGCCGGTCCTATCGAAGAAGATCACCACCATGAAGCGCTGGAACAATCTACGAATGGATCAGAACCGATCTCACCTCTCGCGTTGCCGCTACACGAAACGATAACGGATTGCAGACCAGTGAACACCGGAAACGACAACCAAAACACAGGCGACAACAATCATTATAGTTTGGGCCGACAGAAGTTCGGTGCATTGCATCCCTGGTTAGTGACATTATCCGTGCTTATTTATTGGACCTTTGTGTCTCTGATACCTGTATACAACAAATACTTTTTCCAGGAGTCTCTGTTCCCGTATCCTATAGCTACGGCAGCAATTCAGCTCGGGGTCGTTTCCGTCTTGTGCGCCGCCATCAACATTTTTCAGAAATACTTCTTTTCTCCCGAAAATTCTGGCAATAGTTTTTGTGGCAAGACATCAACCAACGTCGCTACCGATACAAAAACTTCTGCCAGGGGGGCATCAACAAATACTAGTTTTGTCGTCGAGAGATCATGGATTCTTGGACCCCATTTTTGGTGGAAGATGAAATGGTGTTTTCCGATTGGTGTATTGTTCGGGGTAAAATATAGTGTCTCAAATCTAGGTCTACACCTTGTATCGGCGCCGACACATTTGCTTCTGCAATCCACTGATCTGGTTTGGACCGTTCTCGGGGCACGGTGGATCAACGGGGAACAATCGTCGCTCCCAGAAATGGTTTGTTTGGTGGGATGCATAGCAGGTTCAATTTGTTTGAGCTGGCAGCTTTTGTTTGATGGCAGCAACAACGGCGAGGATTCGGCGCTGGCCGCGACCGTTGTTGCGATCGCAATCAATCTGTCTTCACCGATCTTGCTCGGCTTGTGTTTGTCGACCCTTCGATTGGCGTGCACGGAGCTCATGCGTCCCGACAACCGTGTCGGTGGAACCGTCTCTGCCATCGAACTCACGTCGATCAAGCTGGTGATCAGTTCGTTGGTCGGGCTGGCAATGGCATGTTGCCTAGAGCGGGGTGCGACAGGCGATGCGGCTGGCACGGAGCTCGACACCTGGTGGACTGCATTTGCGGGCTTGGCAGCGTCGACACAACTGGGGGTCGTTTGCGGGGCGTTCCTGGTATCCGTCTTTCAGGTTAACTGTACCTTCTTGACGTTTCTGACGTCTACGGTCGCCCTTGGGATAGTGGGTCAGGTAAAGATCATTCCACAATGGATCTTTGCATCAATAGCCGGTGTCGGCGTCGATAGTAGACCCACTGGCTTCTTTAGCGTGCTGGGAGCCATCCTGGTAATGTCCAGTGCCGCAGGTTTTGCGATGTCGAACCTAGTGGCTGGAGCGACGACCAATGGCCATGATCTGGCATCGGAACACGAGGAAAATTGCGACTTGACGACCACACGACAACCCGAAACGAGCACAATATCACCGGGCGAACAAACACCGCTCTTGAACTCGCCCGTTGAGATGTCATTTGATGATAGATGTTGCCCACAAGCAAAAATAAAGCCAACTCTATGAAATGGCTGTGAAACCACAAGTTTTGAACAAAACGATGCAACGCTGCATCAATGCCCAGTTTCATTCGCTAATTGCTACGGAAAGCATGACCTAGTTATGGCGTTGAGTAGTCGCATGAGAACGTAATATACCACTGTAGTCCTTGCTTCTACTAGTAATTATTTCTTGCTGGTAGTTCTCTTTGTAATTTGGGAATAACTGTCCTCGCATTCACAAATTGTTGTGGGCACGCAAAATACTTTCGTTCCGAATGTCTTTCATAACATACACGTCTGGAATCGTAATGTAGCGGAAGTACGTAAGTCTTATCTTACGGTTCAGTAAGAAGAACAGTATGTGTGCTTACAGCACTTCCTCCACGCGTAATGCGGTCGCTTCTTCTTTAGTCGTGACAACTTCCTCTGCTACTTTTCTTTTTCGAATGAATTGTCGATGAATCTCAACTACAGAGAGGTATCAAAAATGAAAACGTATTTTCGTTAGCTACGAGTTTTCCCTTCTGTAAACGTAAGACGAAGCGTAAAGCGTGGGGAGAAAAGTTGTCGTTCGGTACACACCTGTAAGAAAAAAACTCGAACGAGAAAACAGAGAAGTAATTCAGAAAATCAATATCGATCCAAACAATATTACGGAGATAGCAAACCTATCTTTGAAATCATTTGGAAACGAAGCTCAAGCCAACTCTCACCCGTAAGATGGCGCCACGTCCGCTGTTAGATGACGAAGTCGACACCATTGAAAACGACAGTTTGGTATGCGAGAAAAATAGTTGGGAGTCTCAATCTCCGACGCCAAGAACTATATCCCAGCGGAAGAACTATTCCGGGCTAGGACAAGAAAAATTCGGACGGGCTTACCATATTTTGGTAGCCTCGTCCGTGTTTATATTCTGGGCGTTTGTGTCGATCATTCCAGTCTACAATAAATTCTATTTCCAAAAGTCCTTGTACCCGTACCCCGTCGCAACTGCTGGAATTCAATTGGGATTTGTCTCGATCCTGCTCTCCATCCTAAATATCTGCCAACGCCTTGTTTCTCTTAGTCGTGACAAGTGTGATAACAACAGTTGCAACAGCAGCAGCAGCAACAACAACAACAACACTGTCGGTGCGATCGATTACAATGAACCAGCAATACCTCGTTCCTGGATCTTGGGGCCTCATTTTTTGTGGAAATTAAAGTGGTCTTTTCCTATTGGCGCTTTGTTCGGGTTGAAGTATGGTATCACGAACTTAGGTTTACATCTCGTGCCAGCGCCGACACATTTGTTGCTCCAGTCGACCGACCTAGTTTGGACTGTTCTGGCGGCATATGTTATTAATGCAGAAGTTGTTTCGATGGTAGAACTCTTCTGTTTGGGCGGCTGTATTGCTGGATCCATTGTTCTTGGCTGGTCCATCGAAAATATGTCACTGTCGGCACCACTATTTGCCATTCTGATAAATCTTTTATCACCGATTTTGCTTGGGTTGTGTTTGACGACACTCCGATTGGCGTGCACTGAACTAATGCGACCCGGGAATAGGGTAGGGGGAACCGTTTCCTCGGTGGAGCTTACATCAATCAAACTCATAGTCAGCTCATTGGTAGCGTTGATATTGGCTTGTATGATGGAGCGTGGAGATGAAACTCGAGATTCTTGGTGGATCGCATTTATCAATCTAGAAGAATCCACTCGATTAGGCGTCATTGGCGGTTCCATGCTGATAGCTGTCTTTCAAGTAAACTGCACATTTCTAACCTTCCTGACGTCAGCTGTGGCTGTTGGCTTGGTAGGGCAAGTCAAGATCATACCGCAATGGATAGTGGCAACTGTTTTTGCCAAGAAAACAGTAGGATTCAAGGTCCATGAGATGAACATGATAGGGGCTTTTTTGATCATGGTGAGCGCAGGTGCCTTCGCCGTTTACAATTACATAAGAACTCCATTTCCTAAAGTGAAACTTCATTATTACGACGAGGAAAGCGGAAACAGCAAACAAGAGAAGACCGCAAGTGAAGAAAAGCCGCTTTTGTTATTGAGAGATGCCGATGATTGGGGTGCTTCATTCATGAGGAAGAATTATGACTCAGTGCGGGGTGAGACGGTCGAGGAAATAATTGGATGTGGTACAACGCCTGTCGTTGAACAAAATGTCCCTATCTTGACGAGTAAAAGGCAGCAATGATAGCTTTAAGATCTGAGACCCGAACTCATGCTACCAACAACGATTTGCTAGTTGGGATTTGTTGGTAAGCTTCTTTTTCTCCCGACTTTCTTTAACATTTGTACATTCTAGAAGTAGTTGTAAGATAGAAACGCAAATTATAATCTGAAGTACGATCAAACCAATAGATTGGTATGTTTTGATTCTGTACCGATTAATATTATATGAATTACAGTCGATGTTGGCCTTGTGCAATGAGATATGAGATGTTACAGAACTTCAATAACTGAAGACGAAAAACCTTCTTGCGTATTGAATAACTACGAAAAACTCTGAAAACGAAAGTCCTAGGACATGTAAACATTACATGCCAACCTCCATACGATTTAGAAACCCGCATACAAAACTGTCAGACTCGCGGGGTCGATCATAAACTTTTCTTCACCAGTCTCCTTCACTTTCGTGTGACACAAAGTAAAGCCGACTAACCCACCATTGACAAGCTTCTTCGTTTTACATATGTGTTGGAAGTCTCTCGGTAAATACGTCTGAAAGAAGGCACGGAACCAGTAAGAATGGCCTGTGCACATAACATTATTGGCATTGCCGAGGATAGTAGCTGCATTGTTGCTATCATCACCATCGTTACCTTTAACGCTTTCGTAGCCGTCGGTTGCGAACAACAAGTTACAGAATGCTTCCATGCGTTGAAGACCGTTGCTTTTGATGCCTTTATTGCCTTTGTTGATACTGGTGTCCGATTGGTTAGCGTAAATGCTCTTAACAGCTTCTGAGTCTGTGAAAGAGGTCACTAGTTTCTCGAAGGCTGGGGTGATAGACTGGGCATCGGGATTAATGCTCGCCTCTTGGAGCTCTTGCAGTATAATAATATTGTCGCCAGGGATTTTTTGATCGAGTCGATCTTTCATGGCAATTGCGCATGTGCTAATAGCCCGACGCAAATTGCTCGAGACCAAGACGCACATCTCACCGGCTTCGTTCTTCTCTGATTTCTCTCCCTTCACAAGACTAAGAAACTTTGCTTCTCTCGGTGTGGCGTACTGGGCATCTGTCTCACGCAGAAACCTTGCCACGCCCTCCGCTTGCCCAATCCCCTTGGCAGAGAGGGGCGAATCAAAGAACCACGATTCGTCTGACATACCTCGAACCAAAAAGTACCATTCGGTTGCCAGACTGTGGAATATGCCGGGAATGAATCCTAACACAAAGGAAGACATCTTTCTGTCGCCTTTGTTGAACGTATCATTCCAAGTCGATTCTCCGTGTCGGAGAAAAACGACCGTCTTTTTACGCAGAACAATGAGTTCGCCATCGCTGTCTTTGGAGAAAAAGGAAGCAGGGTCGTCATTTGCTTTCTTCCATTTCTTATCCTTGGACAAGACCAAGTAACGAAAAGTGCTCACGATAATTTCTAATTTGGCCTGGGCTGCTTTAGGATTGACCAGCATGCACAGAATGGTAGCCAAAAGCAAGGGCCGAGTGATGTTGACTTTGATTAAAGTTTGAAGAACATTGAATTCAAACAAGTTAGAATGCAATAAGTATCGATGCCAGCATTCACTTGCACATGTTCGAACTTACCTGCTATCCAAAGCCCGTAACATAAGGCCAAATATGGCAGGGCCAGAATCTGACCGAATAGTCCCATTGTACTTTTCTGCCACTTGAGTATGTTGCGTTACTGTGCGTTTTTGTAATGGGGGCTCCTGATATTTGGCTCTCACTCCACTGAAATTTATTAGTAGTATGAAGATGACTACTGGAGCAGCAATTTCGATGTTGATGTTGCTTTGAGAAAGAAATTGGCCGTCCATATGGTCCGGTGTCAGCTCGTTTGAATTTTCAAAAATTACCGTTTGGTCATGGCGGGTTGTCACGATGTTTTCCTCACACGGGATTGAAACCTCGTATCATCAAAAATGACAATCACACTATTTTTTATTTTTCCTTTTTTCTCTTCTGTGATCTTGCCGTACGAATAGTTCGATTACTTCTCTTGAGTACGTACTGTATCATTTTTTTTTTTCAGTTGAACTAGTAGTAGTAGTAGTAGTAGTAGTAGTAGTAGTACTACTACTACTACTACTACTACTACTACTAGTTATTTCAAAACCAAACATTAGCACATTGGTATCACTCAGAGAAAAAGCCAGCACAAAAATTTTCAATTTGAATTCTGAGGTACGACGACGAGGATTCCTACTATTAGGACTAGGAGTACTGACATTGGTACTTGTACGCAACAAGAACAAGAAGTATTCGCCAGCAGTGAATCGTTGGTGGTTGGTAGCCCTCCTAACAATAGCAGCGTCAAATCGGGATGATGTTTGACAATTTTCTCTGTAATAGAGAGAGTGATGTGTTTTGGAGCTTGGTGAGAAAATCTGGTGCCATTTTTTAGCAGCAAATATGCTAAGTTTCGGTCGAACATGGCAACCGGGTTGGGAAGCGATATTGAACAGTATTGCTTGTATCATCGTTCTAGCAGAAGAAAGGACATCGTTACCGTCGGCTCTTTCACTGTTCTCTCGTAGTTTAAAGTTGTAATTTCTTTGCCCATGTCCCATTGGAGTAGGTGATAGGAGTCTAACCACTTCTATCCGAGTTTGGAACGATTTTGTACACAATCTCAGTCTATCAAGACTTCTAAATATCACTCTCCTGCTTGTCGATAACATTTTCCAGCCACAACAAGAATTCTTGGCATCGAGTTGTGTCTACAATATACATATATCCTACCAATGCCTCCAATGCCGTGGAATCCTGATAAGCAGCCGGGTTTCTTCGATTTTTCGATTTCGTTACAGAATTTCTACCCCTCATCAGCACCTGGTTTTCTCTTTCCGTCAGCGGAAAAGACTCTTTGATCTGGCGCAATAGGTACGATTGGTGCTCGGCTGCAATATGAATAGTGAGCAATCAAAAAGGATGCATCGACACAGAAACTTCACGCATAGAATGAATCGCCCAAAAAATATCAAAAGACGTACCTCGGACGAGACTGACAACCGTATTCTGTAGGTCAGAGGTTCTTTTCGTCGGCCATACATGTCTCGATCTAACAAAAAGCTCGAAAACAACATCACCGATGTATGCAAGATTCGTCCCACTCATTTGATCCGGTCGACAGGAATCGATCGGGGACAACAACTCAATCAGCGATTTTTTGGGGCTGTCTTCCGATTCATCGCCATTATCGCTGTTTTCGCCGCTTTTTAGCAAAGTCTCTTTCGATTTATGTGCGCATGGAAAATAAACTGGATCTAGTTGTTGGAAGCTTCCTTTGCTTTTGATGAAAGCCGACGCCAAAGGAAAAGAATCGCATTGCGAAGTCATCATTACGAATATTCCTGCTATGGTCGCAATCATAAAAAGCGGGGAATTGCGTCCTCGTTCTACTATTTCTCCTCTTTTCCTTGTCATGGTAGAAATTTGCCAGCCCTGGGAACGAAGTTCAAATCAGAAGAGCAGAGTGTAGCACGGTAACGGTTAGCACAATTCGTCGAATTACGAACTACAAGCAGGGAGGAAACAGGAAATATCGATGACAATTTGAAAGGTGACTACGATGCGTACGTACTCGGGCTCGTACCAGTTTCACCAGTCGCTTCGAAAACGGATGGTTCTTTGTTGTTTCTTCCCGGTCATGGCGAGTCGTGCTTGGCGAGTCGTGTACGTTACGTACTTCCAAAACAGGGTGAAAAAAATAGAACAAGATTCTCATTAAGAACTATCATCAGTAAAGCACAAGGCTGATGATTATGCATTACTTTGAGCTCATGGATGGGTTGTCTTCAGATGAGGAGGCTTTCAAGTCTTCTCTCAATGTAGTATTGTGCTGAAGATGAATCGCAAGAGCTAACTGGTCGATAAAATGCTGATTGTATTTGAAAATATGAATATTAGCTACTGCAATGAATACGAATAAAAGATAATATTCGGGAGGAGTTGAATAAAACGCAACGTGTCCGACAGGGTGGTTTGAGCAATCCGAAGTAGGCGTTCAATTTCATTAATCTTTCTTCTTTTCGAGGGCCATCATAGCCGAAAGACGTTCGACCAGTGGGGGGTGAGAGTAGTGGTACGCGCTGTACAGTCCATCGGGGCACATGGCTCCCAGGTTTTCGAGATGAATTTTACATAGTCCACTCTGCAAATCTTGGCTCATGCCTAGGTCCACGGAAAATCTGTCCGCGGCGAACTCGCAGTGTCTACTGAAGACAGTTAAAACAAATGACAAAACCTTGTCCACCGGTGCCCAGAGCGTCTGAAAGAACAACAGCAATGCAATGATGGTTGGGACACCCGACGTGGTAGAATCAAATCCAAATGCGGCATACAGATCTTTCGATGTGTAACATTGAGAGAAGAAATAGAAGGCGACACCAAAGTAAACTTGGGTCACGACAAAGTTGGTAAGCGTGTGTCCAAGTTTCCAGTGACCAAGTTCGTGTCCCAAAATCGCGAGGATTTCATTGTTCGATACTTGTTCCAAAAGGGTATCGAAAAGCACTGCGTTGCATTTTTGTGTGACAAAGATGATGCCAGGATGATTAAGTTAGTTGGCCAAGCTAGAATAAGTAGTCGCATTTTCAATTGTCCAGAGTCGCCCCAAGCATTACCAAACGACTCACTCACCAATTCTCTTATTGCTGCCAAAGCCAAACATGAAGGCGTTCGAATGGCTCGATCGCTTCGATCCATCCATGACGAAAAGTTTTTTCAAGGGGTATTGAATCCGTCCGGCCAATTCATGAATTCTCGTCTTCAGGGTTCCTTCTTCCAGGGGCTCGTACTTGTTGAAAAGAGGCATAACAAAGACGGGGATGATTGTCATCATGAAGATAGAAAAGAAAAACATGAAGGCCCACAGGTAAATGTAAAAATTTTCTCCCCCGTACTGTTTGAGCATTGATCATTAGGACACAATTTGGAATATCAACCAGGGGGAAGTTATTAGATCTTGGACATCCAGCAAGGACAAAAGCGGCGGAATAAAAACGTAAACCATAGATTTGAAACATAGCACAACACATCACGCTTTCCACAACACTTCCATCACAGCCGAACGCAACGCCTCATAGCAAAGTAACCCACCTTGATGGTTTTCAACAGCAACGCAACGAAAGGACCCCCAATGATGCACGACAAGATTAAACTCTTGATCTTGTCCGAGAAAAAGAGTCCGTAGGTTTGTTTATTAAAGCCGTGTTTTTTCTCGATCATAAAGGTTTTGTAGAGTTCAAAAGGCAAGCTCTTAACGGTATCGATCAGGGTTTGGAGCAACAAAAACACTAGGGTGATCTTGATTTCTTCGTCGCTCTTGATCCCGAGATAGGTTTCGCCCAAGCGGACGGATTGATCCCAAAGAAAGGGCGTAAAGCCTAACAGCAAAATGGCAATGCTCTCGAACGTCTCGTAGGTACCGGCAACCATCCCGAAATTGATCTTGTCCATGCCGTACGACTGGGAAGATTTGAATTTAGCCTGGAGCTGTTCCAACAACGGCTTGTCCATGTCGATAGCATCCTTATCGTCGCTATTGTCGTCGCTTCCTTTCGAGTTTTTTGCGTCGTCTTCTTTCTGCTCGGAGTGCTTTGCCTGCGAGTCGATTTTCGATACGGTGGCCTCGAGTTCATTCGGGAATTCGGTGATTTGGTATGCTTTCTTTTGCCTTGCATCCAGGTGACCTTCCATTACATAGACCAAGACAGTAAATCCGACGGTGCCAGCGAGCGACCAATAAGCGAACGGAGAGTAGGAACCATCGTCGGTGGAGTCGGAAGCGGCGGAAATGCCTCCCTCCCAATCAAATTCCCCGGCACTCTGGGTATAAATAGGCTTCCACGGTAGATCCATGATGCAATGCTCGTTCTAGTCTTCGGTATTCGAGTTCAATCCAGCCTGGTTGTCACAAGATTGAAAAAGTGTACAGTATGAGAGAAATTGTACGTGTTCTCAATGACCGGTGATATGCGATGAGGGATGTGAGTCCCAGATTTGTTGAATGCAGAACGATTAGATTTTTTTAGATTTATGCAATCAGCGGTGAGGAGAGTACAACAAGTACTACGGGACGATTAGTAGAACGTACCGGATTGCCGTCATCGTTGCTTACTCCTAGCCTATCACGCTAGAAGTACGGTACCAGTGGTAAGGTAAATAAACCCAGGGGTTTGTAAGATGTGTACGTACTGTACTTCAGTTTGTACTTCGTACGTACGGTTCTAGACTCTGTAGACTGTACGTACGTACCGTACCGTATCACCTGGACCGTACAGCGTGATCATGGTTTTTTTCGGATTTGTTGAATCAATCATGTCTGTTCTGGGAGTGAGCGTTACAGTACTACGACTCCTTCGAATGAAAGCAACGGCTCGAAATCAGAAATCACAGAACTAACGCATTGGAGCGCCGCATTGAAGTTCTTGCAGTTTGCTACCGGTATGCCATCTTTTTCGTTCCGAGTAGAATCGATTCCCAAAAAGAACAACAGGAAAAAAAGAAAAACTAGTCCTTCCTACAGCGTACGGTACGTGCCACGCTGCAGGGGTCCCTGCATGCCGCAGTACTGGTACAGTTAGAACAATACAGTACGGTACGTACGTACCTTAATTGTCATCAACATCTGATACACGCACAGAACATGCGTTCTATGCTAAACTGCGGACATTAGTCGTTGAATCCTACGGAGTGGTAGGTACAATACCTTTCGGGCATCATCATCAAATGAGAAGACTCTATTCCTCCCATTGCAAAAAAGATGCCGATCCAGAATTTCTTAAAATACAACATGCGATTGTCGTACGGCAACTTCGAAAACTAACTGACCCTCCAATTTTTCGTTTTCCACGGCAAAGTCACTTATCCGCACTTCTATTTGGATCGAAAGGGCCTCTCAACCGCAAACGACAATAATTTGATCCATACAGACAGACGCAATCGAAAAATACCTGTGCGATTGTTCTGACGTCCTGTCGTGAGTCTTGACACCTGTCTCTTGCAGAACTCTCGCTATTCGATCGTAAGCTGTGACCACCATTTCTTGGTTGGTCTGACACTTTTTTTGGTCGGAACGAATCGTATCCAAGAAACACTACAGCCCTTTCATAATCTGAGAGGGTAAACGAAACGAAAAAGGAACCAAAAAAGGACAAATCAGCCATGGAACACAAACAAGAACTTGGTCATAAAGAACCAACGCCACACGAGATTCAGAAAATGGAAATGGACCAAGCGCACCACGACATCCACTATCGCAACCACTATCACGACAACCCTAACCAACAGCTTGCATCAAGGCTGCCCTCGTCTCCACTGCAGCAAGATGTCGCCGTTTCCACTACAGCACCTAGCGCCGACACGACGAGGACGACCGATGACGAACAAGAAGTCTCGTTCTTTCACGATTTCATAGCGGGCGGCGTTGCGGGATCAGCGTCTGTGATCATAGGCCATCCCATGGACACCCTGAAGGTGAGGATGCAGACGGCGAAGGGAAACCCGAGCATTGCCTCCCTGGCGATCGGAGCCAAGTACGGCGGACCGACCACGCTCTTTCGCGGGGTTTTTGCCCCCCTGTCGGCCGCGAGTGCGGTGAACGCCATCATTTTCTCGTCGTACGGCACGTCGACGCGACTGTGGGAGCAATACGAATCGTCTTCTTCTAACGATGGAACACGGAACGCCCATCCCCACCTCAAGGCATTTGCCTGTGGATCGTTTGCGGGTTTGGTGCAGGGCTTGGTGATTTGTCCGATGGAGCACGTGAAATGCCGAATGCAAGTACAAGAGACCGGGGCCTCTGGATCCAATCCCCTCCGAACCACCCTGCGTTCGATATTAACGAGTGGTGGTGGATCGTACAGCATTTCGGCATTGTATCGCGGTTGGTGGATCACTTGCTGGAGAGAAGTCCCCGCTTTCGGAGGGTATTTTGCCCTTTACGACATCTTCAAGGAACGCATTGAAGACGCGTTTGACCGCCGTGATGCGAAATCATTGGAAACACCCGTGGCCGCTTCTACGACGATGACACAGCTGGATGGAACGATATACAACAATCCTGCGGATGAGGCAACTCCGTCGATGCTAGCAACGACGACTACTACCGAACCAAATACCTCGCAACATTCGTGGATCGCCAGTGCCATTGCGGGTGGTTTGACGGGCGCACTGACGTGGGCGATCGTGTATCCCTTCGACGTGATCAAAACACAGATCCAAACCGCACCGCTCGATACGCCCAGGCACAAACGAACGATATTGGCTGTCACAAATAAGATTGTAAAGGAACACGGGTGGAAACACCTAGTTCGGGGATTGTCGGTCACGTGCTTGCGGGCCTTTCCCGTAAACGGGATCATTTTCCCCGTCTACGAATATACGCTCTTACATGTTTGCAAGTGGGAGACATAAATGCAATAGAGAGGTAGCTCTCGTGCACTGCTTTGATAGTAAGTGACCTGTACGCTATAATACAGCACGTAGAGGATCATGGAAGCACAATGTGCTGGGAGCATTTTGGCCATTCTTTTACTCCTGGTTTAGGATCTCGATTAGAATTCTCAAGAAATCCTCATTGACGACCGTTGTCTTTTTGGATGTCTCCTGTTCCATTTAGGTTTAGAGGAGAATCAGAAATCGGGATTAAAAAATACAAACGACAAAGACAAACACTAGAACAGGCCAGCTGAACATAAATAATTCGGCGGTGCCAAATGGGCAGAGTTTACCGGAAGGCTGTTTTCTACTAATAGTTGCGACGGTGATAACTTGTTTTATAGGCATAAAAAATAGAACAAAATCTCTCTACAGTATGTGTACATCACTAGAAATGACTGGAAGAATTATGATTGGTTCTTGCGATCACTGTTTCGACAGTCGTTAATGGTAGAAATGCAATTGAAAATTCCATCACATCTCTGGAAGCCAAACCATCTACTCCGTTTGAAACACATTTTGTACCATTGGTTTTGTTACCTTGGATGCCGCTATTTCTAGTTCCTCGACCGCATCTGGCCTGAGGGACCAGCCAGTGGCACCAAGATTCTCTCGTGCTTGCTGGAGTGTCCTTCCCCCAGGAATGGGTACAGTTCCCTTCGCCATGCACCAATTGATCGCGACCTGCGACTGGGATTTCCCGTAGTCCTGGGCAACGACCTCTAGGGTATCGAGCAATCCCTGGGCACCGGGAAGCAATTCCCGAAATAGCTGCTGCCGCGCCTTGGACTTTGGCAATCGATTAGTTTCCTTCAGGGTGTACTTTCCAGTCAACAACCCGAGGCACAAGGGCGAATATGAAATAAGCCGGCAGCCCACCTCGTCGCAGGCCTCGTTCATGTCCTTGCCGGTCATCTTGGTCTTGCCGGTGCTCCCATTGGCGTCGTAGGTCATCAGAGAATACTGTACCTGTGCGATCGCGAGGGGAACCTCTCGCTCGCGGAATTTCTCCGCGACGGATATCAATTGTTTCGGACCATAGTTGGATACGCCAACGGCGTCGCACAGCCCCTTGTCGTACACGTCGCAGATGCCATCGCGTAGGGCCCGTTCCTGAAAGGGTTGGTAGTTGGCCGTCGACCAGTGCAGCTGCGCGATCGACAGCTTGGGCTGTTCCAACCGCCGGACAGAACCCTCAGCGGATCGGACGATGTTGTTGCGGGTGACTCGCCAGGGGTAGGGGGCGAGTTTCGTTGCGACTTGCTGGGGCCTATAGTTTTTGTTCTTGGATGCTGGTGGTTTCGAACCAAACTCCCACCAGGACGACGGTGTGTCTTGCCCGCTCTCGTCTCCATCCGACGATATCCCCAATTCGTCCAGGTACCGTCGCTCGAATTCCCCTAGCAGAATTTCTGCTCTTCCGTTCAAATCCAGGGTGCCGTACGAATCCGCGGTATCGAACAGCGTCACACCAGCGTTTCGGACTTCTCGGTAGGCTTCGTATATCTCCTCGTCTTGAGACGGATCGTAGTCGAACAGGAATCGATTCCCCCATGACCACGTTCCACATCCCATGCTCGAAATTTCGAGGGGGCCCGCCGAAACACGGCCGACGAGTGGGCTTTTGGCATTGAGGTTGGCGCCAAAGAGCGTGTCGAACCCCTCGACGACGGACGTCGACCCAAGCAATCCTGCGATCAGGAGAAGAAGGAACGAATCCATTACCACCACTTTCTTTTTTGGTTCTGCAAGGGAAATCGTGGAGTGGAATGTGTTGTGTGAACTGCTCGTCGTCTCCTTACGCCGCTTCGACCAATGGTTGTTCCTCTTGTGAGTTCGTTTCAGGCTATTACGCCACGATGTGGTAAGCACGACTTTCTCGACATAACAAAAGATCCTGTGGAATGAGAATGAGGGTGGCCATGTGCCAATGTGGCACGTACTACTAGTACGAGTACGAACTCTTACGTACGTACTCTGGTACCTCATTCGAATGAGTCAGTAACGTGCTACAACCCAGACGTGCACATAGTCTATATCTATGTATAATACATAGTAAACATAGGAAATCCTAGTTGCTGACTACCTACCTTACAAACTTCCATTACGCGCAGAAAAGAAACCTCTGTGCGTTCAACAATTGAGGAGCAATTTGAAAGTTCGCTGAAATTAATTCATGCGCTGTACTGAAACAACGCGTAGATGCCGTTGTGTGTGCGAGCACCATCGTCGGTAGGCATCATCTCCATCAACAGCATCGCCTCTTGCCACAGCGAAAACAATACGGTAGCGACCACGATGAGCTTTCTTTCTTCGATTTCTCGACCCCTGATCAGCAAGGCATCATGTGTTAGACTTAACAACATTGCCCTGCGATCCATGGCCGGAACCGCAGAGTCCAGAACGTCAGCGGTATGTACAATCGGCCACTCCGTGGTACATTCGGCAGGCAAGACACCGAACCCGGAGTCAACGCTTTTTTACGGTAGTTTTTTTGGGTGTTTTTTGTGTTGTTGTGTTGTTGCAATTTCTATCGACGATTGTAATCCGATGAAAAAAAAATCAACTTCTCCCTATTGGTTTTGCTCATGCTTATTTATTTCTTATTGCCTTTCTACTCAAATATAAATAATTTTGGAATGCTGGCTTGAAAACTACCGTGTCGGATTGCTGTTTTGTCATGAATTTTTGTGTTTCTTCTGGATCGCATCGCTTTACAATGTTGTGTTGCGTTTACGCATAACGCCTCCCATCGGTACTATTTCCGCTCGGCATCTCGCCTTCAATTACTTCTCCTCTTCATTTTTTTATCCCGCCTTTTAGCTCGGTAAATTGGACAGCATGGACCAACTAGAACAGCGATTTTTAGACCAGGTTCCCGTGAAGGACAACGTCGAATACACTATCAGCCGCGTGGACGACCTCGTCAACTGGGCCCGAAAGGGTTCCCTGTGGCCGATGACCTTTGGTCTGGCGTGCTGCGCCGTGGAGATGATGCACGCCGCGGCCTCCCGGTACGATATGGAGCGTTTCGGTATGGTGTTTCGGGCGTCCCCCCGCCAATCGGACGTCATGATCGTAGCGGGCACCCTCACCAACAAGATGGCGCCCGCCCTGCGCAAGGTTTACGACCAGATGCCCGAGCCCCGGTGGGTGGTTTCGATGGGTTCTTGCGCAAACGGTGGCGGATACTACCATTATTCGTATTCGGTGGTCCGGGGGTGCGATCGCATCGTTCCAGTGGACATTTATGTTCCGGGATGCCCACCCACGGCCGAAGCTCTTTTGTTTGGGATGCTTCAGCTCCAAAAGAAAATCAAGGGAAACAAGGCCCTCTTGTTGAAAATGAGAAAGTAGGCAACGAAAGCGCACGAAAGCGTCCTAAATGATGAACGAACGAACGAACGAACGAATCCGTCTATCCATCCATTTACCATTGTGATCGTGAGTCCGAGCCACCGTGACACCGCAGTTCTTTCTACGGAAGCTGGAAACTAGAAAGAGGAGCGATTGTGGTTCACTGGATATAAATAACGAAATCTGATATGTACCATAAGAGAAGTACTTCATTTCAAACCGTTGCCTAAATATAGCTCATGGAGAAACGCAGTATACAAATATAAATTGAATTGCTATTGTCAACGTTCATCAGTTTTTGAAACTGAAGGATAGGCAATAGAATAGTACTAAACAAAAGAACAAATTCAAAGTGGAAGGCTTTGCGGCATGACAACGCTTGCTATTTTCTAGGCAGAAGCCGATTGCCGAAGCTCTTTTCTGTTTCGGTATCGTTCGATGGAATCGATGGAAGTCGTTTTCCTATTGCACACTTGCCGTCCTTCAGGAGAAGAAAGTGGTGTTTTTGTGCTTCCACACCCGTCTCAATCGTGCCAAGGCAACATAGCTGCCGTCTTCTAAATTGGGAACTGAAGAATACGGGTACGAGCCTACAGTAAAGATGTGAATTCATCTAGTGCATTCTAGTTGTGGTTTGGTTGTTTTGGATTTAGCTTTTTTAGGTTTGGATTTACGCGAGTGTTCGGAGAAAGTCACAGCCGGTTGCAGTTGGGCTTTGGAACCCAGGGTATCCCGGGGTGCAGGGAAAGCAGTGCGTTTGTGGATCCACCCCCGTGGCCACCACGACGTGGCAGTGCACAGAGTCTATCTGGTGCATTGCGCGAAGCGGGCGGCCCGGAGCGACTCACCCGGCATCCCTCTTCGGGAAGCCCAGGTCCTCCGGCCGGACGACGGTCTTCAGGGCGACGCGGTCGTGCTTTCGGGTCTTGTACTTGTTGAAGGTGGCCTTGAGGCTCGAGGTTTCCGCCGCCGCCTGGTAGCGGTGGAGCTCCCGAACGGTCTCCTCCAGGTCGTCCATCCCGTACCCGGTGTAGTGCTCCAGGGTGGGCGTCCAGTAGAAGCTGCCGCGGCCCCTGCCGCGCTCGCGGCCCCGTTCGGGGCAGGGGCCGGAGGCGGTCCGGCCGTCCGCCCTGGCCTCCAGGGCCAGGGGGACGCCCAGGGTGACCCTCGCGAGGTAGACCGCTGCTGCCGCCAGCAGGCTGGGGTTGCGGCACGCTGGCTTGTAGGGCAGCCGGCCCAGCTCGCAGAGGTAGTGGACCGTGTTGGCAAAGGTGGACCGGTAGGCAAGGGCGACGCCCGCGTACGACGCCGGGAGAAGGGAGCCTTCGCCCTGGGAGGCGCAGCAGGCGAGGCTGGCCCGGGAAAACTCCAGGAGGAACTGGTGCGGCGTCGGGGAGGAGGTGAAGCGAAAGTCCAGGGCGTTGCAGACCCGTCGCTCCATCCGGTGAATCTGCTCGGTGCTGTAGATGTGGTCGGCGACGTAGGCAATATCGGAGGCCTTGGGTGCCGAGGTCTCCCCGATCTTGCAGGCGACCCAAACGCAGGTTGCCCCCAGGAGCTGGAAGCGGTCCCGGGGAATGGCGTAGCAGCGGGTGTCCCTGGTCTTGTCGTCGTCGTCGTCTTCTTCTTCCTCCTCCTCCTCCTCCTCGGAGCTCTCGGTCTCGCAGTAGTAGTCAAAGTCGTCCTCGTACTCCATGTCGTTCCACTTGTGGGAGCGCACCCATACCTTCCTCTTTTTCTTTTTCTTAACGGGCTTGGGCTTCTTGCGCTCGACGGGCTCCCACGGCTCGTGGCCGCTGGCCAGGACGCGGTCCATCATGGTCACGGCCAGGTGCAGCGTGGAAGACTCGAAGGAGAAGTGCTCCGAGAGCTCGATCATCCAGTCGACGAGTATGGCCCTCATCTTGGGGGTCAGCAGCGGCTGGGCGGACATGGGCAGGTTGTTTTCGGCGGACTTTTGCGGCTCGGCCGGGACGTCCTGGTCGATGTTCCTGCACTGCACGGTCAGCCCGTATTCTTCCTCCGAGTCGTCTCCCCGCGGGGTCACCCGGGTGGACCCCTTGGTCCAGGTGGACAGCGCCGAGGACGACGACGACGACGCCGAAGCCGAGGAAGAAGACGACGACGAGGAGGAGGACGGGCGGGGCGACGCCAGCGAGGCCCTCGACGACCCGCGGCTCCGGGAGGGGGCAGCGGCCCCCGCGGAGGCCGACGCCGACGCTTTCGGGTCCTCGAGGACGGGGTGCTCGTTCCCGTGGAGGAGGCCCCAGTGCTCCTCCCCGTAGGTGCGGACGTACTCGGCCGTCAGCGACCGGGGACTCAGTGGGTCCCAGAAGGGCCCCCCCTCGGAATGGGTGCGGTCCCGCAACGGCCTAGAGTCGGTCTGCCGGCCGGGAAAGACCCGCCGCTTGCCGGTGCGACCGCGGCACCGGGAGGAAGACGCCCCCTCGTCGTCGGCGTCGCTTCCGGGGTCGTTATAGAGGTCGACGACGCCGTCCGGGAGCCGCCCGCCGCCAAAGCCGAAGCGGGTCCGGCCCGAGGAGGACGCGGGGGAGGGCGTGACGCTGACGCCGGCCGGGGGGTTTTCTTGGGCCTCCCTCCGGGACATGGACCGGGTCCTCCGCCGGGTGGTGACGGAAGGGCCCGCATCGCCGTCGGTGGACACCCCGAGGCGCGCGGCTTTTCTCCGCTTGGTTCCGGGACGCCCCTGCGGCTGCGGGGGTTGTGGGCCGCTGTCCCGTGCGCCGCTCGTGCTCCGGGTCCGGCGGCGCCCGGCGGTCCGCGGAGGCGAAGGCGACGAGGAATGGCTCGTGGCCGGTGGAAGGTTGCCTTCGGAAGCAACGGCGCCGAGCTTTCGGAGCCGGGAGGACCTTCGTCGGTGGGGGACGGGATCCATGGCAGGATATGGGATGGGATGGGATGGGATGGGATGGGATGCGATGGAATGCGATTTTGCGCTTGCTGGTTCGGCGGTTCGATCCGGCCGTTTGCCCAATGGTTGGGATGGGAAGATGTTTGGATGTTTGGATGGATGGATGGATGGATGCCTTCGCTGTGTGGTACCCCGTGTGTGCTAGCAGAGTTGCCGGCCTCGTGGTGGATCGCGGTGTTTGTGCATCGAATTGTGAGAGGTAGGGCGTCGGTATGGCTGTGGTGGAAGTCACGGAGGCAAAACGCAGGAACCGGACCGGACCGGACACGGTGATGGATGTACCGGTACGTCGGTAGGTTCTTGATCGTACTGGATAGTAGTACTTTGTACCGTGTTTCGTGCAGATCGAAAAAGGAAGAGGTGATTTTCACTCGCCGGCGCTACACCGGTCGAAACACGAGGGGTATGCTACGAGAACGGGTAGAAAGCTACGCAGAAAAAGGAATGCGAAAATATGGCGCAAAGTGAATTCCAGGGTGAACCCATTGTTCTTTGGAGTACGCGCCAAATAAATTTTCGTCGCGGGTGTACGGGTACAGAACGAGTTTTTTGTCGCTGGATGGGACGGGTGTTGGTCTCAGCTGCCGAATTCGGGTCATTTCGTTAGGGGAGAAATGCCCTCTAAAACACCATGCTATCCACCCCCAGAGGCTTCGATGATGTCGTCGCGTGTGACATGTGACTCACAAAAATTCTCAAAATCTCACCGTGATAATGTACGGAAGATAACTACGTACGTGCTGTACGTACGTAACTCGCATGAAGGGTACGTACAATACGTACGGTAGAGTATCACAGAAAAAACGGTATGCGCGTACGTACTCGTTCCTAACCGTTACCCCCGATGATACACTTTGTAACGACCAAGATCCAAAAGAACCGCAACGACGAGAAAAACTTCGTTTTTGTCCGAACGAATGAATCATGCAAACGAGCACAAACTTATTACCAAAACCTCTTTCAAAGCGAACACGGCTCGACGCAAAGGCACATTCAGTGCAAACCAAAGCACCCTTTGGCATTAACAGCAGCAGCAGCAACAACAACAACAACAACAACAACAGAAAAATGGCGGTTCGGAGACGAGGGGCTGCGTTCGCCGTGCTCCTGGCGACGAATCTCGGCGCCGCGAGGGTATCGGCCTTCCACAACCGGCACCACCACCGGCCGCACACCCCGCCGGACGCCGGGAATCCCACGGCGGCACGGAGGCGGAGCGGCTTTGGTGCTTCCGCAACCACCTTACCGAGCCGCCTCTCGTACGCGATCGACGTCCAAGAGCACTGTCCCCGGGACGTGCCCACCATGGAGGCCTGGGTCTACGAGTGTGGGGTCCAGGGGTCCGGGGGCCTCCGCCTGGTCGGCGAGGCGGACGAAACGAACCACGAGGACTATTCCCTCTCGACCGAGGAGGACATACCCGCCAACAGCCCCGTCCTGTACGTCCCGAGCGAAATGGTCCTCTCGGCCCAGAGGGCGATGGAAGAATTCGGGCAGCTCGAGGAATCCGAAAAGCTCATCACCAGCCTCAACGCCGAGTCGGAGCTCCGGCACTACTATCTCATGGTCAAGATCCTGGTCGAGTGGGAGCGCGGAATGGACAGTCCGTGGTACCCGTGGCTGAACTCCCTCCCCCGGTACTTCTCCAACGCGGCGTCGATGACCCCCTTCTGCTACAAGTGCCTGCCCTCGCTCATGTCCATACTGGCGATGAAGGAACGCGCCAACATGAACCACCTGATGATCAAAAAGGTTCCCTTTCTGAGCGTCGAGACCAGGGGCAACGCGGACTTGTGGGCCTGGGCCTACAACGTGGTGTACACCCGGAGCTTCGAGGCCAACAACGGGTCCGGGGACCTGTGCATAGCCCCCATGGCCGACTACTTCAACCACGGGACGGAGACCGAGGTGGAGATGGGCTACGACGCCGAGGGCAACTGCCACGTACAGACCACGCGGGACGTCCCCGCGGGGTCCCCCCTCCGGATGAGCTACGGGGACCCCACCAACCCCTCCTTCCTGCTGGCGAGGTACGGATTCCTGGACGAGTCGTCGCCGGCGACCTTTTGCAAGTACATCCCGCCGCACGTCAACGACGAGCTCCGGGAGATGGGCTACGCCCACAACCGGATGCTCTTTTTCAAGGACACGGGCGACGCCAGCGAGGAGGTCTGGGACGTCCTCCTCCACCAGATCCTGAGCTCCTCCAACATTGCCAAGAAACGCGCCCTCTACAAGGCCCACCTCGACGGAGACTACGACACCAAGCGGATGCTCCACGAGCAGTACTACTCCCAGACCTCCCTCAAGCTCATGGAGCACATCGACACCTTTCTCAACCAGCTCGACGACCTGTCCGCCAAGTCGGTCGGGAAGGACGTGAACGAGCACCCCCGGCTCCCCCTGATCCTCAAGCACAACGAGTTTGTTCGCAACACCTTTCTGGCGGTGCGGTCGCGCTACTTCGAGTAGCCTCTCGGCCGGCTGGCTGTGGGAGCCCATCGGCCGGTGTGCTTCGCCGAGCGAAACCGGGGTGCGTTCTGCCCAGGCAATCGGCCGTTTTGCGATGAGCCAGCTTTCTGCGCCGCGTCGCGTTGCACGAACAGTAGAATACACCGTGCGATAGAGATGTTTTAACGATACATTGTTTACTAGTACTGTACACTACTATGACTGCTTGCAAACCGTGGAATCAACCCGAGAATGGACGCGAAATCCTTGGAAGGCTTTCGTTGGGCCCTAGTGCTCGATAACACGTACACATCTGCCCTCTCTGTCTTCGCAACGATCTGTTGCGTCTGCGCACGAGTGCAGACGGCAATGCTCTGCCTCCTTCCGGCCGGGTCGTCGGAAGCACATCGATCGTCTTCGCAACGATCCGTTCCGCCTGCGCACGAGTGCAGACAGCAATGTGCGATCCACGCCCGACCGTGTTGCACTCCAAGGCCATCGCCACCGACACAAGGGTCCCCTGTCGGTTTTTGGCCGGCAATGGTTTTGCTTGGATTCGCCGTTCCTTTTTCCACCGCAATTCGGCTTCCTTGTCTTCGCAGCACGAGCAAGGGGACGCAAAGCAGAGCGACCGCAAGAAGGTTCGGCTTCGACACCGGTCCGTACCGAGCGATGCCTCCGCAAAACACCCCTCGCCTCCCCGGTCGGGCAAAGCGGGCCGGCCAACGCCGCCAAGGCTTCCGCCGGGCTCAGCTCCTGGCGCAGCTTCCGTCCTCTCGCAGGGTCGAGGCGTCGTCCACGCCCACCATCCCGCCCTGGCGGTAGGGCATGGAGACCGCCGTCCGGTACTCCTGCAGGCGCAGAGCGGCCTCGCGGGCTTCCCTGGCCAGCCGGATCGCCTCCGAGGCCAGCAGCCGCAGCTCCCGCAGCCTCGAGGCAGCCTCCTCGTCTCCCGGGCCGCTCCTGGGATCGATCGCCTCCTCTTCTTCCCGCCTGTCTTGGTAGCGGGTGGGGTTTGAGCCTCTTAGCCGTCTAGAAACCATTGTTGCCGTGCCGTAGATGGGCTCCGTGCTGAACAGTCTTTTTGCCGTTTTCGGATGTTGTGTCAACAAGGGTGTGCAGCGCCAAACTGCGAGAGCCGAAAATGACGGTGATGCCTGTTGTTCTCAAGAATAGAACAGAGCTGCACGCAAGTCAGACACCGTCGCGGGCGAAAACTTTGTTCCATGAGTCGGGCCCCTTCTATCAAGAAGAGAACAGTTGCACGCAAGTCAGACAGCTCGAGGGCGGTAAAACCAGTTACAATCGCAAAGAATGAGACTGGAAGGGCGCGAAACCCCTTCGCGAACTCGGGTTTTCTCTGGATCGACCAACAAGTCCCGTCAAATGCTGCACGCCCCGCTCCCCGTTGCGGGTTCAACAGACATGTGAATGGATTGTTCTATGACCTTTTGATTCGTTCACAATCACACCTCGTCTCGCATTCATAGTAAACACTTACCGACGCAGCGGTACGTAAGTACCCTACTATCGAGTATGCCGTCTGTTTGTTCTCTGAGGAAGGGGGCATAATTGATTGGTGCGCGCAGAGACGCTCTGTCTTTGATGCATCACGCTTGATAGTCATTGGATGAAAATTCAACTGAAAAAATCACTTATGCGTTAACCGTTAGACGTGTACTAGAACCTACACAGCAAAAAGTCATTCTACTCCAACACACAACTTTCTATTTATCGCTAAAACACCATCTTCACCATGGTGAGACTGATAACTTCACAACCAGAMCACCTATGAACACAAGAAAGGTACCATTACAAAACTCTTTGTCTGCTTAATAAGCTCGCCGAATGTCGTTTGTATTGCTTTTAATCTCACTTAGCTCCTACTGTATATCTACACATGGCGAAATGACCCAAATTCGTTAATTTTCGGCACTGCCCATGGAGACAGCTGTATCTTTAGAACCAATCATCGGATCTTTATGGGAATTAAACGAGTGGAAAGAGAACTATTAAAATAGTACATCTGTGTGTTGGCTCTGTCTAAGGAGTTGTATTTGGTGCCAAATAAATTTTAGAAACAGGTCCCATGTAATGAGGAATTTTGGAAGAATAACAACACACTTTTGCGGCTTTCACAACGACTATAAGAAGTGATCCCTGGCCAATTCTGAGTAGCCGAATCAAAAGAAAACTATCTAATTGAGGGGTATAGAACAAAGAATCACCATCAGGCAACTTTTGGTTGAAAAGTTATGTCCAAAAGACGGGAAGGGTTAGGGACAACAAATGGTGTATTTTAAGGAACTACTATCGACGTCCGAATCCATAGGAAGGAGGCACCACTGGCCAATTCTGAGTAGCCGAATCAAAAGAACACTATCCAATTGAGGGGAACACAGCTAAGAAGCACCATCAGGAAACTTTTGGTTGAGAAGTTATGCGCAAGGCAAGTTTGGAGTCCTGCAGTGGATGGAATGGAACCAAATGACAAGTGACGTCAAAATCCAAAGGAAGGAGGCACCACTGGCCAATTCTKAGTAGCTGAATGGAAAGAACACTATCCAATTGAGGGGAACACAGCTAAGAAGCACMATCAGGCGACTTTTGGTTGAGAAGTTATGCAATGAAGACTGCTGGCTGTACTATATGGTGGTTTATTGTTTATATTTCCAAATCAAAGAGGAAACATAGATGATGAACTATATACTACACCAGCAAGAGCTGGTTGTGAAACTTTTTGGTTATATGGTTTATTGTTCACACTCTTGGAGGAATTCTTCTTTCTCTTCCTTTGTCATCTTCCTAACAACATCCCTGAGAGTTTTTTTCTGTAACTTCCTATATTGACCCAAGGCGGTGTCCTCAATAATGATTGGAGTAGTAGTCTTCAACCAAGTAAGTCTACTCTCCTTTTCATCAGTCCATTTTGTGTATGGTGATGGTTTGGTTTGGGCATCATTCACCTCCTTGTATTTCTGTCTCACCTCTAATATATTTTTGCCCTGTTCATTCCTGCTTATGCCGTGCCACAGCAGAAGAGTTCTCAGTTGAGGCATCCTGAGACGATCCACTGGAATAGGTGGCACTGACCCAAGAATGGCAATGGCACTTTTCTCTCTTTTCTCTGCCTCTAAACATTTGGCCTTTTGTTTTTCCAATGCTTCAATTTCCTTACGACGGTTGACCAGTTCAKCTGCCTTARAGAAATCATCACTAGTAGCATGTGAACCACYTGTTACAAGAAATCTCYCTCCATGGGTGTTGGCATTTGCMAGAGCTTCAATCCTCTCTTTGGAATTCCTCTCAGTTACTCCAATGGCATCATGATTCTTGAATATGAACTTGGCTCTGAGATGACGGCCATCATATCCCCCTTTTGAATCAAGAAGTCCACATGCAAGTTTATTCCTCTCTTCCATGTCCTGATACTTTGTTGCATTTGGATCGTCAACACTGTCGTGACGAACAAGTTTTGAATTCAAACAAGCCATACTGCAAGGCACAGCTCCGACCTTTTGCCATGCCTCCAAATTTTTCTCTCTGGAGAAAGCAGCTGCAAAACTGTCAACATATCCACTGCACCCACTGACCCTATCAGTGCCACCAAACACTAAAAGCCCTACAATGGAAGGTGTGAAGGACACTKTTTGCTTTTTCTTCAAACRATCATCRGTSAGCTTTTTGAGATTACTTCTGAACTTGCTTTTGAAAATGCCATATGAAACATCTGTCTCTTGTGAAACAGCAGTGGTGTTGGGAACACATGGATACAAGATGAAGCCATGGGCCCRCAGCTTGACTAGCATGTCAACATTTAACCTCCCAGGACCTGAGTCAATTTTGATCATTACTCTCTTTCCATTCAAATCTTCAGCATCTGGATATAAAAGTATGATACTATTGAAGAGATACTTTGAAAAATCAGCATCATCCATTCCGCCTTTGTCATTCATACCCACTGTCACAGGAAATGTTGAACAGTTGTCTTCACCTGACCAATCATGGAATCCATATGAAGCTCTAACCTTTTTACAATATGCTATTGTTTCCATCTTCAGTTTCATTCGTTCTTCAGTTTTGGCTCTGGTTCCAAATTGAAAGTGAGGTGGGAGGGGTTCACCATATGCATTGCTACCAGCAATGAAAGTTATGGTAACAGAGGACTTGGTGACATGACAACCAATTGAAGGAATATTTGGATCTATTAAACTGACTGACGGTCGTCCTCCCCTCCGCCCATTGGATCCGCCCATTGGATCCATCCAAGGACAAACAGGATTCATCAAGGTTTATAATTCTTCGTGTCTGTTCTTCTGCAATCTGAATTCCATATTCTCCACCTTTTGATGCAAATCCAAGTTCAACCAGGTCAGTTTTCCAATTTTGGAACCACAGTTTCAAGTTTGCTCTGGTTGTCCAACAGGCTCTTCTCTCTTCAACTCAGTTCAACACATGTGCCTTCAGATTTATGGTGGTCCTATTTACTACAGCAGAGTAATAAAAACTGGACTGCACTGATGGTGGCAGCCCAATTGTGGCATTGAGTCGACAAATAAGATGTGCATGATCAGTCCCTGGGGCATCTCCATTTGCTTGGCAGAGCTGAACAAATGTCTCAAATGCAGTGACAACCAAATCCATTGTTTCAGGAGAGATATTTCCTGGCCGAGGTCCCTTTCTGGCAGGTGCAATGCCAGCATTGCCCTCCCTAACATACCTCAACACTGTTCGGTGGTTAAGGACAGTACCATATTCAGAATGTACAGCTTTGACAATGGAAGCTGCACTTCTTCCCTTTCCTTCGGGATCATTTTTTGCTTCCTGATAGAGGGTGGTTGCTTTAATGTGGGCACGGGCTATATTTTCAAGCCTAATTTTCTTGTTGACGCGTTCAACTTGAGCAGCTCTGACACTGTCTCTGGTGTCCTCAAGGCCTTTCAACTTGGACTTCTTCTTGCTGATTGGATCATTACCATTTGAACCACCATCACTGTGGGGAGAAGAATCAGTGTGTTCAGGAGTAGTACTAGTAGTACCACTACCACCACCAGAAGCAATACCACCAGTCATGGGAGTTGCACCCGGTGTAACTTTCAGAACTGCACATGTTTCACAGGGTGTACTAGTAACTTCACTGGTGGCAAGAAGATTGTGCTTTCCAACAGAGGGAGTGCAAGGAGGAACTTCTTTAGCCTCAGCTTCAGCCTTTTCCTCTCTCATTTTGGTTACAAGTCGTCGGACCCTCATTTGCATTGAGGCTTTATGAGCTTCAAACTTTTCAAATTCAACAGCCTTCATAGCTTGTGCAACAGTAAGGACACGTGGATTAACAATGAGATCCGCAGCTAATTCCACCTTGCATTTGAGTTCCTCGTCAGGTGAGAGACGTGGAATCACGGTAGAGGTACTACTACTACTACTAGTATTAGTACTACTACTACTACTACTAGTACGTGAAGCAATCTTCTTTTTTGTACTCAAACGGGTACTAGTACGGTTAGTACTAGCAATTTTGCTATGAGCAGGAGCTATGACAAGATTTTGCTTTAAACTAAACAATAAAGGAATGTTGAATAGGAATCAAAGAATTCATAGACATAAGATCCATTTAAAACACTTTAGCAACACAGGAATAACTACAATCCTCTTTTTTGCGTACGTTGTACGTATATTTAGTACCACAGTAGTAATCCTACATATATACGTACGTATGTAGATTTAGTACCACTGTAGTAATCCTACATACGTACGATATGTACGTTGATTTAGTACTGTGGTACTAATCCTACTTACTGAGGGGAGGGGAAATCCGAGTTTTTCGATGTAAAATCTTTGCTTTGAAGATGATCAAAACAGTGTTTTGTGAGGCCATTAAAAGTGCTGAAGAACCGGCTCAAATGAGATCCCCTTTGGGGATATGCTCGGTCATAGTGTTAAGAAGAGTGCTGTGTGTCATTGTTACACAATTAGGGGCCTGGGGGGAGGCGATTCACCATTAACAGCCGGTATGGCCAAAATTGGCCGGTTTACAAGACCCCCTGCTGCTTAGAAAATAGGCCAGAACTCTATCAAAAAACAACTTAAGACCACCAGACTAAGCGCCCAGACCAAGATGATACAATTACTTAGTGATCCAGGTCATTGGGATGCTTAAGGATGCTCTGGCGGCTTCTTAGAACTAGTCTGCCGAAGAAGTTACAGTACTAGTAGTGGGCCAAAATTCCTGCGTTAATTCTAGGTGTAATTTTACTCCGATTAAACTTGTACTAGCACTACCTATACTAGTATTAGTAGGCAGTAATAAAAGTGCTACTTGTAGTAGCAGTACTACTACTACTACTAGCTAGCGCTGATGAGTATCTAGTAGTACTAGTAGTAGTACTAGACGACGAGTAGTACTCGACTCCTCCATAGTAATAATCCTGGTGATTGCTCTTGTGGCTGATTGTTTTTGCTTGTTGTTGGTGACTTGTTCTTGTTGGGATCAAGAAGAAGAAGGTTCAGCATCACTACTACTACTATTAGTACTACTACTATTGCTACTAGTAGTACTTGTAGTAGTACTACTAGTAGTAGCAGCAACGTTAGTGAAAGAAGAAGCTGTGGAGAATTCCATTCCAAAAGTCATCGTCAATCAAAAGAGAAGAGAACTACTAAGTAGTCTGTACTATACTGCTACTAATAGTAGTCGCTGCTTGTGTCGTGTTCGCTACTACTACCACCAGCATTATTGTCGTTCTTGTTGACAGCCGGTGAATGCGATACGAGGATGCAACTGATGCTGCTGCTGGAACGAACTGGTGTCGACTCGGCCTTTTGCTGGTGTAAAGCCGAATTGGAAATTCGCTTGTGTTATTTCTTTCGAACGTAAAAGCGTTGCTTTCTCGGATGGGGTCACCGTCTCGGTATCGATTTCGAACGGACGACGCAAGTGTGTTGTTTCTGGAATATGTTATCTATTTTAACTCGGTGTTGGATGCACGCTTCTGAAGAAACTACAAGGATCTGTGACAAGAATAGAATAGATCTCTGGCCATGCATGGGAACCGAAGGCTCTACTTATTTCCCGTTGCGATGTGTGTGGTCAATGAGAATTAGGTTCTATCCTTTGGTCAGAATCCAAGAGAACATGATCTATATGACAAGGAGCCAAAATCAAAGCATGAGCCTTTTTCTATCAGACCGTCAAGAATCGCCGTACTGAGTGGCTGCAAAAGAGTATTCGCAGTACAATAGCAGAATCACCAGCTCTAGGTACCTTGGGGAGCGTTGGTGTTCTTTTTCATACGTGTGTCTACTTCTTGCCTTTCTTTTTCCCGGCAGAAAGGCCAGCCAGCAGCAAATTGTCTGCCATGGCCGCGTTCTTTTTCTTTCTCTCGGCCTTGGTCATGCCGTCGCCACCTCCTTTTCCCCCCTTTCCTCCGCTCTTGGCGGCGTCCAGTTTTGCATTGATGGCTTTCGCTTCGGCCGTCGCGCCGGGAAAACACTCTTCGAGGGTCTTTCCGTGTTTGCTCTCGGCGTGCAGCTTCATCTCGGTGTTGGTCTTGGTGCACTTCAGCTCCGCCTTGCAAACCAGGCAGCAGATCATCTTCGCTTCCGCCTTGACTCTTGCCGGCAGGCGTCCCATCTCGTCTCCGATCCCGGCGGCACGATTGGCTTTCAATCGTGCCGCGTTCAGTCCCTTGTTCGATTGGGGCATCCTGTTGGTTTCGTTCTGGATGCAGGTGAAGGGGTTTAGAATGATGTGGTTAAGATTGCGTTGAAACTAGGTAACGCAATGCAAAAGGATCCATTCCGTGCAGTAGTTTTATGCCATCGTGCGGTTGGCTGATTTCAACGACGAGTTCTCGATTTTGCGTTTGTCCGCGCTACCGGTAGAAATCGTTCCGAGTTTGATGTTTCGACCAAAAACTGATTGATTGGCTTCCGGTATTTTTGATGTGACAGGCGATACCGGCAGTAAAAAAGCAAAGGATGTTTCCACAAAGCTGGGGGGGGGGAACATAAATGAACCACACACCCAAAACACTCGACCCCAAAATAAATATGTCAGTCGTCAGCAATCTTCAAGCATCCGATCTTTCTTTCCTTCCCTGTCGGATCGATCGTTAAGTGGATGATTGGTGGGTTTGGATTGACACCAAACGATCAGCGATCAGAACTATCTTTTTCAAATCTTGCCACGACACCTTGCGATGGCAATAATCGTCGCTCTTGAAAGAAATATCGAAAGGCAAKGGACAAACATAAACTGAAGACGATTGCGGCACCATGATTGCCACAAAACAGAAAAGGGGCCTCGCCTCCCCGTTGAAAAAGGCAACAGCATGCATCCTATTCCTAGCTATTGCTGCTCAACCTTCGTTCGCAACTCGGTTCGGAGTGTTGGAGAGTCTTCCGAGGACGCGCAAACAAGCCTTTCTCTCGAAAAAGATAGCCGATGCCCCTTCTTGGAAGACCATTCCCCGCGGAGGTGATATCCAGGAAGATGTTTCGTCGCCCACAGCTACGGATGACGACTGCGCGTTTGCCGTGGTGGCATCCGCCATCAAGGGTCTGGCATCGTTTATGAAGGGACCCAAGGCCGACACCATGCTGTTATTGTCCACCACGGCGCTGAATACGCCCCTATCAAAGATGATTGGCCTTTCTCCGATTCTTGGATACCTAGCATTGGGAGTCTTGTTCGGTCCGAACGGATTGAGTCTCGTCAAGGATATTCACACCACGGAATTGTTGGCCGATATCGGAATCGTCTTTTTCCTCTTCGAAATGGGAATCCATCTCGACTTCAAGACGCTCATGAGCATGAAGCGTGATGTATTTGGGCTCGGTGGATGCCAGTTCCTCGTAACGGGAGCTGTCGTTGCGGCCATCTGTAAGTTTTGTTTCGGGCTTTCCTCCGCGGCACAGATTGTCTTGGGTGGAGGCTTGGCTCTGTCGAGTTCTGCCTTTGTCCTGCAACTCCTAAAGGACAAGGACCAGATGGGTACCAAGTTCGGAAGGTCGTCCTTTGGTGTGTTGCTCCTGCAAGACCTCGCCGTCGTCCCACTTTTGGTTGTCACCCCGATTCTGGCCGGAGGCGGTGGTGGTTTGGCCGAAGCGTTTGGTGCTGCCGGAGTCAAGGCTGCCATCGCACTGGGCACTATTGCCGTCGTTGGCAAGTTTTTCTTGAAGCCTTTCTTCGACAGCGTAGCCAAAACCAAGAACCAAGAAGCCTTTGTGGGTGCCATTCTAACGACTGTCTTGGGGATGTCCTTTCTGACGGAGGGATTGGGTCTCTCCAATACTCTTGGAGCATTCCTTGCTGGTATGCTGTTGTCCGAAACAGATTACCGCCATCAGATCGAACAAGAGATTGCTCCCTTCCGCGGAATCCTTGTTGGTCTGTTCTTCTTCACGGTCGGCTTCGAAATTGATTTAGAATTGATTGGCTCTAATCCGGGCAGAATAGTCTCCATCGTGCTTGGAATTGCTTCGATCAAGTGCGTGATAGCATCTGTGCTGGCTTCGATGTTCGGATTGGACAAGGGAACCGCCCTTCGACTTGGCTTAATCTTGAGCCAGGGCGGAGAGTTTGCTTTTGTTGCCTTCCGTCTCGCGCGAAGCTGTGGTATTCTTAGTCCCGAATTGACCAAACTCATGCTAACCTGTGTGAGTCTAACGATGGGTCTCACCCCCTTTCTGGATGACGTTGGGGCAAAGATGGCCATCGCTCTAGATGATGCCCCGTCGACTGGCAAAGGAAAAGGAAAGAAAAATCGTTAATAAATAGATTCTTGAGGGCGAGAAAATGAAGTCCAAACGGTGTTTTTCGGTACGCGAGATGTTCGCACACGTAGCAGTAAACCAATATATGTCTATGGTATTCAATTTCTTTGATTTGAATTTAGTATGATAGACTATACTACGGGTACACACATTTTAGAATAGTATTCTCGATTGAAAAAGTTGACAGTGTGAGACCGTTCGATTGGTGTGAAATTTCAATTATCAGTTCCGATATTGTGTAGTGGTGAGTACATAAAAAAGCATTTGTTTATATAATTTAAATGCATTCTGACAAGACAATGATTGGAGTACAAATTGTTGAGTCAAAGTAAGATACCGTTAGGAACAGATAACGACAGTCTTGTATTTCTTCTAGTTGCTGCTGTCCTCGGCATTCAGAGATTGAAAGTTTTTCAGTGTATTCCTCGTGGCGGCGCTAGTTCCGCCCGAAAGCATCGATTGCGTCACGGGCGTCACCGATGCCGAAACTCCGTCGAGCGTGCCCGATTTCATAAACACTGTTTCTGGCGCGGCCTCGGTCGGCTCTTCGGTTCCTGCTGGTTGTATGAACTCGGTCTCCTCTTCGGCTCCCGCTGCGTCCTCGTTGAGCTGGGGATGGTCCGTCAGCTCGGAGGGGTTGGCTGCGCCACTGGCAGGCATGGTGTCGCTGCACGTGTTTTCGCAGAAATGATGGCCGTGTTCGTCGGGGATCGAAAACGTGCATCCGGTGGGTGCACGACCGGAAAGAATTGGTTCCGAGGAGGCTCCCAGTCGAATGTCCCACGAGACCTCTCCCAAGAAATCACCACCCGACGTAACGACTCGATAGCACCGATTGGGTAGGAGGCAGATGTTGGCAAAATCGTGGTATCCTTGTGAAAGAGTGCCTTCGAAAATCTTTCCCAGGGGATCAGTTTGTTTGTTGCTATCGAATGTATCAAAGTCCACCGTCTGTGTGATTGAAACCACCGTTTCGCCTTCAGCGTTCGTGTTCGTGTTCGTCATGGAAGCGGTAGGGAGGTCGGCAGCCATCGGATCGAGATCGGAAATTCCCTCGATCGTAATTGTTGTTCCGTCCCAGCCGTCGCCCCACTGATCGTTCATATGCAACTCGTAGGGCCTGAGTCCCTCTTGACAGCCTCCGTTGTTTTGGGGACTGAACGCGGTTGGTACAAGGGTTGGCCCGTTTGTTGGTAGCGTCTTGGTGGGGGACGACGTCGGGACCCCGGCTGTCCAAACCGTGGTTGTGGTCACCTTTGGAGCTTCCGTCGGAATTTCCGTGGGGCTCTTTTCCTCCGGGTTGAACAGGGGAGCGATCTCAATCGCCAGCTCGTACCGGCTCGAATCAATGTTCGATTTGTCCACAATGTCGTGGTTCACGATGGACTGCCACTGCCTCCCTTGGACGCTGCTGCTCAGGAAAAAAAAGAGGAGCAGGGCACAGCGGACATCCGAGGTCCTAAAAGTCTGGTTTTTCGTCATGGTCAAGCTAAGATTGTTGCGTATGTTTGCGATTGTTTGCAACCCAATAGGCTTGCTCTGGTCACGCCGAAGTCTTGCTGCGATGATTTGTTCGGTGGTGCGTTTCAATTCAACGCTCCGTTCAAATCGGTACCCGGTACTACCGGTAGTGTTCTCATCAATATTTCCTTCCGCATCAAATCGGCATTATTTCGAAAACTTGCAAGTGTGACAGCAAAGCGCACCCTCAATTCTTCGTGTCATGGCCGTTGAGAGATGGATGCGCGACTGTGCGAGCAGACATACCGGTACGTACGGTACGGTACCGTACGTATCATGAATTGGTTGGAAAATGGAGGCACTTACTACAGTGCAAAAACTACAAAGTGAGCCCATGGGTGGAAAAATTTAAAAAAATTAGAAGCGAAATAACAAATTGACTGTGGCTCTTTGTTATTTCTAAATTATTTCTAAAATAGGAGTGGAATCCATTGATCTATTGTCTATGATGAATGTTGTTGGCAGTGTTTTTTTTTGCAAAGAGAGCTGCTGCTGGTGTTTTTGTCCCAAAAAGAAGAGCAGCACTGGAAGTTCTAGTAGTAGTAGTAGTAGTAGTAGTAGTACTAGTAATAGTAGTACTACTAGTACTAAGTCTTTGGTACTAATAGTACTAGTACTAGTAGTAGTAGTAGTACACTACTACTAAAGAACAACAAGAACATGAAGAATCCAATCATGATCGCTTCTTCTTCTTCTTCTTCTTCTTTTGTAACACCACCAGGTTGAAACCAAGACATTTTCCAAAGATATTCCCTGTGATTTTTGAACAGTTCTTCTCTAAGTAATACTAATAGGTATTTTAGGTGGTGGTTTCAGTAGTAGTGCTACTACCAGTAGTGTTCTCCCACACTTATGGGAACCATAGTGGTCCTCTGTGATAACCGTCACCAACAATTTTCAGTTCATTGTAGTATCTGTCTGTAAACTGAATCAAACTGTATCTGAGCTGCTGGATCCTCATATATCACATCCATGCTGTCAACAAATTCTTCCCGGAGTTCTTGTACTAATATATACTAGTAGTACTAGTACTTTTCTTTCAATGAGTATTTGTCCTATTATTTAGATAGGTAGTCCAACTTGGCTTTAGGTGTCTTATGCCATGCTTCCAACCACACTCCTTCAAGGGAAGTGCCACCCTTTGTAGTGATTAGTAGTAGCATTTTTCATCTACTAGCAGGGTCTCCTGCTGGCCCATCTAGCACCTCTACTAGTAATTAAGGAGGTTAAAATCTTTAATGTTTTCAGAAGAAGAAGTAGTATCATTTTGATAAAATTAGAATAGGAAACACCAGTACATCCTTAACTTTGTTAGAGAACATTGCTAAAAACCAAAAAATTCCAAACATCATGGCATTACAAAAAGTCTACAAATGGACTATAAAGAATGACAGCAATACTGAATGGGTGTAGTAAAAAAGCAATTAGAAGTACTAACGCTTTCTTCATTAGTAGTTTGAGAACAGTTCCCACCATCTCTCAATTTCTTATTCTTGTGTAACTTGTTCTATAGCATCTTTTGGCCTCCCTGCATTGAAAGTGCTATCGCAATCCTGGGACGTTACGAAACAACTCATAACCAGATACTTTAAGCTACTGGACGTACGGCTCAGCTACTGGGTCACGTATGACTCATATCCGGATACTTTAGGCTACTGGACCAGCAACGTGCCTACTTATATCTAAATAGGTAGCTTAAAGGTGGCATTAATGCGACTTGCGCGAAAAAAAAACGACTTAAAGCTACTTTTATGCTCCTAAAAAGTAGCTTTTAAGTAGCTTTAAAGCTACTTTTAAGCTACTTTAAAGCTGCTTAAAAGTCGCTTTAAAGCTACTTAAAAGTCGCTTTAAAGTAGCTTTTCAGTAGCCATTGTATTACAAATATATATATACAATGATGAATAAAGATAATTGAGGGCATAGATCTTTTCATTTAGAGTGTCGATTGTCTTTCTGTTAATTATTTTCAATCGTGGGACTACCTATGATGATTATTTATAAGTATATGTTTATTTTCAATATTCAATCTTTCTTATTAATTAATGGTTATTCATATAAATTATAATTCGCAATCTAACGGCTACCGAAAAGCTACTTTAAAGCAGCTTAAAAGTAGCTTTAAAGTAGCTTAAAGGTCGCTTTAAAGCTACTTTTAAGTCGCTTAAAAGCTACTTTTAAGCTGCTTTAAAGTAGCTTTAAAGCGACTTTTAAGCTACTTTAAAGCTACTTTTAATCCACTTAAAAGTCGATTTTAAGCTACTTAACGCCACCACTATGCTCAGTGCGGCATATATATCTGCAGGCAAGTGATTCAGTAGCTGAGACAGTAGCTGAGACGTACTTCCAGTAGCTTAAAGTACATGGTTATTAGGAGGCACGTGTCTCAGTAGCTGAGCCGTAGGTCCAGTAGCTTAGTGTAACCGGTAATGAGTCGTTTCGGAAGGTCCCTGAGAATTGTTCATCAATTTTTTATGATACTTCTTTAATTTTCTACTTTGGCTTGTCATCATACTAGTAGTAGTAGTAGTTTTGCCTTGTTTGCACAAGAAGTAGTGCTGAGGAAAGAATGATCTGAGAAACATGCAAGTAATATTACCAACCATGCTTGTCCTGAATGCTGTGATGTTTGTCGTAACATCAGTGGTAGTAATGTTAGTATCATTAAGTGGACCAGCGATGTCCTCAAGGTTGTAGCTTGCAAGTATATCAGTATTGCTATCTTTTGTTGCCTTGATAGTAGGGATGTTCTTGTCACAAAGTTTTGGAATGGCATGCTCCTCCCTTATGGTGCTACAGTTCTCAAACAATGGAAGTATCAATTTAATGGCTTATGCTGTCTCTGTTTGTCTCAAACGGAAGATGGTATCAATAGCCTCCACTGATCTTATGCCAGTTGACTTTCCTGGCATTAGGAGCCTCCTCAATTGAATTTTTTTGTGCTGTAGTGTTGGAGCAAACCAATAAAGAAGACATCCTGAATCGTCACACTGTTTCCCATAAGCAGGAGGCCTTGCACCAAGCATGAATAACAGACTCTTTTTTCTCTCCATCAGAAAATTATCCAACTAAAGCCACTCTTTTCCTCCCTGATCTTGAAGCACATTTTGGTTAGTAGTATCTTGAGCATGGGATTCTCTGTCATCATCTTTAAAAAACAGTACAATTTTGAAATGACCAATCATAATGATGACTGGTCCTCATTGGCAAAGTACCTAGTACTAGCAGTGCTAGTAGTTGTTGTTGCATTTTCCAGGGGGCCTGGTGGAAGCAAGGTTAAGAGCCATTGAAATGTTATTGTGGAAGCCAGTGGTGTTGGTACTATTGACACTGCTATGCTATGCATTGCTTATCCCCAACTTTGAGAGGACCTGTGAGTATTTCTTGAAGGACTCAAACTTGTCCAACAAGTAACAAGGCATCTGCGGCATCTGCAGCATCTTTGTCACTATCAGTCAGTGCATCATGCCCATCATAATAGTAGTAGTCATAGCCAAGAAAGGTGTCCCTCCTACTATTGCTGTTGTGTTCAATGGGATGATTCCCCATTAATGGCCATAGCTCTTCTACTAGTAGTAGTAGCAAGTCTTGGGAGGGATTGGGTTCTCCTCTTTGGTCTTGGAATGACCAATTACAATACTTATGGCTGCATCCTGTAAGTCATGTGAGGAACTAGATTTTCTTAAATTTTGGATCAAATAATAATGATAATGATAATGATCATTGAACATTCAGCAAGCACTTTACTAGTAATGCTATTCTTGAGGAAATAAATGTTCTCTTTCTTTTGGTTCTTCTTTGGAATGACTGATGATGACAAAGAGTAATTTTTTGAGTCTTTGGAGCAATTTGGTTCTCTTTCATTTTGGAATGGCCAATGATGAATTACATTTTGAAATGACTGATGCTGCATACAATTTCCCTGTCTGGTCCATTGCTGATACTACTACTAGTAGTATTACAACAAATATCTGAACAATCTATTAAGCACTTAGCTCATGTTTCCCACCATTAATAATAGTTCAAGTTCCCATGACAGTGTTCAGGTTCCTATCCTGAGAAGTTTCTTGGAACAAATGCTAGTATCCATTTTTAATATGGTTTCAAAAAAGCTCAGAAAAATATGTTTGACCTTGTGGAGTAGTAGTAGTGTGGGGGACAGGATGCCCATGTCATTGCTTCTTCTTGGGAGAAGGATGTATCTACTAGCTAGAAGTTCTAGTTACTCTAAGGGGCAGCGCTCCTTGAGGACCAATGGTAGAATTTTTTAAAATAATTTCATAGAACTTGTTCTTACTAAGTATGGTGATTACGACTACTAGTACTAGTAGTAAGAAACAAAAAGGATATGGGTTAGTGCCAGCATCACCAGACATAGTAGTTTAAAATTTAGCTCCTCTTTATAAATTAACTGGTACAGTATTCTAATACAGATTTGGGAACCCTCAAATTAGGAGTGCTGAATAATATCGGAGACACCATTACAAGTAGAAGAAGTAGGGGGAGAGTGCAGGTCAGCAGCAATATGTGATAATTGGAGTACTTCTACTACTAACTTCTTTTGATTTGGTGAACTCGTCTACTCTTCTTTCTCTTTTTCTAGTACAAAGGAGGACCACTCATCTGTTGCTTTTACCACAAAGTAGTGTTTGAACAAGCAAACACAGGAACTTGTTATTCCTGGTGAAAAAAGAAATGAGTCAAATCAAGAACAATGAAGAAATCTACCAACATCATACACCAATGTAGTAGTAGTACTAAGCATGTGTCTTGGGAAATATTCCATCACCTCCAGAAGAAATACATTGACACTGGTAGTAAAAGCAAAACCTATGAAATGTAACAACAGTCTACTTCAAGCAGCAGTAGCATTTTAGTCACAGCACTTTAAATGAATTAAAATGGAGTGGTTGCTGTTGATACTAGTACTAGTAGGCTACTACTACTCCTAGTGGTAGTAGTAGTATTCATGACATTTCTTTCCCTCCTGCTGCTGATACCAGTTTCATCTCATTTGTCTAATTGGGTGCTCTTCCTCAATTTGTTGCTGAAAAATTGTTCTGGGACACATTGGAATCAACAAGGGTGATTTTCTTAATATTTCCAATAATCAGATTTGTTCCTTCTTATTGTTTATTTGAACAAGGATTTACAGCATGGTGAGTGGTACTAGGAGTTCTGACTTTAACACAAATATTTGTTGGAAAGCATGCTACTACATGTTGTCTTTGTGCCAAGAGAACAACAACAAGAACAACAATTGAAAGTAGTCGTGGTAGCAACCAAATGGATGTTTTTTGCACATTTTTTCTTCTACTGCAAACTGGAAAGAAACTAGTGGTAGCACCAGTACTACTATCATTATACCATCTTCTACTAGGAGTACTGTTTGTAGTACTAGGACTACCACCACCATTACTACTAGTAGTAGTTCTTGTATCATTGTAACTACTAGTAATAGTACTACTACTGCTCCTCACCATCACAGACTGCCAAGCACACCTCAGTTGACTTATCACATACATTGTTTCCAAGTTGATATTCTACAAAGAAGCCAACAGAAATTGAACAGTAAAAACATGTTCAAAGATAATTGTTTCCTTTCCTCTGCACCAGTGTCTCTTCCTCTTCCTCCTCCTCTTTTGTACTCTTATTATGCATTAGATTATGTTCCGTTTGATGTTATGTGGATCCTAATCAAGTTCCTGATCAAATACCAATAAAATATTCCAGCAGAGCAGAAGAAACAAGCTTGAAAATATAGTTTTCAAATTGGTATTACTAATACTACTTGTTGTACTACTAGTACTAGTAAATCTGTAGATACAAAATGGTGGACAAGGCAATATCTTTTGTACTGCTAGTACTAAATCAAGATAACAGTAACAGTAGGCCATTCCCAAGAGAAGCAGCAGCAGTAATAGTCATCAGCAGATGTCCTCAACAGCAACAACATGAAGAATGGTTTTTAACAGACTTCCAATTCTTTTTGGTTGAACCCTGCCTCCTTGTCTATTGTATTTAACTGTACTGACAATCTGAGCTGTATCTTGGTCCCCAACGGACACTTAACAATGATAAGCACATGAATAGTCCCAGTAAAAAGACAAATTCAGTGATATGGGGGGTTATGGGGGGTTATTGACTATTTAATTATGTTACTGTAGGTATATTGAGTATTGAAAATGTATGATTAAATTGGCTATTTTTGAAATGCCACAGTCATATGATAACCGCTCCTAGGTAGTAGCTCTAGCTGTTATAACTACCAGTAATGGTAGTAGTAGTAGTACTATATACTTATTAGTATCACCACTGATTGCCCTTGTTGTCGACTCATTTGTCTATTGACTTTTTCTCTACCAGTTTGTACCTGTTTGTAGCTCAAATTTCAACTTGTAGTAACCCAAGAGGATTGTTCTGTACCACATTTGGTACAAAAATATAATTAAGCTCATCATTACATCTCGTCTTTTCATCAGATTCCCCATGAATTTAGAAAACTCCTCCCATTATTCCTCATTGGACTCATTCAATTTGATTGGAGTTGATACCAACAAGCCAGATCCACGTTTTCCAAGACAACAGGCCACCTCAGCCATGAGATGTTGGCAAGATTGGCAACATATTGGGAACAAATCCGTAAATACTACTCCAATCAAGTCAGATTGGTGTTCAAAATAGAATGGAATCTAGTGCACATAAGATGGTGTTGAAACCTAAATGGATTAATCTTACTGGACCTGTTATGAGAATGAAACATTAAAAATTTGATTGAAATAATCCAAAATATGATTCAAAAATTTCCTTGATTTGAAAACTTTACCATGGGATTCTACTAATGTACTGTAAAAACATGAACTCAGTCACACCAAAAACAGAATCTCTACTTGATCTATAAATTGCACTCCAGATATCCAAATGTAACAGTAGCCCTCCCATAACATTTGAAATTAATTCTGGACCCTTAACTCATCCAAGAATTAATTTTTTTTTGACAATTGAGGTAGTAAGTCCGGTCAGGATTCTGAACCCACATGTTATTTTCACTCAAAAAATATCTTCATTCAGGGGTACAAAATACGTACAAACCCCAAAAATGAACAAAAATATAAGGGGTTGAAAAACAGTTAAGGGACCTTGTGAGTCCCACCTCTTACTAGTACAACAACCAGAAGCACTTTTCTCCTCACCACCAGAAGTGGCTACTAGTACTAGTGCGTGATACTGGCTTTCCCACCAGTACTAGTAGTAGTGCCTATTTTTGTTCACAAGAATGTTAAGAAATAAAATAGAGATATTTTCTTTAATGAACGAACTAATAGCTGTTACTACCATACTAGTATGTTATTAGTAAAATGAAATGGAACCCTTGGAATTTGGGTCCAGCAGAATTTTTCATAGTACTACTACTAGTACTAGTAGTTCCAAGAGCACAACTGCTACTTCTTGTTGTTGTTGTTCTTCTTCTTGCTTCTATGAAGTAGTAGTAG